GAAACCATCAGGCAGACTTCCAATGCTCTGCCTCGAGGCACTCAGTGAAATATAAAATAATTTTAACCCCTTAAGGACACATGATGGAAATATTCCGTCATGATTCCCTTTTATTCCAGAAGTTGTGTCATTTCAAAAATATTAAACCCCACCTTCCATCCCTTTCTCCATTCCCATTCAATTACCTGATCGCCGCCGTTCCTCCGCCGGCAATCAGTCTTCTCTGTCAAACAGTCCCCCTTCAGCTAATTAGGACCCCATGGGCCATGTGATCGCTCTGAAAGAACAGTCACATAGCTGCAATAGGTGTCTATAGTGTTGCCTGCCGGGGGACTGCCTGAACTGATAGGCAGTCTCCCTGCTGGTGCAAAAAAAAAAAAGTTTAAAAACGTCAAAAAAAAACCCCCCAAAAACTTAATAAATTTAAAAAAATAAAATGTGTATATATACATATACATCTATATATAATATGTATATATATACATATCATACTATGTGTATTTATTACTATATACATGTATTCATATAAAAATACACTTAGAGTAAAATTACACATGTATTTATAGAATATAATATATATATATATATATATATATATATATATATACACAAAATGTATAGTTATTATAAAAACTAATTAAAAATAAAATGTAAAAATAATAAAAATTATATAACTGTAATATATATATCTTAAAATACACTTGGAATTAAATTCCAGAGAATTCAATTTGCTAACACTATATTTAACCCTGTAACTTTCCAAGACACCCTAAAACCTGTACATAGGGGGGTTCTGTTTTACTCGGTAGACTTCGCTGTACACAAATATTAGTGTTTCAAAACAGTAAAACACATCACAGCGATGATATTGTCAGTGAAAGTTAAGGTTTTTTGCATTTTTCACACACAAATGGCACTTTCACTGATGATATTGTTGTGATACGTTTTATGATTTTGAAACACTAATATTTGTGTTCAGCGAAGTCTATCGAGTATAACAGTTTCCCCCATGTACAGGTTTTATAGTGTTTTTGAAAGTTACAGGGTCAAATATAAGGCTTGATTTTCAGTTTTTTCACATTGAAATTTGCCAAATTGTTGCCTTTGAGAGTATATGGTAGATCAGGAATGAGAATTACCCACATGATGGCATACCATTTGCAAAAGAAGACAACCCAAGGTATTGCAAACGGGGTACATTCACTCATTTTTAGTAGTTACTTAGTCACAAACACTTGCCAAATTTAGCGTTCATAATTGGTTTTTGCATTTTTAACACACAAAAAAATCTAAATGCTAACTTTGGCCAGTGTTTGTAACTAAGTGGCTACTAAAAAAGACTGAACATACCCCATATTGAATACCATGGGTCCTACTTTAAAAAAAATATGCACATGTGAGGTGTGATTCAGAGATTCATGACAGATAACAGTGTTACAATGTCACTATTGATAAATTTTAAAAATATATACTTTGAAACAACAATGTCCTACTTGTACTTATAGCCCTATAACTTGCAAAGAAAAGCCAAGAACATGTTAACATTGGGTATTTCTAAACTCAGGACAAAATGTATAAACTATTTAGCATGGATGTTTTTTGGCGGTTGTAGATGCGTAAAATTTTGGGGGTCAAAGTTAGAAAAAGTGTGTTTTTTACATCACATTTTATAACACTTTTTATAGCAAATTATATGATATGATGAAAATAATGGTATCTTTAGAAAGACTATTTAATGGCGATAAAAACGTTATATAATATGTGTGGGTACAGTAAATGAGTAAGAGGAAAATTACAGCTAAACACAAACACTGCAGAAATGTAAAAACAGCCCTGGTCCTTAACGGTAAGAAAATTACAAATGGTCTGGTCACTGAGGGATTAAAAATAAAAAAATTATTCTTTGGGGGAAAAAAATAGCCAAACTGCAAACATTCTATAAGTCTGTTAGTTTGGCTACTCTGACATACTGTTTGAAATTCACTTTGTCTTCTCACGTTAGTAAATAACCCTGCTTATCAGAGTTATTTAGACTACCGGTAGTCATGCAGTTAATGTATCAGAAAAGACTAAAACCATGTACAAACTCACAGCAGTTATCTGTGCATTAAACTTCCAAAACTAATACAGTGACAATGATTGCACTACTGTGCTAAATGGTGAAAAAAATGTTTGACTCAAATATTTCTTATGATCTAGATAAAAGAAAAAAAAACACAGTACTATGTCAAGTTAAGATATTAGTACAACTTTGGTTCACCATTTTGCCCGAATCTCCATTTGAAGGGGACATAATAATCATTTAAATATTTCCTGTTTTGGATCCATTAATCTACAAGGGACCTTCTAAGCACAAAAACAAATTAAGCAGTTTTGGTCTATAGATCATGTTCTTCAGTGCCCCAGCTCAAGTCTCTACCATTTAAGAGGTAAATCGCTTAGTTTATTCAGCCTTCCGTGGCTATTTAGGCAGCATCCATGAAAAAGGGCTGCATTTTTACAGCACATTGTGTTTACTTTAATTTCTTATCTCCTGCTATGTTAAACATAAATCATACAAAATAGGCTGCAGCAGGCAATAACAAAGCAGATTCTAACTTAAACACACTGTGGAATAAAGGATTAAAAATTAGATATATTTTACAGGAAGTCTGTATGGAAGCTGTGTAAGTCACAAGGGGATGTTTGTTTAGGGCTTTATAAACAAAGTGACAACTCCCAAATGGCAAAGAATTGTGCCGAGAAACTACAGGATATTGACCTTAATTGCAAAACTGATTCATTAAGCTAGAGTTGTTTTGGTGCTTAGGGTATCCCTTTAAAGCTGCATTGTCAATTCTGAATTAAAAAAAAAAAAACAGGGGGGGTGGGGACAGAGCTCAACCTGAACGGTCATATACCCACAGCGCTCCGATAATCAGGCACCCTAAAGCCCCAAATTCTGCCTGGAACGGCAAGAAGTCCAGTGACAACCCAACACTAATGGGGAAGAAAACAAAAAACTTGCGACCAGATCGGCTCAAGCAATCAGCAGACATAGGCGATCTTCTGAGGAGGCTGCATGGCGCGGCGGGGCCTAAGATGGCAGCTGACATCGAGGACTACTCCGACAGCTCGGAGGATACTACACTGCTCGGAGAATCTGGGATATTTAGGGCCGGCAAAGCCAGCACAGCCGCCAATGGGTCACCCGATTACCACAGAAATACTCACCGCTCTCCTCTCGAACCTACGCCAATTGCTGTCCACAGAGATCTCCCAAGCAAGGGGATACGTCAGAGAGTTCACAGCCCGCCTAACCACTGTACAGCAACTCACTCAAACGCACGCAGCACATGTGCTCGACCTCCACGGGCCACACTGCAAACGCCACTGTCCACACGGAAACTAATCTGCTTATAAGATAATAAGCTGTTGTTATATCCTAAGTTTTTACTATTCCCATTTAAAAAATGTGCAGTAACTCTAAATGCCATACAGATGTTATCAATTGAGCTTGATATGGCTGTCGTGGCTATACAAGCATGATGTAAAGCTCGCACAACAAAAATAAAGAATTTAAAAAAACAAAAAAACCATCATTATGAAAAACCGCTGTAATTCAACGTAATAATATAAGACAAAATAGAAACTACTTTATGTTATGCAAGTGACAATGTTTGGTAAACATGGCAGGGTTTCAAACAGTTTTTGCTGCCATATCAGGTCAATTCCCATCGTCCGTCACTGATGATGTATTGTACAATGCACCTCCAGGAAGATGAAGATAGCCATACAGGAGAATAAAATTAGTTTTTCGTTCCAAGCTGCAAATAGTCAGAATTTGGGCCAAACAGGTGATGACTGAACTCCGATCTAAAATGTTACTGAATAACAAACATACGTGCAATTGCCCAGCATGCTTGTTCTGATTTGTGATTCTGAATTCTGTCGCGTAAAAAAAAAAAATAAGGAAAAGATGATCGATTGGTAGGGGACAGTCACTAAATGTTGATTTGTTCTGGTGGGTAGAATCATTACCTTAAGGCTTTTTGCTGTAAACAATGTCTTTTAAGAGAAAATGCAGTGTTTACATTACAGCCTAGTGATAACTTCACTGGCCACTCCTCAGATAGCTGTTAGAGATCCTTCCTGGGTCATGGCTGTCTAAAATGCATCTCCTCCCTCTGCATGCAGACACTGAACTTTCCTCATAGAGATTTGTTGATTCAATTCATCTCTATGAGGAGATGCTGATTGGCCAGGGCTGTGTTTGAATCATGCTGGCTCTGCCCCTGATCTGCCTCTTTGTCAGTCTCAGCCAATCCCCTGGGGAAGCACTGTGATTGGATCAGGCTACCACTTCTGACGATGTCACCACGCTGCTTGTTTTTCTGAGTCTAACAGCATGCAGCGTTACAGCTTCAAGCTTGAATACAGTAAGAGTTTTACTATATTTATAGAGGCATGAGGGGCCCAGGGGGGCTAGATGGTGGTTTTAACACTATAGGGTCAGAAATAAGTTTGTGTTCCTAGCCCTACAGTGATCCTTTAAAGGTAAGGCAAAGTTACGAAATGTTACATCAGTTATGGAAATCTCTTAACAATTGCCAAGGTCCTAATAGATTAGGAAAGTGACCTATGCATAAAAAAAAAAAAAAAAAAAAAAAAAAAGTGTCACATCTGAAAATTATAAAATAGCCTAATAGTTTTTGGGTGTCCTTCCTGGTCCTGCAATGATGTAAGGAAGTAACTATACCACAAGAATTACAATGAGGCATCCCAAAAAGAGAAACCTACTGACTGCTATGCCACAGTGAAATCATGGTGGCATACATGATTTACAGACACCAGTATTCCGACCACAGATGCAGCTCCATACTGCTATGCCACATAGTTTCTTCATGACCCCTTGGTAGTAGTGACTGAGGTTTTTAAACATTGTACTACATAATCCACTTTACTTAGCCATGTTGCTACAACATGAAATATGGAAATACTAGGAACACATAAAAGCAGACTTGTGAAACTTTTCTGTCACATTTTAATATACAAGAATGAAAAGTACAGCAGTTTTACAATGTAGGAAAAATTTAATACATACTATATAAACAACATATTTACACGTGAGAGAAAAAATAAACTAGCACAATGGCCTTTTCACACATAAATAAAAAGTAATTACAGGCTTAGATTTCCACATCCTCTCAATCATTGCTTAATACAGACACCAGGATGAAACCGTATGAAAAATTGTCACCATCAGTTTGCTTGCTACAGTCCCTGCTGTATTTGCGCTAGTGTTCGGGGATCCGTTGATAGAAATATTGCAGTTTTATAAAATGTATCCATGGGAAAGTATAAAGCCGTGTGTAATATACAGACTACTATTTACTCAATTAACATAAAGGTGAGCAACATGCTTTAGTAATAATTCCCAAGCATTGAACAGGTTAGTTATGTACCATTTATTTTGGTCCATCACAAGGAAAAAGGAGAATTATGCAGAAGTTGGCCTTTACCACTCCAATTCTCATAACTTTTTTTTCTCTTAAGCAAAAACAAAATCAGCACAGGTGTTCAAGCTGGCATTGTAACGGCATTATATGGCGGTTAGATATTTTTGACTGCACAGATTCTAGATGGAGAAATATACATGCCATATTGCTTTTATACCTAAGCAGAATACTAATGCTGATGTGTCCGTGTGATACTCAAAATATCATTGGATTTATAGAATCGTCACTCCAAATCTACCGATAAAATATATCTTTACCATAATATACAAAATTTCACAAGGGATTTTATTTTGTTAATTACAATGAATATGCTCGGCTTTAAGTTATTAAAAGAATTTTTGAGTGTTTAATTTAAAGCCAATTCATAGAAAATGTTCTGTACATTAACACTAATCTTATGTTTACAGAGAAACACTTTAAATAATGTAGGACAATGTAAAAATAACATTGCAAGCTTTTTTCTGCCGTAAGCTTTAAACTTAACCACACATCATGTGATCTATAAGTGATCTATATGCCGTTCAATATTAAGCTTCAGCTGAACCTTGTAAATCTTGTGTGTCCCGCCCCCCACACCCAATCCGTGCTAAATGGCATTTAAATGAAAATAGAACATATTTTAGGAAACTGATCAGAAAAATAAAGTCTCTTATTTTAGAAATAGTTTCCATTTGATTTGAAACACATACATAAATACTGGTATTTGAGTGTAACAATAAAAAATGGGCTAGTGTGTTGCAGGGTGGGTAAGACAACATGGAGTGAAGAGGATTCTTACCAATGTACTGCGTCTCCAGTGATATACAATATTTTTGGTTCAGATTTAAATGGTTGTATAATATTTTAAAGTTCACCAGTTTGTTTGTTTTGTGAGATTACAAATCTTGTTAAATAAACTAACTCTACAGTTAAACAGTGCAAACTTCCTGATAATTTATGTATACTTGTATCCATAGTGGCAATGGTGAAAATATGTATATATATAAAAAAAAAAAAAACGATTGAGAGGGAGAGAAATACGATATCTGCTGCAGGTATGACACACATGCCACAACAAAGGAGATACCCTTCCTGTTCTAGGCGACAATTTTGCATGGCTTAATTATACATTAAAGACATTAAACTAAGGCACTCAATGTTTCTGTCTCAAAGAGCAGAACACAAATGATAAACACCAGGCCAAAAAGTTCAAAATCAATAATACCTTAATAGGACACCGCAACCCCCCCCCCCTTTTTTTTTATTTAAAATATTTTTGTGCAAAATGTATTCAATTTAAGAACTCGGACAATTGTTTCTACGCCAATAATACTTGCAAGTGCCAAGTAAGTCAAGCAGGATTCTTTCAGAGGCAAATTGCACAGTCCTTTGGCCAATCCCAGTCCTCGAATGTATCCATTGTCTGATTCCAGGACATTATTGGTTAGTTGTGTGGGAGAACTCAGAAAAATGTTTGTTGACACTTTTACCCAGAACAGGTAAATATGCCTGACATCAATCTTCCAATATGAAGGGTCAATATTCCAACCGTCATCAATAAACTGTGCAATTTTAAAGGAAGATGTGTTCATTTGTTTTGTAACATAATGAGTGCAGTTTATCTTATTTTTCCTTAAAAACGAATGTAGATCCATGAAACAACCGTCTTTCATTATATCCTGAAATCTAGGCAAAAAAATAAATCTTTTTAACCACTTATAAATAATGTTGTTTAAATTAGTGTGCCACAACCTTTTTACCGTACCAACTGTAGGTAGAACTGGGAAGAACTCTTAGGCTGCCTGGCAGTGACAGGACATGTTAGTGATTGGATGTCTTTCTGTGTACAGGATGTTGTAAAATTCTTCAATAACAAGAATTTAAAAAGTGCAGAGGTTACCAGTGACCCAATACTGTGGAGGGAAGAACTGTATCTTCCAATTATTAATTTTTTTGGTTCAATTAAGCTTTGAGGAGACAAAATAAACAGAGATCCGTTATAATGCAATGTATTATTTGTCATATCTAGGAAATATGTTTTTTAATGAAAAGGTTGCGGGAGCTTTCAAAAAAATGTCAAGCAATCACACTTCCCAATATTTCATGTACATTTTCTTTGAAAGCATCCAGTAGGCCAAGGCTGTGTTAAGTATGAAATAACTTGTGCTTAGCAACAGGAACAACACTGGCCACTATGTGCATTGCAAGGGTGCCACACTTCCACCTGGGAATAGTAAATGGATAGTGAGAATGAGAGTCGGGATAACTATACATTATTATATTCCATGGGGCTGGAGAAGAAGTACGACTTGTTACAAACAGAGAGTGGCAACTGGCATCTCAGTGTTCAAGACGTGATCTACAAATGTTCTAACGTGGTGAGTTACCAGATTTACTTTTTAACCATGCTGTGGGCACTACAAGTGCATTCATATTTTAATGAACACTGATGTAGTATCTTACAAGTGACCAAGCCGATCTCTTTTGTCAACTGCAAACTTAATGCAGTGTAAGAAATTTCATGTAAAAAAAAACAAACCAAGGAATAGAAAAATAAAGAACGACCATTGTTCTACCAATATTTCTGCAACCATTTTGGTGGAAGGGTGAGGGGTGATGGGTAAATACAAATACGTGTTCAAGCATTTGCCCATATTTAATTCTCATATGTGCAATGAAATTCCAGAGAGATTCATATATGTACACTTTCAAAAGCTATGAAATCTGATTCTGTGCCGTTCCCATGACAACATGATCGAACACACTGGGAACATTCTGAAATATTTGAAGAGCATGAATATGAACTGAGATTTTCCTATTAGGTCCATTTCCTCAACTCTATATTACTGCCTTTGTATCCCCTTCTGTAAAACTTGCAAAAAAAAAAAAAAAGCAAGAGGAAAAAAAATAAATCTATAGCATACAGATCTTGGAGAATGCACTGGTTTGCTGGTAGACACTGCATCAGTAGCTTGCGGAATACGCACTAGACTCCAGTCTAATACATTTAATAGGACTCCATCCATGAGGCCATGAAATGTCAGAAAGAGCCTGCCACTTTAATCCTTCAACAAAGATTTGTAACATCCAGCCTCACAATCCCACTTGATGTGTTTGTGGGAAAATAGTATATTGGCTCATTTTGAAATGGTAAGATGGATACGTGTTAAGGGTACTAGAAATGTTCTGGTCAAATTCATATTCTTGGCACAGGTATTGGTAATCTTCCCATAAAGCAGTCATATTACACATGATGGGTTTCCAAAACCTATTACTCGTCTGGGAAACAATTAGGATTAGTTTTTTTTTGTAGCAGCAAAGGCCTTGTTGCATCAAGTGGCCAACTGTGAAGTGTCATTAGGACCAAATATCCAGGACTTGAGCCTTCCAGTCTTTTTCTTTCAAAGAAAATCAATTAGGTCCGCCCAAGACATTATGCACCTATTTTAGGTTTTCCGAGCATTCCAGTTGTAATCAGTACTTTTCTGTTCTAATGATCTGTCCAGTGGGGATTTAGATTCATGAGGGGATTTTTGAGTCGGGGGAGAACGAGGATCTGAAAGTGTGGAAGATTGCTGAGATGTGCTCTTATACTCCCCAGATTTTTCTGGATGGAAGGAGCGGTAATGATCTGGAGGTCCTTGCCCATGATATCCCACCGGGGGCCTATGGTCTGGCCCCATTCTTCTGAAGTCTTGCTGGTGGTAGCCCTGAGGACGGAATTCATCAGATCTTCTTCTCTTGTTGTCATGGTGATGTCTGCAAAGGAAAAAATAAAACAAAACCATTAACTAGCTGAATAGCAAAACTGAGGCTAAAATATCTGATTTGGAAACATTATGCAACTCACATCACAGCTTTAAGTCAGATTTGAATTCGCTACAAGTTGAAAATTGGTGAATTATACTGTAAGTGTGAACAGTTATGATTAAAAGTGTTCTTGTGCCTGGTACAGGTTACTCACACAGCTAGGGAAACAACTAGGCAAATGCATGGACAACCCCTGCACGCTAGGTTCACTGCATCGTGGCACCACTTTAGTTCATATAAGAGCACTACACGTCTGACGTGCTATGTAACTGGACCGCGGACTTTAAGTCCCTGTTTACCAACATGTTATTTGTTTCACTCAGCCCTCCGTGGCTCTCAACTCGGTATGCCATATTATGGAAAAAACGGTTTAACTGTGTACTTACGTTCACTCTGTACTTTTTTTGATACAACCACAGTGGCCAATACAAAATCTTACTAACAAAGGAGAAAAAGAGAAAGGAAAAAGGGAAGGGAAAAAATGACTGCCTACGAGCAGCCATCGCTAATTGGACACCATTACATTTTATGCATTATGCTTGATTCTATATGTAATCTTATTTTTACATAAGTTCACTATAGTAAGACACAGTATTGTCTATCTGATATAGATATATATTAATGCCTGCCAATCTCATTTCACTAGTTAACTTGGTGTATGCTCACATGACTTCTGTTTATACCTCGGACATATTCCCTGCACAAAGTATACACTCCTAGAGCTATACTATTATCCAATCTGGCTTTTAAATCTTGTGGGGTTTTTTTTTTTTTAAGGAAAGGAATGGGAAAGAAAAAAAGGAAAGAAGATAAAAAAAATTATATAAAGGAAAGAAAAAAAAAGGGAAAAAAAGAAAATAATAAAAAAGGGATTAGGCAGTTTTAAGAAATAGGAGGCGCGGCTTCACGAGGCTCCCGGCACTGGAACCAGGTGAGTAAACTACTCTGCCTGGAGAGTTCCTTTAATTTAGCCCAAAATGTTTTTAAAGCATACTCTTTTTGGGACTAAACCCCCCTAGTTTAAATTACTGATTTTTTAATATAATAATGTAAATTTGTACACAACTTGTGCATTTCAAAGACCACTCTTTCACTCAAACGTGTTACGGAGGGAAGCTGTGCTCACTCTTTGTCCACACAAGTATTTGCAGCTGCATAAGGGGAATTTCTGGAAGTTTAAGCCCAGACATCACTCTTTCACAGTGGAAAGTCAATGACAAGGTTACCAGAAACCAATGAAGCTCTGCAGTACACATTTATGGGATAAGCTAAATACTACCACAAAAGATTATGTGAGCCTGATTGGACAGGAATCCCTTGTGGTTGTGTGCATGACCCACTGCAAAGGCTGAAAAGCATGGGAATTTAAACATATGTAGGAACTTCAAATGTTTTATTATTTTTAGTTCCTTTTTTTATTGGTCAAATAGTTTAATACACAATCTATACAGAGAAAAAAATGGTTTATTGTAGCCTGGAGTGCAAAAAAAATATTTTGGTAAGGCACTTTCTAGTTTACTCAGTATTGTACTAGCTCACAAGAACATGAGAGGGGATCAAATAATCAACATTATGGCACAGAACATTGTAGATGGCTGGAGCATTAGTTGGAACCAATGACTGCATAATGCTTTATGATTTGAACCAACACAGCCACCTGTTCTCATGTAGGTATGGATTTCTAATACTGGGATGGTTATGGAGGGTCCAAGGTGTATAAAAAAAATATAAACATATTAAAACAAAGCAATAACAAACAACTTTAAATAATCCTAAATAGTTACCGATCATAATAATCTCTGTGTCCTCTGTGATCTCGCTCGTTGTTGTACTGGTCATATGGTCTTTTACGGGGACCATTGTTTGGCCTATAGTTTGCAGAGTTCCTGCGAGGATCTCCATGAGGTCGGCGCTCAGAATAATGATGATCCTTGTATCGGTGCTGGTCATATTGGTGATGATGGTTTGCTCCCCCCCAAGGCTGGTTGCTGTTGTTATTGCCACCACCTCGATAGTTGAATTTACGTTCTCTCCATTCACCTCTCTCTACAGAAATAGATATATTTTAATGTCCCAATATAAAAAAGTGATCAGAAACAAGTTCTTGTCAATACATAGATACATTCTTTTAATATACACCTCTCTCCCCCCCCCCCCCCCCCCCACCTAATAGACTTCTCTGATCTGTAGAATATCTCAGGTACTTTGCTCACCTGTGTTAAAGGGTCTTTTGTTTGGACTGCCATAGTTCTCTCTTGGATGCCCATGCATTTGTTGTGCATGAGGTGGGATAGGGTGAGGCTTCTGTTGCCCATGGGGCCCGTGAGACTGGGAAGCAACAGAGTCCCTACTAGAACCCGACGGCTCTGGCCTAAATGGCTTCTTGATGGGTACATTCTTTTTCTTTTGCTCCTGAAATTATAAGAATCAGTAACAACGATTTGATATGATTTATTGAAAGAAAATGGGAATTGAAACATTGTTCCTAAAGTCATGATCACATGTAGAACACCACTTTAAACTAGGAATCCCTAAATAGTAATTAAAAATAAATAAGAATTAAAAAAAAAAAAAAAAAAAAAAAAACTTTTTTTTTTTTAACTAGACTTGGAAGACAAATATTTCAAAGGCAATGGCTGACTCTAAAAAATGTAAACGTATTAAGTTTAGTGACTCTTGGCATCAGCAATATGTAGAAACAACAAATATACTTTTGCATAACCTCCATTTTATTATACAGATTGTAATTTTAAGGCATGTATACTATTTTCAAGTTAAAAAGTACTAAAACAGTGTCAAATTAGCTAAAAATGTACTAGTTTAAAAGATTTAGCTTCTATATATCCATATATCCTATAAAAGAGATTCACTGTATTAACATGTTAGCATTGGATAATACATTTTACAATTATTTATAAAGTGCCAACATATTCCTAGTGCTGTACAATAGGTTAATAATAATAATAATAATAATCTTTTGTGCCTGATGAGCATGATACAAACATGTTTTAAAACACACGAATAGTTTTCACTGCTTTACATTGTATTATTTGCTAGGAGAGACACAAAACTGTCCATAGACAGGAGTGACTATCCAGGCACGTCATGGTTTACAGTATGTCGTAATCAGAGACCAGAGCTGTCAGTATCAGCCATTTAGTGCAATCTACCAAAATGTGATCACTCTCAAAAAGGACCACGGGTAAGAAAATGTTGACACGCACATACCAAACTAGCAATGCTGCGCATGTCTGCTCTCCAGTCTCTCACTCACTCAGTGATCTAAGTGAGCAGAGAGGCTTAGATTACCATGTATAGTCTGCCACTCTCACCCAAGTGTCTCCCTTTCCATAGAAAAAGAAAGGAAAACTAAACAACCTTTTCATCACTGCATAACTATGTATACTGTACGACATTTGTTCTAAATGCACATGTGGTACTAGGCCAGTGTAACACATAAGTGGCCATTTAGAGTAATCTTTGCTCTTTTCGCACTGCAACATTCAATTAACGCTAACACACGGCAAATAATGTGGATGTCAAATACATAATTCCAAGTCCAGAGTTATCGGGAAAATAAACTATTCTCATGTGTAGTGATTAGGCATGTTGAACAAGCAAAATAATGAAATCAGGTGCAATATTACCTCCTCTTCCTGGGATCGCTTTTTATGTGCCATCTTGTAAAGTTTATGCAGTTTTCGTGCATCAAATTCTGTGAATTTTGACACAAAGATCCAGAGATTTCTAGAAACAGAACAAACAAAACAACATGAAAATTACATTGTGATCTCTCCTTAACCGTATGCTAAGTGCTAGCCATTTAACAGTGGACTGATCAACCAAGTTTTTTGCGGTAGACAAACCTTAATAACTTTAATAACATGAGGGGGCATTAATTAGCGAGGCCCACGTGTAGTTTTTGGGGGGTTTTTAAGTTCTATTTCAGTGTAAGAGGCCATCCTTACACTATAACTTCTACACAAAAATCTAGTGGTTATGATGCTTTGTGTGTTTCTTTAAAAAAACTAAATTTGCAAATAAATAAAAAAATACTCCCCTGTGAAGTTCCCATTTAAAGCTATCGGCACTAGACTCCAAACCTGGACAATCTGATAATCCTTTCCTGTTTTCAACATGAGTGCTAAGCATATCCTAAGAACTCTTGCTCAGCAGAGGTTGAGAGAATATGTAGTTCAGCACTCAGAGGTTTCATTCGTCAGAAAAGTGTATGGACCTACTACCCAAGTTTGAAGAAATGCACTTTCTATAGCATGCCATCTCATGCAGCATTTGGACAGCCGTGAGAAACACCTCCTTGCACTATAACTTACACAGAGAGCATAAGTTGGAATGGTTCTCCAAGTGAAACTTTAAAAAACATTATTTGCTGGGAATTGAAATAAACTGCATTTATGGGCAGACATAGTGCTTACCTTCTCCATATTTTCACATGCTCCTGGTCAGAGTAAGATTTAAGGCACTCAGAAATGCGATCTCCAATTTTGAGAAGGCATGTGCGAGTATGCTCCAGCTGTTCTTGAACACTCAGGCCTTTGTCAGGTTTATCTAACTGTTTCAGGGCTTTTTTCACTGGTCTCATTCTTTCCTTGCACTGAAAAGGAAAATGTAGATGCATTCACAAAACAAGAAGTATCCATTTTAACAATTCCCCCCAAAAAGAATAAACACAATATCCTAAAATGACAGCTTAACCTAATAATAATTTCATTTGGAGAGACGTTTAACCTGGTCTTTTTTTTTCTTCTCTAAGCTACTGACTGTTAATTTTATTGTATTCCTTGTTTTATTCAATGGCCCCACAACAATATGCTTAACAAAAACCAGTAGTATTTGGCAGGTGCTACAAATCACATTCCTGGACTGGTCTGAGACAGAAATTCTACCATACCAACAGAGGAACCTGCTACAAGGAACTATTTACCTCCACCCTGATGTGAGTGGAAGGTTCGTTCACAGGTAGAAATGACAACGAAAGCAGACACCACTGAATGGGCTCCATAGTTATAATCAAAATGTGAAAATTAAATGAAAAAACAAAGCAATAGAACTTGTCTACAAAGCACCATGATCATTTACCATTTGCTGTGTGCTGGTAACGAACATGCACTTATTTTTCCACACCTCTTCTATGTATGAAGGTCTGTCTAGCACTAAAGGGATGTTGACACATTTCTCTTTATGCAGTTGCTGAGATTTACCAAAAACTGCAAAATTGCTTACAATGCTGAAGGTTTCCTGGTCCAAGTCATCTTCCTCATCCTCCCCAATGGGAACCGGTTCATTCCCAGCTGTAATATGAACTGGTCCTTGATTCTTCCTGCTTTTAGCAGCACCCTTAGTCTCCCCTTTCTTGGGCTTTGAGAAATTAAATAAAAGCAAAATAAATGTTAAGCTTATACATATATAGACAATGGGAAGACACATTGGGTTTTTATTAGCTAAACTGAGTTATGCGTAGGCCAAAATAATAAGAAAGAAAAGAAATCTCAAAAGTTCCCACATTTCTAATTTGGCTCTACAATCAGCAAATTTAGTTGACGGTTGTGAATAAACTCTGAATTTCTCATATGGTGGTGGATATGCATTTTCTAATTTAGACATACTTTTTCCTTGGCTTTTCTTTTCTCTTTGACTCCTTCCTTCTTTTGGTTTTTCTTATCTTTATTTTCCTTATTATCTTTTTTCTTCTGCTTCTTTTTGCTAGGACTCTTCTCTGTACCATCCTCCTAAGATTGATATAACATGTATTAGGACTTTTAAATAATCACACATGCACATACCCAGAGCTATAGAATATATTTGCAGCAGACAATGGCCTAATAATATTAAATACTATTATTTAACTGTTCACATGATACTCTTCCTAAACCATTGCCTATAATCTGCTCCCATTCATAGAGTCACATAGGCTTGGCTCACCTTCACTTCTCCCTCTTCCGATGGGTTGTCAGAGTGTTTGGGAGAAGAGAGATCATTGCCGTGCTCATCTTTCCCCTTGACTGTACTATCTTTTTTTGCACGAGGTTTCCTTCTCTTTAATTTAGTCTACAAGTAGATAAGCAATGTGCAGATTTTAGTTATGGATGGTCTATTAATGGATGGAGGCACAGTATAACAATACTTCAAAATTTCACCCTAGTTCGGAATATATAAAACAAAATTAACAAAAGTCATCCCTTCGTGCCAAGTGGACTTTACTGAAAATAATCCCCGTACCTCTTCTCCTTGACTGCCCTCCTTCTTTTCCATTTCTTTCCTTAGGAGTTTCAATAAGTAGTCTGCTCTTGATTGTAAATGTTTACCTTGTGGCTTCTTCTCTGTTTCAACAGGCAAAATCTGCAAATAAATGTTTATTATAAAAGAGTATTAACCATATGATTTTTGATGACCGTCAAATACTGTGCACACCACATGTAATCGATCTTCACATTTAATTCCTTCCTCTAACTTTTTATCATTTACTTAGTGTGCCACTGGCCACTTTCATATCAGTGAATAGTTTTGGAATGGTTAAGTGTTTCCTTTGCAAAGAACACTCCCTTTGATATAACCCTCAATCTTCCTGAAATGTTTATTGAAACAGTTTAGACTGCAGGCTTTTTATTCATATGTTTAGGAATAAGTTTTTTTGTTATTTCTACATCACTAACTTTGGAATTTGTGTGTGTTTCTTGAGGGTTCAGTGTTGTGGCTATGGTGTGAACAGCACCCTAGAATATTCATTTTTAACTATTATCAATAATTTTATTCCATCCCTCAGTTTTCTGCCAAACTTCTTTGTAGCCGTGTGATAAAAAAAATTAGCCCAAATATTACAAAATAAAATTACTGATAATGGGTTATAAGATATATTTTTATGCTGCTGTATATTATAAAAATATACTTGGGCCAGTATAAACCATTATCTGGAAATGTATTCATAAACAGGGCTGTACATAGGACAAAAGGTCACGCATTTAGGCTGGAAGAAAGGAGATTTAATCTAAGGCAAAGAAAAGCTTTTTTTTTTTTTTTTTACAGTAAGAACTATAAGGATGTGCAATTCTCGGCCTGAAGAAGTGGTTTTATCAGAGTCCATACAGGTGTTTAAACAGCAATTGGATAAATACTTCCAAAAACATAACATACAGGGATATAATTTCTAATTAGTGCGGGATTTTTTTTTCCTAGTTTGTTGCAAAATTGGAAGCATTTCAGACTAGGTGTTTTGCCTTCTTTTGGATCAACTGCAAAAACATATGTCAGGAAGGCTGAACTTGATGGACGCAAGTCTCTTTTCAGCTATGGAACTATGTAACGCTTACCTCCTTTAGTCTCTAAAAATGACATTCAACAATCTATCAGGCTTAAAAGCCTACAATTAAAATTTAAAAAGCATTAAGAAGCTCTTTCCTCTAAGTACATATTGAACAATATTCTTCAATTTTCAATTTATACATGGTTGGATAGAAAAAAAAACAAAAATTACCTGATGAACATCCAAACGAGAATGATTGGGAAAAAAATTAACCCATAAATTATAGATTAATAGGGACTTAATTTAGAAAACGTGTAACAAACCACACAAGAGCAGTGCATATTTAAAACAATTGCTTTTATCTAGCCTGATGAGCAGAATCCACATTCAGACCATCACGATCATCAAAGAATTAAACTGCATGACACACAAGGTAAAATATAAATCAGTTACCCATTTTACACACAAATCAAACCCACACCTACCTTCTCGGTTAATTTATATTCTGGATCACTTTTAATCAGTTCCCAGTTTCCGTAACCATGTTCAAAAATTGCAAGGAGCAAATGTGAATCATCTTCAACATCCCAGTCGACATCAAAATGGGCAGCTTTAACCCGGCTGGCCAATCGGAATCTAAGCCATGTAGAGTAACATAGGTTAGAGATATTTTGTGAGAGTTATCTTTTAAATTAAGACAACAAATCTACAGTAAACTATAGACAGTTCGTCAAAGCAAATATACCAGGACACTAAAAATCATACGTTTTATAGTGCTGATAGGCATTTAGGGTGATCTAATTCAGACCACAAATTGGGCATTATTTTTTGTCCCCTGTGTCAACTACACTTTGTTTAAATCTTGAATGTAATGTATGTCATGTTGTATTGTGTAATGTATGTCATGTTGTATTGTGTAAATATTCCTTAAAATAAGAGAGGAAAATGTTCTCATTTATAAAAAGAAATTGTAAAAAAATCCACAGGAGTTTTTTTTTTCAGCAAATGAATAGTTCTAAATCATTTTAATTGCGGCAGGCACAGAACCAACTATAGATAATAGAATATCCATACTAGTAAACTATGTAGTGTACACTGTAACCTTTCGTTTTAGAGCAGGCTACATTGGCTTTATTTCCTAAACTCCAACCGTCTACGAAAACAGGGCATGTGAGTATACAACAAATAGATTCTTGTGGGACCTTTTATCATATTGGTATAGGAGAGCAAACAAAGATCTAATCTGCTAACTGAGAATGCAAGAGAGATTCCAGATCTACTTCTCTTGTACAGACAAACTATAATTTAGGAAAGAATGTAGATGGAATCATAGAGATTTACAATATCCACTCACTTTTTCCTTTCCTCCGGATCTGCTGGAATGGATTTCTTGAGAATTTCAAAGTCTTCCTCATGTTGGACAATGGCTTTAACGTTCACCTGGACACCAGAGATTTTGATAGTTGGACCCCTCCTCTTACCCGGACCTTTACCTATTAGAATATAATATATAATTTTGCTTAAAAATGTATGTCACCGTAACACTATATTTTTATTATTATATTATATGGGACCAGATTAAATGAGATATAACTTATGTATTTAAAAATGAAAGAAATATGATTCAATATAAAATAAATTAAAATGTTACAACACATAAATTGCAATAATGCACATAAAGCCTGCTTCTCATAGTCTCCCTACACATTTTCTGAAAAAGAGAAATTCTTTAGCTTTCCTTATGGCATAGTTATTTGAATTTCTTATCTCCTGCTCTGTTAATTACCTGCAATAGCCCAAAGCTATTGTGCATGCTAAATGTTCAATCAACAGAGCGAGAAAAAAGTCACTTCTAAATAAACACACTTGTGCTGTATTCTTTTTTTCCCATGGAAGCTGTTTGAGTTTCAGCCAGGGAAGGTGAAGCTAGGGCTGTATAAACAAAGTGATTTAAATCCTAAATGGCAGAGAATAGAGCAGTGAGACTGGAGGGGCACGATCTACACAATAAACTGCTAAAGTGTATCCCTTTATAAGGGTTAGTTTAGATAAAAGAGCTGTTCAAATAAATAAGCACCATGCGCACTACAAATTATTGAAAAGTGCAGGGTTCTTAGAGTAACCTGATCCCACTCTAATGTGCATGTACAGCCCAGCTAATAGCAGACAGAAGTCCAGTTCACTAACCGTAAACTGTGCTGTGGAAACATTTAAAACAGTGACAGTATGGCTGCTATCCATTTATAATGCAGCACTAAGTCAATGTATGTGATAATTGGAACTGAAGGACAGGGTTAAACTACTTATTCAATACCACCGACCCGAGAGGACGTTATGGGATAAGATCAGTCTCCATAGACCACTGTGAGATGTTCCTGATTGGAGCGTCTCATCCTGGTGTGGGAGAGTCTGCATTCAACTGGAGGCAGAACCATCAAGTAGTGCATCAAGGTAAATTTGATGGTGGGTAATATTCTTAAGGATTATTAATATAACAAATTAAAATGTTTAGATATATTAAATATATACATTTGAACAGAAAGCATGCAGATTACATACCATCTGTAGGGTTTTCCTTTAACTGTTCCTCAAACTCCTGCATGGCAGAAGTGCAGCTGTTGTGTAATAGTTCACCCAGTCTCTGTAAGTCTGCAACAGATTTCTCCAGAAGTTCTGCATCCCGAGCAATGCACTCGAGTCTGTTATATAGAGAACAGAAACATGATGGCTACTGACACTCAACATGGTAACATGGAAAAAAACATTGTATCGTACTCTAGAAACATACCTTTCAAGTGGAGTAGCAAACTTCTTATATGCCTTGATAAACCTAATAAAAAAAACATCCAAATAAGAACAAAACCATTCTTCTACAAATGAAATGAGAATATAAATTCAAAATGTGCAATTATGTGCAGAGAACAAGGAAAGTAGGACTCAAAATTAAATGGGCACTTTAAACAATCGAAGCCAACTGTAGTGGTTCGGCAGCCATGAGTCCTCTGGTGCCATCACCTGATGTAATCTAAATGTTTAATAATTGTTTGAAATAGACAAAGTGTCTTTGAAAACCAATCTCATCATGGCTGCATTAACAATGCACAGTTAGTACTTCTGCATGATCAATGTTCCCAGTTTTGATGACACTGATCAGGACAGAATGCTGGAGACGGGATTGCTCACACCACTCAGACAATCTCTATTATTTTTCTGTTACAATGGTAGAACATGTTTGTTTATGGCCTTTTTTAGTCGGGATGCTAGGTTACAAAAACAATTAAAGAGCTAAATCTCTGGTCCATTGGAGTGACAAGATAGGCTTTGAATAAAATATGAAAATTAAAGTCAAGCCGCAACAGTCGAGTCCAGTGAAAATAAGGATGGGATCCGAGAAACTCTTGTCTATCATCTACCACAGAATCTTATGATGTAGCTAGTTATTTTCAACAGAAGCCTTTCCATCAAGATACAATAATGGACAGATCAGATGTATCTTGTTTGCCAATGATAAAGGGATCCTATAGTGCCAAAAAAACAAAGCAGTTTTCCAGGCACTATAGGGTTAATAGGTCCCCACCTCCCTCGCACCCGTCCTCCCACGGGGCTGAAGGGGTTAAAAACAACAGGTGAGACCTAATGCGCATGTGCGGCAATGGGCTCGCACGCATTAGGCCTCCCCATAGGAAAGCATTATTTAATTCTTTCCAATGGGGAAAATCTGAAGCTGGAGGTCCATGTGGATGTCCAGCGTCAGATAACGGACCAAAATTCTGTTTGGATTCCTGGAAGCCCTCTAGTGGCTGTTCTGTTAGACAGTTAGGGCAGACTTAGAGCTGTAATGTAAACATTGCACTAAGTGCAAAAGGGACACAGCACCAAGACCACTCAATGAGCGGAAGTGGTCTGGGTGCCTATAGTGTCCCTTTAAGCCTTTGGGAACACTTTTAGCTAGTTATGTACTCCGTTTATACCACCAAATCATCCACAAAGCTACACGTTTCCAGCCAGTGAAAGGGGAGCTTCATAGACTTAAAAATCTAGGTCACTGACCTTCTGATCTCTGCATCTGTAAATCCCTCAACGTTATCCTTCCTAACGCTGCGAGGACGTCCTCTGCGTTTAGGTTTCTTTTCATCATCCGAGTCGTCTGAGTCACTCTCCGATCCAGAGGAACGCTGAGCTTTCTGTTTGGACTCCAAATCAGATTCACTATCATTTGCTGGAGCCTGAAAGGATTATAAAACCTCATATTACACCTATTAGGTAGGACTTAATTTTATATTTAAGCTCACCACTGTGAAAATTATGTATAGATAAATTATATAACATTTTGAGAATGCACAAGTTTGGCAGGATTCTTTTAACGCACGCTAGGGATGACCACATATCAACTGCAGCACTAGGTGAGATTTTAGATCATCCAATATGCACGAACAGAAGAACTACAAAAAACATCAGATTTTAAGTAAAGTCTTGTTTTACAACCTGTTAAACACAGGATACTACAATAGTGCTGAAATTCACTTAGTTCCCACCTTTTTATTCAAACTCCTAATTCTGGGAAGCATATAAATCTCCTCTAGCTCTTTCTGTCGCTCTTCATCTTCTATTTTCTTCCGCTGTCCTTCAGGAATGATGTCATCCCAATCATGTACTTTGTCTTCTAAGTCTGGCTCGGCTTCCTCCATAGTTGTAAAGTTGGCCACCTGAAAGAAACAGAGATGGGTTAAGGAAATTGAAGATGTCTGGGAATGCCACCAGCTAAATGCAGCTTTATCATTTCTTGTTCTCTCCATTCAGTCCGTTAAAAAACGATGTAGGTTTCAAAGGATATTTTTATCCATAGTAAAACGAATAATACATTTTCTTGATTATATTAATGTTTGTGTTCCCCCAAAGGAAAACATTGGTGTATAGGACAGTATTGACCTTTATCCTTAACCTGTACAATTTCTATTTTATTCAGAATATTTAAAAGGGAAACTTCAGGAATAGGTTTTATTTGCAGGGAAATGTAGATCCACTCCGAAACAAGCTTTATTAAGATGGAATGCACGCTTATATTACTCGTAATATTAAGTTATTTAACAAGGATAGATAGTTTGTTTTTTAATGTATTGTACTATGCATTATCCTAAATATATATTTCAGAAAAAAAGCATTCTGCATTATATCGTCTTTTACAAGAATGCTAAATACTAGGGCATTATGGCCACGTCACTCACAGCTGGTACTACCAATTTAATACATTTGTGAAATATTCTTTGCACAGATTAGGACAAAAAGGTTTGTATGCATAATACATTCTATAGCAGGAAACATTAAAGGACCACTACAGTGCCAGGAAAACATACACTATAGTGCCCTGAGGGTGCCCCCACCCTCAGGGACCCCCTCCCGCCGGGCTGGATGGCGAGTAGAGGGGTTACATTTACCTTTATTTCAGCGCCAGGCGGGGAGCTCTCCTCCTCCTCGTCGGCTGAATGCGCATGTGCGGCAAGAGCTGCGCGCGCATTCAGCCGGTCTCATAGGAAAGCATTTATAATGCTTTCCCATGGAAGCTGGCGTCTTCTCACTGTGATTTTCACAGTGAGAAGCACGCAAGCGCCTCTAGCAGCTGTCAATGAGACAGCCACTAGAGGATTTGGAGGCTGGATTAACCCATTTCTAAACATAGCAGTTTCACTGAAACTGCTATGTTTATAAAAAAAGGGGTTAATCCTAGAGGGACCTGGCACAGACAGAAAAATAATTGAATTTATTCACAAACAAATGTAATATAATAATACTACCATTGTACCTTGAACTGAGACAAAAGCTCATCGGTGGCAGTGGACACTGGCTCATTCTCCCTTGTTTCAGCCATGCGTAAAATCTCATCGATGTCCATTTCCTGATAGAAAACAGAAAGAAATTAAAGCGAGTCTTAGGAAAACAATCAAACACTAGCAAAACAAAGCCCTTGAAATTAGAATGTGTGTATTCATCTATGGGATAAGAAATAGGAAAGTAACATGGCAATAATCAGAAGTTGTACTTACCAACACAAACTACTTTTACTTCATACATTTATTCCAGTGACACACAGTAGATTTTTCATAACTAGCTCTAACTAAAAAGTTACTAACCTGAGGCTCTGACTCTTCACCTTCAGGTTCCTTAAAAAGGTCCGCAGCACCAAACTTTAGAATAGCAGCAAGTTCTTCTTTGTTAAATGGATTGGAACTGTAAAGAGCAAATCAGGAATCCATATAAACAAAAAACACACCCCTAAAACTCAAAACAAAACAAACAAGGATCCCATAATCTGATGGGATGATACATATATCAACTGTTCTTACTTTGAACTTCCAGAGTTGTTGTTGTCCAGCACTGTCCTGCCTGTGGTATCCATGCGTTGGATTACAAGATGGTCCAGAACCATTTTCTTTTTTGCCCGTTCGATGATCTCTTCCTCCACAGTGTTCTTAGTAACAAGTCTGTATATATTTACCTGCAATATAGTGCAATTGGTTTTCCATTGTTCATATCCACATGACATGAAGAATGTATCAGTATCAAGTACACTCCTAATGTAAACTAATATCATTATGAAGTATCAAACAGTAGTTTGGCAGCCATTCCATAGACAAATATACAACCCCTCCAATATAGAGGGTAAGAGTGTGCAGAACTTGGAGGGTTCCTTTAAACTTAATTATATACATTTCACTTGATAACATGATATATGAATAGATAGACCCTGTGGGAAACAATTACAGGCAGCAATCTTCAGCAAGAAAACTAAAAACATCTATCTAGCTACATCATTTGCAGGAATATCAGTGGTATCCTACTGAGTGCTTAGCATGTGCTGGTTAATTTTGCATAAACTAACCAAGGAACAATTGATAGCAGCAAAACCTGGATCTTGAAATTAAAATGTACTTATAGTGGATATACAATTCAATGCAATTTAATAGGGAAATCGCTAACCTGTTTCTTCTGGCCTATTCGATGAGCTCTTGCTTGAGCCTGCAAGTCATTCTGGGGATTCCAATCAGAATCGAATATGACTACAGTGTCAGCAGAAGCCAAGTTGATCCCCAGACCACCAGCCCGTGTGGAGAGCAGGAAGCAAAAGTCCTGAAAAGTATTGAAATGTAAAGCAATCAATACAGGGAATATTTGAGTAACACAACTGGTCTAATGCAGCCGTGCAACATACAGCTATTACCTTATACTACAGTTTACAAATTGAAACATGCTTTTCAATTAAAGGAATATCAATCTGAGATGGCAAATGCAAAGTGAGGGTCATAGAACCACTAGTCAACTGAAACACATTTGAAGTATATTCTGGAATCCTCACAAGGTTATTTAATAAAGTGACAACTGCTGGGAATTCAAAGTGAACATCAAATGTAAAGGCCAAAAGTTCTGAAATGGAAAAATTCTCCACATCAGCTATGTTTCCAGTTTGGCTATTTTTGGTCTGTAATTTGAAATTCACAAAAAAATTACACTACAGTGAAAAACCTGTAAATGATTTCCATGAAGCAGTATCACCTTGGGGCACAGAGTGTTGTCAAAGAAAATATTTTAATATTACCATCTTGTTACTTTAGTCCTACCTCTGATCCTTCAGCATTAAAGTGATCCAGGGCTTGCTTCCGAAGTTCCCCCTTTATTGAGCCATCCAATCTCTGCAGGAATAGAAAACATAAACTAGTATTATGGAAACGCCCTGTGCAGGAGATCGAAGTGAGAAATTCAATATGAGCTACTCTAATTCTGAATCACCAGGGATTAAAAATAACTTTGGTGGTTATTCCCTCCAAATAGAGGCCCTGTGACCAGACAGATCTCCTTACAGAGTATTGGACAACTAGTGGTCTGCGACTTAACTCTTTGGTCGAGTAAAGGAACTAGCACACCTTGCAGACTGGTTTACAAGACACAATTTGCATGGTCTTTTAAACTGTGTTTACAATGGAGTTAAAGTTGGACTCATTCACAGTCCCCCCCCAAAAAAATTATAAAGGTAAAGAATAAAAAATAAATTTTAAGTAATATGTTTACTTTTTTTACTTGCTTTATATGGGGTTATTTACTAAAGTGAGAATTCAGAGTGAATTTCAAAATCAAGCTCAAAGTAACTGAACAGGAAAAATCTCTCAGTCTATTCTTTTAGTTTTGCTAGTCTGGCCTTAAATTTGAAATTCCCTTTAGCAAGTAACTCTATTACACTTAGTAAATATGGGTCTCACTCGTGTCTAGTGTCTCTTTTTTAATCAGTGTGGCTACTGCTGTAAACAAACTCCATATATTTTACTGTACTCTTGGATTACTGCAGAAATTGCACTTCTCAGCACTAATGGGACTATCAAATTCTGCAGATATTGTACAGACCCACACCAGGCAGAACAAATCACAGTTAAATAGTATGTCTATTTAAAACAAATTTTCAAAGGTTCTAAAATTCAGACATCTTAATAATGAGGATGTGGATGTGATAGAAAGGTCCATTCACAGAAATAACGCTTTCCTTTAAAAACCCGCAATCCATCATATAACCACAATTGTTCTAAACCTGAATACTATTTATTTTTTCTACTGCATTACCTGGAAAGGGTAGTGTCGGATTGTCAGGTATTCTGCTAAGATGTCCAGCATGCGCACCATTTGGGAAAAAATAAGCACTCTGTTCCCTCGTTCACGCAGTCTTGTCAGCAGCTTGTCCAGAAGAATTAGTTTCCCACTGCTCCTAATTAAAGTCTGGGGGGAGAAAAATTCTTACAATGACCAATTACGTCTCTGAGAGGTCTACCTTAGCTTATGCTCCCTTATACACAAACCTAAATGTGGGATGGTCAGGTACCATGTCCTACAAAGAGGAGGCTGGACACGTTTTTAAAGCCTTTTTTTCCCTTGACATTCTATGGCAGAGGTGCCCAAAAGGTAGATTCCACCGATGTGGAAGAACTACAACTCCCATGATGCTTTGCATGCCTTTAAATTATAAAGTATCATGGAAGTTGTAGGTTTAAAACATCTGGGGTTCAACCTTTTGGGCACCCCTGTTCTATAGCATAGAGTAATCAGAAATTGATTGTTATGGCAATCTACATTGGCCCTTTACAGTGCTATGCAATATAATTCCACCTCTAGGCTATAGCAAACCAACATGGAATTATTGTTATGAAATAAAGCATTCACTGGTGCTGAAAGAGATACATAAAAAATGTCCACATAAAGTTAAACATCAGGCCTTTACTTTATATAATGATTAGTGTGCTAAATGCTGCATTAGCATCCATTGATTTATTACATTTTTTTGGGGGGTGGAGTACTTACTGGGTTGACTAAAACATAGAAATAATAATGCTTACATTTCTTTACTTTACTTACTATTGCAACTACTGAGAAAGCTAAACTCACATGTACTTTTTTTTATTCACTAACCTGCAAACCCTCTTGTTTGCTCTCCTTCTCTATCTCCTCTGGGTATTTGATGAGAAAACAGTGGTTGCAGCACTTCTTCAATTCCATGACAATGTTAAGAAAGCCAGATGTGCTACCTCTTGTTCCCTTGGATAAAGCCCTGTAGTTCCTTGTTAATATCCACCTGTTGGCAAAACAAAAAAGTGGGGAGATTACAATTTTGATTGCATTAATCCAGGATGTTAGCTTTTAGCTTATATCAATACGATATCACAGTCCTTAAATCCGACTTGGATCATCTCACTTTTGCATTGACAAGGAGGAGACTTACTTGTAATACTGCTTCTGCAAAGCGCACATCTCTATTCGCAGGATCTGTTCTACTTTGGCTGGTAGAGACTTCTCCACATCCTTTTTGACTCTGCGCAAAAGGAAGGGTTCTAGGACCTTGTGTAGACTCTGGTACCCATTATCTCTCCCTTTGCCGTGCTCGTCTTCAAAGTCCTCCCAATATTCAAACCTAAAAAAAGTCATAATAAACATTTAGCTGTATTTGGCAGCTATCATGTAACATCTATTCATTAGAAGTCTCCTGCAAACAAGTATGCATTTTCCTGGCATTGATATTCTATAATTGTAAAGAACATTCTGAGTCCTTAAAATGAACAATCTAAATACCATAATCACTACAGCTTATTGTAGTGTAAGCAGGCTGTAATTACATAACCTCTGTTCTGGTCAAACAGTTTTCAGGCCATCTGACAAATACCTAAGATCTCCCCAGCACATAGGGATGCAGCTTTTTTCAATTCAGCAATGCAGCTAACCTGTAAAAACTGGGCTTTTGGTAATACACATGATGGTAAATAATACCCTATAACATGGAGTTGGTTACATTATTTATACTCACTTCTCTGGCATGATAAAGTGCAACAGAGACCACAGCTCCTTGAGAGAGTTCTGAAGGGGAGTCCCTGTGATCAGTAACCTGTGGTTGGATTTGAAGTCTATGAGTGTTTTGTAGAGCAAAGAATCATCATTCTTCAACCGATGTGCTTCATCCACCCCAAGAAATGCCCAGTTAATACTACTCAATACCGCCTGCAGGACAAAAAACAACAACAAAATAAGCCTCAAAATGGAAAACATGGATTAAAAATGCAAGCAATATAGTGAGTTCAAAGGAAGCATTAACAGACATGTACACACATATATTTCAGCTTTTGGGATATTTTAAATTTGATGGACTGCTACACAGCCCAAGAGAAATTAAGCAGGAGGATAGGGAAATCAATCTGTAAATGTTAAAATAATAACAGAATGGGAATATTCAAAATATTTATAAATAACAATTCCTTTAACAAGCGATGTTTTCAAAGTTTGACCACAAAAACTCTTTTATAACTGAATAATCAGCATAACTCTCTATTATTCTATTAATTCTGGCCAAAGGTTGTTTGCTCACTTAAAAGACATATTTGCTGTGCTTCTATTAATGCACCTGTACGGGTTACATATGAAACACTTGCATTCATTTTAACAAAGTTAAATAGAATTTGTGGACTTACTGAAGTAGTATGGAATATGTGTACAACTAAAATTAATTTCCAAAAGAGTTAAACATTTGGATCTTCAAGCTACAATGAATCTGCTGCCATTCAATTTTACAAATATAAATCTAAAAAGCAGACTATGACTACTAAGTTATGTCAGCAGCGATGCAATTCAGTAGTGTTGGTTTCCATGAAAAAAAAATATTTTCAACTAAAAAAAGAAGCACAACATATTGTTCTGATATACAGGAAATGTGTTGCTAATAACCTACTTTGTCCTTCAGCAAAATCTCATAGGTGGTTAGTAGTGCATTGAATTTCATCTTCTTGCTCTGCTGATGAACCCATTCATATTCTCGTATCTAAAAGTTGAAAATTAAGATGTAAAATTTGTTCTTAAGATGATGCTTAGCAGTAGTCAAGTACAACTTCCACAAGATGCATCTTGGACGTAAAAACCCAAGGGCAGAGTACAGAATATTTGATAGAGTTCTAACCTCAACATATGAGGAAAGGGATTTAGGGGTGATTATTTCTGATGACTTAAAGGTAGGCAGACAATGTAATAGAGCAGCAGGAAATGCTAGCAGAATGCTTGGTTGTATAGGGAGAGGTATTAGCAGTAGAAAGAGGGAAGTGCTCATGCCATTGTACAGAACACTGGTGAGACCTCACTTGGAGTATTGTACACAGTACTGGAGACCGTATCTTCAGAAGGATATTGATACCTTAGAGAGGGTTCAGAGAAGGGCTACTAAACTGGTTCATGGATTGCGGGATAAAACTTACCAGGAAAGGTTAAAGGATCTTAACATGTATAGCTTGGAGGAAAGACGAGACAGGGGGGATATGATAGAAACATTTAAATATATAAAGGGAATCAACACAGTAAAGGAGGAGACTATATTTAAAAGAAGAAAAACTACCACAACAAGAGGACATAGTCTTAAATTAGAGGGACAAAGGTTTAAAAATAATATCAGGAAGTATTACTTTACTGAGAGGGTAGTGGATGCATGGAATAGCCTTCCAGCTGAAGTGGTAGAGGTTAACACAGTAAAGGAGTTTAAGCATGCATGGGATAGGCATAAGGCTATCCTAACTATAAGATAAGGCTAGGGACTAATGAAAGTTTTTAGAAAATTGGGCAGACTAGATGGGCCGAATGGTTCTTATCTGCCGTCACATTCTATGTTTCTATGTTTCTAAGATCTAGTTAGTACTTGTAAAACAATATTTGCCATTAACAAACTTTGCTGTCTGAGCAGCCACATATCATCTGAGAGTCACTGGTGACATAATAAACTATACGAGTCTTAGCCAAGATCTGGCACAAACTTAAGTAGAAGATCTTTATGTTGTGCTGCAGATATTACAGACACTCACCGTATTCCTGCTTCCCATGTCTCCGATGTAAACTACTACATTAATATCAGGTGCCCAGATCTCAAACTCCCTCTGCCAAGATGTTAGAGTTGATAGGGGCACAACTAAGAGAAATGGCCCATAGAGCAGATGCTGGTGGAACAAGTAGGAGAGGAAGGAAATAGTCTGTATAGTCTTCCCCAAGCCCATCTCATCTGCAAGGATTACACTGTTGTACCTACAAGTTAAGGGACAACAGCAGAAGTGGATTAGGGTAAAATACAAAGGGGGGAGGAGTGAAAGACAATAATTGTATTCAGTCTCTGCAAATTAAACAAACTATCTTCCCTCTGCTCTTCCCCAGTTTACAATCGCATATGCATATACAATCGTTATGCATTTTATCCTTTCATGGTTTTACGCCACAATTTTTTTTTATTGTACTTACAGAAGCTAAAGAAATAAAATATGAACAAGAGAAAAAAAATCTGCTTGTTAGGATACGTGTTGGTATCTTAAGTGAACCACAAGGCCCTTGTGCTTACTGACAACTAAAAAAAAAAAAAAAGCCACGTCTGCAGACTGTTGTGGGTGATTGACTATGTAGGGTACTGACAAAATTAGGGTTTGCCACCAACTTGATAAGCTCTGAATGGCACTTGGAGTTAATCTGGTATATCCCCACAAATACACATTAATTTCACTCTGTTTTGCGCTACAAAAGTATATTTAACTTTTTGGTGTGTTACAATGAAGACTCCAGATACGTACTTGCACCACGAGTGAGCTAGCCAATTAAGACCCTCCAGTTGGTAGTCTCGCAGCTCCAGGCCCTCACCACCAATATGAGCAGGTTGCTTCTTTAAGGTAACAAACCTTGGTCTCTGCCTTAGAACCTTTAAAGAAATATAGATACAATTCTCAGAATACATGTATTTGTGTTTTAAAAAAGATTAGACTTTATTTATCAAAATAAGCAATTTTTTCAACCTGATCTGTAACTCCTCTACTTGGTCGTTGTACAAAGTATTCTGCTCTACCCAGCCTGTCACGTGGCCATCATTTAAATAAAGGATATTAAAATACTGGACATCCAGCTAGACACAAACACCCATAAATATTTGCCAGCCAGCTCTTTAAGGACTGAAAACTACTCAGCAATTTAGCTTCCAATCCAAAGGATTGTGTCTCATTTCTGACACTCAAAATTAATATTAATCCAACAATGATGTTCAGTTATCACATTAATTTTCACTAAAACAGACTATCCGTTTACACTTTCATTGTTTAAATGGAAGGGGTAATTTTAAATGAACAATGTCTAAAATACAGTTAATGCAAGATGTTACTGTGTTGAATACAAATCATACACTTTTCATAATATAGAATGAGTGAAGATTGTGCATAAACCCATGTTGTAAATGTAAAGTAAAGGGATGCCACTGTTAAATGTTTTTTTGTTTTTTTTTAAAACAAGGCTGGGCCAAAAGGAACCCCCCATCCGTTGTAGAGATACACCTTACCTATTTTTATTTACCTATATGTTTTATAAGGAAATACACATTGAGATGTATCTTGTTTTCATGTATTTCCTGGAGTTCATGCTTTACCAGCCTTTCACACATTCTTAAAACCTATCCCATAAAATAGTTTTTTAATAAATCCTCCATATAGTTATCTGAGATCATGCCCCCGAAATACTTTACAGAATGTTTTATCATACAAAGTTACAAAATCACTTAAAGGGACACTATAGTCACCAGAACATCTACAGCTTATTGAATTTGGTCTGGTGAGTAGAATAATTACCATCAGGATTTTTGCTGTAAACACGGTCTTTTCAGAGAAAATGCAGTGTTTACATTGCAGCATAGTGATAACTTCACTGGCCACTCCTCAGATGGCTGTTAGAGATATTTCCTGGGTCATGGCTGCCTAAAATGCATCCAAACATTCAGTGTCTCCTCCCACTGCATGCAGGCACTGAACTTTCCTCATAGAGATTCATTGATTCAATTCATCTGAGGAGGAGATGCTGATTGGCCAGGGCTGTGTTTGAATCATGCTGGTTCTGCCCCTGATCTAGCTCTCTGTCAGTCTCAGCCAATCCTATGGGGAAGCATTGTGATTTGATCAGGCTACCACTTCTGATGATGTCAGCATACTGCTTGTTTTCTGAGTCTAACAGAATGCAGATCTACAGGCTTGAATACGGTAAGATTTTTACTATATTTATGGAAGTATGAGTGGCCCAGGGGGGCTAGATGGTGGTTTTAACACTATAGGGTCAGGAATACATGTTTGTGTTCCTGACCCTATAGTGATCCTTTAAGCAAGTATAATAAAGGTGCATTATATGGGCAATTTAGCCACAGTAGAAGAACACTGAAGAGAAAAAAACGACAGTACCTCTTATCCTCTTATGGTAGCAATATGAGGCATACACACCTTGTAGTCTTTTGCCGGGGTGGTTTTTGAATTATTTCTGGAGCTGAAGCTGTCAATGCAATGTTGAAACTTCTTGCTAATGAGAGCCCCATCTTCCCAGCTGCAGTCTGCGTACGGAAGGCCCATCCATTTGCACAGGTACTCCGGTTCATTAGAAGAGGCCATTTTTTTAACGTGAGCTAGTGCAAAAGCAAAAAAGAAGGATTAGCACAGAAACTAACCTTCCAAAAAGAAAACACAGAACAACTAAGCAGGTTTGTTTCTTCAGACTAGAAACAAGCGCAAATTCTAAGCACTGCATAATAATAAAAAAACACACACACACACAATTCCTATTAATCAATCCATACTTCAATTAAATCAACAGGAAGTGGTGTGGCCAATCGCCACTTTTCGGGCTGATAGTATTTGTTCAATTCAAACACCAATACCTATAGAAACGCTGGTTGTGTCAGAAAATATGTACTATGACTATCTGAATGATCAAAGTGTGAGATAAGTATTGTTGTGCACATTTTCAGCATCGTATGATGACGAATGTAATTCAAGGCACATCCAAAATACAATTTGAAAAGGTCTAAAACTAAAAGGGAAATACTAAATAAGTACCATTGGTATTAAAAATAGATGGATGTTTAGGATAGAAAAGGTATGTGCAAACAACAAAATATGGATTAATCATGGGACAGTTTACCTGGAAAGTCAGAATGTCCAGAACCAGACTTGCTAGTCTTCACCGCTGTGTAAATAAAAATAAATGATATGGTTTTACCATTACGTTTGTCATAATGGCTTCTTTCTTTCAGTAAGATTAATATGCATCAAATGTATTAAAGGGACACTGCAGTGTTGGGAATGTATATCTGTATTCCTAAAGCTACAGTCTTCATGTTTCTATCTAGTTTTAACCCCCCCCCCACCCTCACTCGTAAAAAGAAAAGCAAAAAAAAAAAAAAAAAAAGTGTAAAAATTAACTCACCTTCCCTCCGCTGCCACGGTGTGTCTCCAGGATGACGGTCCAATTAATGCTCCTCATAGGGGAGCATTGAGAACGAACCAGCATGCGTGACTCCTGCAGTGATGTTCCTCTGATTCTGCCATAGAGAGTCATTGCATGCAATGACACTATGGCAGAGTGTGACAGAACCATGAATTACATCAACATATTCTAGGGCAGGGCTTGACAAATCCCAGATGACAAGTCGCCATGGCGACCAAGAATTTTGTCCTGGTGACTCAGATTTTTCTGCCCATTCAGCGGAGACGGCAATGGAGAATGCAGGAGGCGGGTGAGAGAGTGGAGGCGGCCAGCCGGTATTCTATCCAAAAACTCTACCTCTTATAGAACACTGGTTGTAGGAGAGCGGAGGATGCCGGATGAATGACATAGAGGTGGGCAGGTAGGTAGCCGGCTAAGTGCGGAGGTGGCGATTGAGTTGTAATCTCCCTGCTCTGCTCCCTTACACTCACTCCAGTGATGCCGGGAGCTGGAATGACGTCACTCTGGCCCCTGTCTCACTAAACAGAGCAGGGAGATGAGAGCAGCCCCACTGGACCCCAGAGAAAACCAGTCCACTCAAGCTCTCCTAAAGGTAGGGGAGGCTGGGTGGATTTCAATTAAAATGATTTTTAAAAATAATAATTTCTGAGTGTGTGTGTTGGTCAGTCAGTGTGTCTGTCTGTGAGTGAGTGTGAGTTTGTCTGTTTAAGGTGATCTTCCCCCTTTTCATTGCATGGGAAATGCAAATAAAGTCACTTTTTCTACCACGCCGTGCCTGTCTCGCCATAGCTGGCCCCGCCTCCATTGCGGAGATAATCATTCTGGATAAGCTAAGCCAAGCCAATGCTTTACCTCTGGACCCTATTGGTCTACAGTAGGACATTCTTCTAAACCTGTTGGCTTAGTTTCTCTTTGTTTCTTTTGATACTGTTGCAAAAGCTGTGTTTCTGAACACTAGACACTCTTCAAGATTTATTGCTACTTAGTAGCATCCTGTGCTCCAATAGAGTCTGGCCAGCTATTTGTTCCACAGAGAATGTGCAGGGTTTATGACTAACTCTTACTAAATATTATTAAATGTTAAGTTTTAATCATGCTGACAAAGGTCTGAGCTACTTTTTTTGTTTCTTAGATTCCAATTAAATTTGTCAAGCCTCGTGCTAGAGTATGAGAACTAGGAAGTAACAGTCCCAGCTCTCCTACGCAGAGGGTCTGGAAGCACACTTTCAAGCCTTCTTACATAGTTACATTGCTGAAAAGAGACTTGCGTCCATTATGTTTAGCCTTCCTCACATTTGTTTTTTGCTGTTGATCCAAAAGAAGGCAAAAAAAAAAATACAGTTTGAAGCACTTCCAATTTTGCAACAAGCTAGGAAAAAAATTAATTCTTGACCCCAGAATGGCAATCAGATATCCTTGGATCAAGCAGTTATTAACCGACTTTGAAAGATTATATCCTTGAATATTCTGTCTTTGCAAGTATGCATCTAGTAGCTGTTTGAACATCTGTATGGATTGATAAAACCACTTCTTCAGACACTGAATTCCACATTGTTTTTACAGTAAAAAAACCTTTCCTTTGCCTTAGACAAAATCTTCTTTCTTCCAGTCTAAACGCATGACCCCATGTCATATGTTAAGTCCGGTTTGTGAATAGATTTTCACACAATGGTTTGTATTGGCCCCGAATAGATTTCTAAATAGTAAAATACAGTCATTTGGGGCCACTAGGGAAATGGTGGAGGGTAGGGGGGACTATTGCAGCACTATAACAAATTCATCTAAATTAAGTACTCTACAGATATGAAAAAAAAAAAAAACTTTTGCACAAATTGCAAATATTTAAAAACCACAGGCTGGAAATATATATATACATACACACACAAAATATTATTTTCCTTCATTAAAAATGCCACTCACAATCTGTGACTGCAATTATTATTTTCTCTAATGTAGTAAAACAATGATGATATCCCACTTACCTATAACCCTCTCAACTATCTGGTACTGTTTGTTCAATTCAGATGCTAATTCTTGCTGACAGTTAAAATACTCTACGTCTTCAGGTGAAACTTTTGACAGCCTATTAAAAAACAAAAAAACAATTCAAAATTAAATGAACACTCTGTTATTAGTTAATTTATTTTAGGCTGAAAGCCCTTAGTGGCTGTCTCATTCACAGACACTGGAGGAGTGGGAATTGCAAAAAGAAACAGTGTTGCTTCTCAGAAACGGCTCTGTTGTCATTTACAGGGCTCCAGGGGCGGCATTTATACCCCAAAATGATATAATTAAGATATAATTAAGATTAAGCGTTTTTGGTACTAGTTTTGCAGAAAAGCGGGTAAGTCATACCAATGCTTGATTTCATCATCTTTCTTCTTGAAATTTTCCAGCTTTTTCAAGCCTTTCACCTTCTGCTGCTGCAGAGACTCTTCACTTTCCCAGGTGCTGTGGATGTAAGACCACCCTTTCCATTTGATAAGATACTGTGGCTCCCCTTCATCGGTTTCAGGATTAAAGTCAGCACAAGGATCCCCATTTTCTTCCATAGTATACACAGTAGTTGATGCTCCAGTAACTGAAATAATAATTTTTAAAAGTCTAGTTAGCGCTTTATTTTTTTACACAATACCAAATGCCTATAATGAAGCTGCCAAGGCACTGTCAGGCACACAGCAAAAATCTAAAGTGACACTAGAGTCACCAGAACAACTACAGATTATTGTATTTGTTCTGGTGAGTATAGTTAGTGCCTGCAGGCTTTTTGCAGTAAAAACATTTTTTTCAGAAAAAAGGCAGTGCCCAGGGACACCTCCACTTGCCACTCCTCAGATGACTACTAGAGGTGCTTCCTGGGGTATTGCTGCACAGTGTGCAGCACTGACAATCAGTATCTCCACCCTCTGCATGCAGACACTTAACTTTCCTCATATAGATGCATTGATTCAATTCATCTCTATGAGGAGATGCTGATTGGCCAGGGCTGTGTTTGTCTTGTGCTGGCTCTGCCCCTGATTTGCCTCCTTGACAAGCTCAGTCAATTCAATGCTTTCCTATCGGAAAGCGTTCTGATTGGCTCGGAACACCACTTCTGATGATGTCAAACAAGCAGGCAGATCAGGGGAAGAGCCAGCAGTAGATGACTGCAATAAAGGTAAGATTTTACTATATTTAGGGGGTAACAGGGGAGAAAGGGTGGCTAGATAGTGGTTGTGTTCCTGATCCTATAGTGTTCCTTTAATTAATGATGCCGTTCGTATGGGCCCAAGACAGTGTATATACATTTAATGAATATTGCATTGTAAAAGAATCTTGCAGAGGTATTTTTATACACTATATCTCCCTGTAAACATTTTGAAATTAACTGGGGTGAGAGAGAGGAACTGTCACCTACTCAAAGATGATTATTGTTCTTTATTATGAATATGAACATATGTATATTAAACTAGGAGTTTGCATGAAATGTTGCAGCACATATAAACCCATATGGATTTGCTGATGTTATATATATTATTTTGGTACAAAGGGCTATCATTTCTTATGCTGTATCATGTGAACAAAATAAAAGTAGAATATAAGCTACCCTTACCTCCTTTCTTTCCAATCCTGGTGTCCAATACTTTCTCTATAGTCTCGTGATTATCTTCCTGCTCCTCTACCTCCTCCCCTGCCATTTCTATCAGGTCATCGGAATCTGTCTCAAAGTCATCATCTTCTTTGTAGCTGTTGCAATTCAAAATCACTAATGGTTTAACACTGTTTGCATAAAACAAATGATAACAAATCTGTTTCCACGCAAAACCAGCTAGATGGGGCCAGTCTGGCCCACCGGGACCCGCAAATTTTCCAGTGGGCCGTGGCACCTGGGGGATGTGCATGTAGGTGTCACAGTGTGGCTGGTCCGGTGGCACACTCTGAGGTGGGCGGCAGCGTTCCATGCTGGTTCCGCCGGGCCGGGTGGCCGCCTAGCCGATCCGGCGGCACACACTCACTAATGCTGACAGCAGTGAGCTGTCAACATAGGAGGACTGAAGGGGGGAGCCATCTCTCTATCATGCTCCCTTGCGGTTCCCACAATTCCCAGCACAGCACATCATACTGTGCTTGGAATTGTGGGAACCATGAGGGAGCATGATAGAGAGACATGCTCCCTCCTTCAGTCCTCCTATGCTGACAGTTCATCGGCTAGGCGGCCACCCGGCCCGGCGGCACCAGTGTGGAACGCGGCCGGCCCCCTCTGACTTCTTTTGGTAAATGGGAGGGGGAGAAAGAGACACAGGGGAAGAGGGAAGAAAGACAGTGGGAGAATAGAGAGAGACAGAGGGGAGAGAGAGTGACACAGGGAAAGGAGGGAGAAAGAGACAGAGGGGGAAGAGTGAGACACAGGGGGAGAAAAAGGGGGAATAGAGAGAAAGAGACAAAGGGGAAGAGAGATGTGGGGGAGAGAGACACAGGATAAGGGGGGAGAAAGAGACAGAGGGGAAGAGAGGGACACAGAGGGAGAGGGAAAAAGAAGAGACACACACAGGGGGGAGGGAGAAAGAGGCAGAGGGGGAGAGAGACACACAGGGGGAAGAGAGAGACAGGGAAAGAGTGGGGAGACATGGACACAGAGGAGCAGTGAGGGGGAGAAACAAACATACAGAGGGACTGGGGGACACACAAAGACACACAGAGGGGCTGGAGGTAGAAAGAGACGCACATAGGGGCTATATATACAAATTGTTGATCCTGATGAAAGTCCTGAACAGAGGACTGAAACGTTGATGATCATTTTTTAACTACTGAATAAAGATTGGAAACTGAAAGGACCGTGAGTGCAGCCACATTTTTGGAGATATATATATATATATATATAAAATTAAGCCTATAATATTTACACATATATTATTGTCCATTTATATATGCATAATACACAGATAAATATAATTAATATGTACCATATGTAATGAGCAGATATAGGCCCAGTCTTGTTGCTAGGTGCATACTGCAGCACAACAACATATTTAAAATGAAGAGTGAACCCACAGGACTTCAAAATAAACAAGATAACGTCATTTTTTACAGCTGTGCGCTACATACATTCACCAAACTTTCCTTAATATGTCAAGGTAGTTGGACTGAAACATTGATTACATGCAAAGGCACATCTGCTTAAAATAAATCTGCATTTTTGTTTATTTTGAAGCCTATGAGTGCTTTTTTTCACGTTGAAGTAATCATTTTTAATTTTAAGTTTTCTTTTCTAGCTCTGTATCAGCACACTACGCTGGCGCGACGCATTATTGGGCTGGTAATTAATTTTTTTTCCAGGGCTGCTTTTACTTCCCAATCCGGCCCTGCCAGCTAGTGCAATATAACGCGTTATAGGGTAATCAGCCAGATGCCTTATATACCTAGACAGAAATATGCTCCAGATTCTTAACTATAAATTGTCCAAGAAAAAGGCATTTTTCGAAGTTATAGATCATCATTCCTACAAACAAGTAAATAGCTACTTGTAGCAAAAAAAAAAAAATAACTATGATAGTGTAAATTCTGCATTACTACCCTACAGGATCCTACCTGACATTTTTAGCTACTTGACGCCTGGTTTGCCTTTTAGGTGTTTCGTCATCATCGTCGTCGTCATCGTCCTCCTCTGAAGAATCCTGCTTTCTCTTGTTCCCACGTTGAGGCTTCTTTGTATTCCTTGTAGAAGCCCTGGAAATGGTTAAACAAATTTTTAAAGAACACAGTATGCAAATATTTGCAAAATAAATAAAATTATGTTTAATAGTATAATACAAACACTTTTAATCTCCCCAACCTTCATAACTCCAAATACATGCCATTCAATCCTGCAACGTGTACATGTGTGATGGAAAATGTATACTGGGGCTACACATAAATATATAACATTTCCCCTATCATTTAAATAACATGCAAACACCCCAGAATTGAACACATTTATGGCTATGTAATAAGTCAGCCTATTATAAATCAGTTTATGGCATTAAGGAAAATGCTAAAAGCTTGCCTAAGCATTGCTAAATTGTAAAATGTTTAATATGTTATGTGACAGAACCGCAGTTCTGCCACTATGCAGAGACATTCACCCCAATTTCTCACTTAAGAGCTAAAGTCACACTCCCTGGTTTTCCCCTTGTCCTTCACCAGGCATACCCCCGAAGACTGACCTCACTCCAACCCAGTGACCGACCCCAGTAGGGAAAGCCAAAAGTCTCCTAGTGGTTACTAAGACTATGACCAGGTGGCGATTCAACACTTAAGTATCACAAGAGAGCTCTTTTGACTCAAGGAGGCTAAGGGGGGAGAGCTATCCAGAGATATATGAAATGTGAAGTTGTCATGATTCCCCAGGACCCAGGTCCGAGGCTTCTCTCCGTCAGTTCGAACGCCGGCCACATTAGCGTCACCCCCTTTTATGACACAGCACGCGCACGCCAGGATGCTGATGACATCACTGCAGTGCGTGCATGCCAAAGTCATGGCCCGCCAAAACGCTGCCGTTTTGGGGGCATGGCTTCAAATTTAAGGATCCAACCTATAAACGTCAGATTCACCCATAGTACTTAGCCCTGTTGTGGTTCTACCTACAGTTCCAAATAATGCTTTGCTTTACTGTGTTGCTTGTGTATTGACCTCGGCTATCTGACCATTCTCCTTTCTGTATTCCTGACTCGTCTTTTGTACCTCGCTACTGTGATTTCTGGTTCCCTTGACTCGGCTTGTATTTCTCGCTTCTGTGATTTTTTTTTGCTCCCTCCACCTTGGCTGGTCCCAGACCATTGTTTATCTGTCGAACGTCAAGTCCGGCCATTCTAAGGTCGGTTATACATTCTCATATTACATCCTGTGTTTTGGGTCTCTAGGGAATATATGTTCTGGGGTATATTGTAAGGGTGTCTTGATGTATGGGGGATTATTAGCTTAGCGGTTCCTGATATAGTTATCTCCCAGACTCCTAGGCGCCAGGGTGGGATTTACATTGTTCAAGTAATGAACCCCTTTGTTGGGGTCGTGTGTATAAAACTGTGTCTTGTTCTCAATAAACCAGTTCTTATGCACCCTTCACTACATCTCAGCTAGTGTTTGAGTGAGACAGGTATAATCACTCCAAGCATCCACTGCTGACTCAATGGAGACACTTAAGCAGAGTACTGAGCTCCGCCACACGTTCCTTATCAGTTCCCCATTTCAAGCAAACATTTGTTAACGCCAGAAAGAAAGGTATACACATTGCAGTTATAGACCACTTCTATATATTTTGTATTTACATATATGTATTTTCTTTTAATACTGAAAAAAATTCTTTGAGTAGATGAAAAGAAAGCATTCCTACCGTTTGGGTTGTAATCGCCGGGATCTGACTTTTCTTTGCTCTGCTTCACTTTCTGCACTACTGGCCTCTTCCTCATCATCCTCATCATCCTCATCATCATCAGAAAAAAAAGTTTTCTTCTCTCTGTGAAAGCAAAATTTTATATAAAGTAAAATTCTGACAAACTTCGTTCCAAAGTGGATCAACCTATTTCTAAGGGTTTTATGGAACAGGCTGTATATCCTACTGCCATACAATTTAATTTGTACATTTGCAACCATCTAATATATGAATTTAAAAAAAATCATAAAGAATGAGACAGATTCTAACCATTCCCTGCATTTAAAACTCTATGACATTCTCCGCATCCGAGGGAATACAGAGGAATTTACTCTCTCAGCCTATAACGCTCAGCCTTGTAAAAGAGATGAAGGAAATCACAGGGCAGCTATGGCTGGAACCGGAGTGTTAACTCTGGTGATAAACAGCTGGAAAATCCAAAACAGTTTAACCCCTGAAGATAAGATGGTGACAGACACTCAACGAGCTGAAGTTGTTATGGGGGGAGTGTTCATTTCAGAATTTCTTCAGAATATTTCTTTATACATAACCCCATTTTAACACCTTAAATCCATACTCTTATTACATATTTTAACAGAAATTGGAGTAATGGTTAGCAAAAAAAAGAAAAAAAAAGCCAAAGTAGAACCTCAGAAATCCAAATACATCTCCCTATCAGCATACCTCTGGACAATGCTGTGCACAACTAGGTGCGATTTGGGTATTTTACCATCCTTATTCCTCAAAAATATGAAGGTGAAAGTATGGGATTCACACATTATGTAAAGCTTAATCACGAACTTACAAGCAAATTCAAAGATTTAAGGCAAAAATACAGAGTTTGGAAACATTTCCAAATAAGCTAATTTTAGCTCTTATTTTGTCTCAATTTTACATTTGACCACAGTTTCTTGTTTTGTAAAAACTCCAATGAACCTTATTTTCTGTGACAATACATAAGATGTGCGCTCTTCTGGACTTTAAAAAAATAATAATAACAATAATAAATAAATAAATAAAAAGGACTGCTAGGAAGGAGATAAATAAGTACCCAAATTTGAGAAGAAAGCTCAGCTTACGCTTATTTAAATACTGCTCCCAAATGACTGTTGCATTATATTATTTTATTCCCCATAACACAATCCTGACTGGTTTTGGTCATTTACATTGTCGTCATTTGACAACAAAAGAAGGTTTGGATGAACATGAGCATATAAAAAACCTCCTGTGTTGGACTCAACTGATTTCTGCATAAAGTTGGTGGTTACAAACATCTCCTACCCTCACCACCTCTTTTTGTGAGGTTTATGTAAGCCCACAAACAAAAGATCAAGACTTTGGGATATGGATACGAAGCCTGTGCAAAAACAGGGTAATTCACTAAACTCCAGATCCTAGTAAATGGAAAGCCAAATTGCAAATGTTGGCCAAAACAGGTGATCTACAAAAACTCTCAAAGTAGCTACAATTACTTTGTTTCTTATTTTACACTTAAGAAAAAACGATTATAAATAGGATGGCGCAAATGAGAGAAGGATCTTAGTACATGCAGAAACCAACAAAAACAAATCCTGGTAAAACGATTTGAACATAAAATAACTTACAGTAGTGATGGTGCGCAACAAAAAAAAAAAATCATATTCACTATGGACCTCTTATAGAGAGTGAAAGTAACCCTGTGTACATGAAATGAGGTGTTTACAGAGTGGAAATATTATAAATAATTGAAAACCAAACAGTGGTTGTGGTAAAACAAAGCACAATCTGTAGGTATACTTGCAAACATGGAAATCACTCTGACACCTATTAAGGAGACAAAAACAGAAAGAGAGCTCCTAGTGCAGCGTAGTAATTCACTTATAAATATATAAAATAAAGCAAACAGAGGTGCCCTTTAGGTGTTACTCTCACAAAATTGGAGTGGTAAAAGCACCACTCGTTGCTATAGCACTCAGGGAGAATCAGCCCCTAGAGTGCGTGGGATCCGTGGAAAGGAAGCTTGCAATCCGGATCTCAGGTAAGTATACTTTATTAATAGCAAATTAAAAAAACAGCAAAACTTGTTGTGGAGTTAGTTAGTCCGCTCACCAGCCTCAGGAAACCGCAAAGAAAGTTCCATATACTCATGTAATGTAAAAAAATCTTCCGGCTGTTATCCTGGCTGCTGTTGCCGACTGTCTCCAAATCACTTCCTGGTTCCGGGTCCGTAATGCATTTCGCCCCACCTACAGGGCTTTGTCAAACGGCTGATGCTTCCTCCCACTATTCTGTGTCTTATATACACCAGTCCATGTTACCAACCATTTTAAAATCAATACAAACATTCCCATCAACATTTCAAAATCCAAAATAAGTCTCTTATTAGTAGCACTGCTGATCCCAGTGCCAAATGATAGACATGGGGTGTCAGATATTTAAAACTATAAATATATATATATATATATAAAAAAAAATAATAATTTAAAAACTTGGAACAAAAATGGGGTATATTGCCTAAACCGATATTTCCACATATTTCTGTGGGCAATAAGAAACTCTACAAAAACTTATTTTACTCAATTAACATTATGAATTTAAGTAACTATATACACATTTTTTGTTTCCTAATCAGGTTTTTTTGGATTTTTAGTAGTATTATGAGAATGTGTGCTGCCACTTTAAGAAAAGAAATTGTCTTTTTTATTTAGAATTTTAAATGAGACCCCATTTATATCAGTTGGCACTGGGATCAGCAGTGCTACTAATAAGAGACTTATTTTGGATTTTGAAATGTTGATGGGAATGTTTGTATTGATTTTAAAATGGTTGGTAACATGGACTGGTGTATATCAGACACAGGATAGTGGGAGGAAGCATCAGCCGTTTGACAAAGCCCTGTAGGTGGGGCGAAATGCATTACGGACCCGGAACCAGAAAGGGATTTGGAGACAGTCGGCAACAGCAGCCAGGATAACAGCCGGAAGATTTTTTTACATTACATGAGTATATGGAACTTTCTTTGCGGTTTCCTGAGGTTGGTGAGCGGACTAACTAACTCCACAACAAGTTTTGCTGTTTTTTATTGTTAATAATAAAGTATACTTACCTGAGATCTGGATTGCAAGCTTCCTTTCCACGGATCCCACGCACTCTAGGGGCTGATTCTCCCTGAGTGCTATAGCAACGAGTGGTGCTTTTACCACTCCAATTTTGTGAGAGTAACACCTAAAGGGCACCTCTGTTTTGCTTTATTTTATATATTTATAAGTGAATTACTACGCTGCACTAGGAGCTCTCTTTTTGTTTTTGTCTCCTTAATAGGTGTCAGAGTGATTTCCATGTTTGCAATTATACCTACAGATTGTGCTTTGTTTTACCACAACCACTGTTTGGTTTTTAATTATTTATAATATTTCCACTCTGTAAACACCTCATTTCATGTACACAGGGTTACTTTCACTCTCTATAAGAGGTCCATAGTGAATATGATTTTTTTTGTTGTTGTTGTTGCGCACCATCACTACTGTAAGTTATTTTATTTTAGACTTAATATTGCCATTCACATTTCCAACGGCTAGAATTCCAAACACAGTTAATAAACCCTAAAGTAGTGAATTTTCCACCCCACAATCGGACTATACTTACTGCTTCCTTGTTATTCTCAGGCTTCGTCTCTTTGGACTTGCATTTTCCGACTCACTACTCTAAAATATAAATACATAAATAAATGGAAATTTCCTTATAAAACAACCATCAGCAATTAAAAATGAAATTATTTTTATTAGAAACACATACAAATGGAACGATTAGGCAATTTCAAGAAAATCTACTCTGACACTACACTGTAGTGGTTATAGTGCCCGGAGTCCCCATCAAGAGAGAGAGACACACTTTTTTTTATTTCATATACATATACACACACACAAATCCCACCACAATTCTCGGTTACTATGCCAGCAAACAGAGCACTATTAAAATTTTACTTTATTCAATAATGATATTTAAGAAAGATAGGGTTATAAAAAATAAAACCATGAAAGAAAAACCCCCACACAAACCTCATCCACAACAGAGGACTTGTTTTGAAGCACACCACAGTTTAAAACCTAAAATCTTATGTGTAATGACAGTGATAGCCAATAACTGCATTAATTATTTCTTTAGTTGGAGATGAACAAAAAATGCAATAGCTGTAGTTCTTTTTACATTCTATTTATCAGATGACTGCCCTAGCTATATCTAAAATGGATTTTCCCTGTGATTACAGTAATTATAAGTTTTGCTTTTGATGGTACGTGACTCATAACTTTTTGTATGACTCAAACTAAGCATTGAATAGGCTCTGCTGCTGTTTATCAAAAATTATGTTCAATTTGTAGGGTTTTTTTTTTTTTTTTCCTTACCTCAACTTTAATATTAAATCGAGATGGTTCTTGTCTGCTTCGGTTTGATCTCCTAACCCCATAAACATCAGGATATTCTTCCCACATCTGAAAAATAAACAGACCATCAGGGGGCCTGCTCCACCCACCCCATCTAGGACACATTAAACCCTCTGTCAGTACTACCCAGATCCCAAAAATGACGCCAAAAACAAAAAAGTTTACGCGAGGACCAAATATCATGTAAACAAAGTTTTACTTTAATTTAATCTTCACTCACATTTTTCTAATTTGCTTAACTATGTTAAACTTGATTACCAATGAGGGAGTGTTTTTTTTCCCGCCTTGGTCTTTTAAGGGGCTGTACAGGTATCTAAATTACATGTTTGTACGAATAAGAAACAAGCAGAAGGGCCATAAATATTGGTATGCTACTATAAATTGTTTCATCTTTTTCAAATTATAGAGGTGCTATAATAATCTTAAATTTAATTTAAAAAAAATAAAAAAATCTGTATTGTATCATGGTCATCTTTTTATTTATTTATTTTTATATGTAGTACCTGTTACAACAAACCCAGGTTACCATAAAGCCTCATATTAAATTTAATAATGTGCAAAAAAAAAAAATCACAACATACATCAACACCTCCACAATAAAGAAATAATAACTCCATTTTACACGTTATAATTTTAAATAGTGTATATTAAAGGAAGTAGAGGCATACTAGAGTTTGTCATTAATCTTAACAACGTAGGATATGGAATGTCAGGAGATTTTGATATTCTGTTCTTATTCTGAAAGGCTCACCTGCCTTAGACGACAAACTAGCGGACTCACACATATACACACATGCCATTTTACTAATTCACTAAAATCATAGATGTGGGGATTCTAAATACTAAATTTACTAAAATAAAGAGGGCCAGCAATGTAACTGCCATGGGGTCTCTGGGGACCTCTGACTATGGGGTGGGAGGTGTATTGACAGCTTTCCCATGTTGCTCATAAAATATGGTACACCGGTAATGGAATTTGTTTGGAAATTTTCTTGTCAATAAGTAGAATTATATAAATTAAACACCTAGCCCTTCTATAATGAATGGGCTTATGACTATTCCTATACAACGTGCTTGCCTTCTTTACATCAGCTAGTCTTTCCTTCTTGGGTAGTGTCTTTTCTTTGGCTTCAGACGGCTGTGTTTTGGAACCTGTTGATTCATACTCTGACTCAGATTGACTCTCCGAAGATCCAGAGCCGCTGTTCGATTCGCCATGCTCACTTTCCGATTGGCTGCCAGACTCAGATCCAGAGGCAGAATGATTAGACTCCTCCGATGCAGAGTGACTGGTGTTACGAGAAATGATAGCAGCCAAGGTTGAAGAAGAAAAAAAAGAAAAAGAAAGAGAGAAAGAAAGATATTTAAATAAATATAATATTCTAGATTGTACGTATGTAAGATTGAGGAGTTTTAATTTAACTCCTAAATGGCAGAGAATTAGATAGGGCATGATCTATACACATAAATTGCTTCATTAAGCTAAAATTGTTTTGGAGACTATAGTGTCCTTATAAAGTATTTTGGTACATATAGAAATATTTTCACTATAGAATACCATTTCACAGTTTAACAATTTACTATTGAACACAGGTAAGAAAATAAAATTGCCACGGATGACAGGATTTTAAGATTGTTACATTTGATACCAGTCTTTAAAAATGAATTTCTGCAGTTTACCTGCTGTATTGACATCACATCCAGACAAATCATTGTGCAGATTCAGGAATTCTACAAATTTGTCTACCTACAGGGCTCTCTGTATGGTCTCATTGATTCCGAACTAGACACCACCCTTAGTTACATGTTCCACTACAGGAGCCATTCCAAACAATCCACTTTGATAAGGAAAAATAACATCACGCACCTACTACATGCAAAAACCCTTTTCAACAACATATTCTACATTTTGCCGCATATTAATAAGTGTTGATTAAATGCACAATATAAGCTGTAGTTGATACCCACTTTGAATGCATTACATAGATGATGTAATTAAAAAATATATATATTTTCTTTAAAAGCATCATTCCAGGCCGTGACATAGATTTAAAAAAAAAAAAAAACACAATCAATACAATTCAAACTTCCATTACACTTAATAGAAAAACTGAGTATTTAGGGTTTTATAATGTATGTAATTCAGGTATGGTGAATTAATTCATAACTAGACATTATTGAAACTGATGTGCAGGTCAATAGGAGCCAGCCACAACTTCTATCGCCTTACTACAACCTTCATCCAGGGTTAGCCTTAGAGGTGAGCAACCTGTGGAATCACGCAGGGCAAACAATGAGAGGATGGTGCTGTTGCACAAGCAAAGAAAAATGCACATCTAGGGATTAAAGACGTGTCCACAGGCCAAACAATGGACGAGCCCTTTAGATATTTTCCCCTTTGCAACTGGCAATACCAGCCGAGCACTTGGCAGTCACTGCAAGTAAAGAAGGGGATTTCAGTGAATAGTGTGTGCACTTACTCTCTGAAGAGAATGGTGAGTGCACTGTATAAATATTCTCACTTGCAGTCCCAGTCACTGTATCAGCCTGGATCCTGTATGCTGTCTGAGCACTTTGTTAAAGGACCACTCTAGGCACCCAGACCACTTCAGCTTAATGAAGTGGTCTGGGTGCCAGGTCCAGCTAGGGTTAACCCATTTTTTCATAAACATAGCAGTTCCAGAGAAACTGCTATGTTTATGAATGGGTTAAGCCTTCCCCCTAATCCTCTAGTGGCTGTCTCATTGACAGCCACTAGAGGCGCTTGCGTGCTTCTCACTGTGATTTTCACAGTGAGAGCACGCAGCGTCCATAGGAAAGCATTATGAATGCTTTCCTATGTGACCGGCTGAATGCGCGCGCAGCTCTTGCCGCGCGTGCGCATTCAGCCGACGGGGAGGAGAAGAGGAGGATCGGAGGAGAGCTCTCCGCCTAGCGCTGGAAAAAGGTAAGTTTTAACCCCTTTTCCCCTTCCAGAGCTGGGCGGGAGGGGGACCCTGAGGGTGGGGGCACCCTCAGGGCACTATAGTGCCAGGAAAACGAGTATGTTTTCCTGGCACTATAGTGGTCCTTTAATGTAAATAGAGAGAGAAGGCTGTAGATATACATGTTATACCTTGGGAATCAAATTGGAAGATACTTTAGCATGAATGCTGGAATGCAAGGGGAGGTGGACAAAATGGCACAGGATTTAAAAGGACCTTCAATGGGGGAAATTTGGCATTGTAATATGGGAAATCAAAGGAGCACTTTTGTTAGGAGAACAAACATGTATTCTTAATGATATAGTGTTCCCCTACCTATGTAGGTGTCCACTCCCCTTACAGGCATTAAAAGGTAAGCTTTACTTACTTTACATCCTGCTAGTCTCCGAAATTGCTGCTCCACCTCCCTGGCAGAGATCATTAAGATTGATGATCTCAGCCAATCCAATGCTATCCCATTGGATAGCAAAACACAGACCAGCGCCAATCAACTGCTCTCTAGGAGTCACTTGAGCTATAACCAAATTTAACTCCGCTATAGAAGTGGAAGTTAAAGCGTTATTCAAAATGGCTATGTTTTCAGTTGCAGCTTTAAGTGGTCTGGGTGCCAGTACAATTCATTTTAAGTAAAGAGTGGGGTGTGATTGGCTGTAATACACATATACTGACACTGTACAAATGCAAATACACTGATATTCACAGGCAGTGCACCAACTCCATTCATGTTTTTTTCACGATAGACGTGCATGTATGGACCCAAGTTGCTGGCTCCTTTATATAAAAGCTGAAAGCTTAGCGAAGGTAGGAACTTGTATGGGTGAATATTTACAAGTACTGCCAAGGCTATGGAAAGCACAGCTTGCCGTGTGAGAGAGCGTGGGCTTATATCTGCTGCAATATTGGCATTTCTGGATTCATAAGAACATTTGAAATATTATCTATGCAAGGGAAATATATTCTCATTTATACATTGCTAACATATTCCACGGTGCTTTACAATTATGAAATGGGAATATTTAAATGGACACTCCAGGCACCAAAACAATTTCCTCTCAATGAAGTGGTTATGGCGCCCAAACGTTCTTTTAAAGTAGCTTTTTTAAAACACAGTGCCATTCAGCCTATATAACTACCCTCTCCTTTTGTCACATAGCTATAGCATTGACTTAAAGGAGCATTCCAAACACCAAAACAACATATGTAACTGAAAACAGACCGCTTTAGGAAAGCTTGCCATCTTGACGGTAATGCGTGATGAAGTTGTTTTGGTGCCTGGAGTATCCCTTTAACAAACAGTTTACATATGGAATATAACAGTAACAAGAGGTGAAGAAGGCCTTACTCAAACATGCTTACAATCTATCAGTAAGGGGTAAAGACACACAAGAGAAATAACTGCATGTCAGAGGTGGTAGGAATTGATGGACATGATTCCGGTCTTGAAATAAGCTAGTAAAAGTGGTGTGTGTGGGAAAAACCAAACAATAGCAAGAGAGAGAGTGAACTGGACTATGGAGTCAAGGGTAGCATCACCCAAGAAGATGGTAAGCTTTCCTAAAGCGGTGTTTTTTCAGTTACATATGTTGTTTTGGTGTTTGGAATGCCCCTTTAAATCAAGGCTATAGCTATATGACACAAAGAGAAGGTAGTCATAGGCTGAAATAGCACTACATTTTGAAAAGCTACTTAAAGGATCACTATAGGGTCAAGAACACAAACATGTATTCCTGACCCGATAGGGTTAAAACCACCATCTAGCTCCCCTCGGCCCCTCATGTTTATAGCAATATAGCAAAATCTTACTGTATTCAAGCCTGAAGCTGTAGCTCTGCATGCGGTTTGCCTAAAAAAAAAAACCCAAACAAGCAGCGTGCTGACATCATCAGAAGTGGTAGCCTGATCCAATCACAGTGCTTCCCCATAGGATTGGCTGAGACTGACCAGGAGGCAGATCAGGGGCAGAGCCAGCATGATTCAAACACAGCCCTGGCCAATCAGCATCTCCTCATAGAGATGAATTGAATCAATGAATCTCTATGAGGAAAGTTCAGTGTCTGCATGCAGAGGGAGGAGATACTGAATGTTTGGATGCATTTTAGGCAGCCATGACCCAGGAAGGATCTCTAACAGCCACCTGAGGAGTGGCCAGTGAAGTTATCACTAGGCTGTAATGTAAACACTGCATTTTCTCTGAAAAGACAGTGTTTACAGCAAAAATCCTGAAGGTAATGATTCTACTCACCAGAACAAATTCAATAAGCTGTATTTGTTCTGGTGACTATGGTGTCCCTTTAAAAAGGACTAGTTTGGGCACCATAACGAAATAAAACCTTCATGGAAATTAAGTTGTTATGGTGCTTGGAGGTTCCGGACGCAGGCTTTTAACAGTTCACGAGCAGTTTAATCCCAAAGTCTGTGTATCAGCGCCTGATCACTTTACCCCACTTTTCTTCCGCAGTCTGATGTTTTAGATAATGGAAGACTCAGGTAGCATTGGGCAGGGCTGCCACTGATTGAGAGGTCAGCTGATTCTCTAAGGCTAAGCCAATAAGAAGCTCCCCATTTATATACAAAAAAATAAATAAAAAATATTTTTAAAAAGGATGTAGCGTGAGTGTACGAGTCCAAATGCTGCACATTATTTTGGGGGTTGACTTATCTGGTGAATACAGGTCATTTTTTACAGACTCCATGTTTACGACTCCACCTCCTATGCTTGAATAACACTAGTCAGGGGTGTGTGTATAGTTATATTTTTGAGATGTTAAGCAACAATGCACATGCAAGTCCTGACAGTCTTCTAAAATAAATCTGCAAAACTGGATCTTGAATGAGCAGTTTTAGAGGTGTGGTAAAAGTGGGACAAGGTATTGAAAAGGGAAGTTGTTGTGAATGAATTAATTACAGACGTGAAGTCATGTCCAGGCCATACACACGCAAAACATACACAGATTCTGAATGTATATTAATTCTTCTAATCCCTGTGCTGTAGAATGCTACACAACAACCCAATATCTGGAATATCAAGCAAATAAATATTCCCATAAAATGCAAAACAAACAAACATACATCAGGTCACATGCATGCAAACATTTTGTTAGCAAATTATCTAATGATGGCAACAGTTGAAAAAAATGATACTCTTGTCATAACATGCTATGTTGTTTAGAATATGACATCAGAACTAGCAGTATCTCCTGGGATGCATAGATATTACTGTCTGTTCTGGACATCTTCATAGGATGCAAATTTTTCTCAATTTTCATTTGGTTTAACCTGTTTTTAAAGAACGGAGGCATAAAACATACACTCGTTTAAAGGACAATCCAAAATGTCCACAAAAGGATGTATGAGAGCATGTATTGCTAAAATCTCAAAAATCATGCTAAATAAAACCTAATAATCCTTTGAAAATGGTTAAAACAATCTAAAATCGTTGGTTACTCACATCTATTTTTTTAAAGCAATTTCCCCCAGTTTCATGGGCTGACAGCATGTCATGGATGTTACAGAATCATTTTGTTTATTTTATTTTCTCTACTCTTTGCAACTTCAAATTCATGTTAAGTTGTACTTATGTTTATTATGTTTCAGCAGTAAAAGGTTGTTGGCGATCTTATAATGCTGTAAATCCATCAACAAAACAACATTGTATAATGGTCAGATCTTTTCTGTTGAATGTTGTTCTTAAGAACAAACAGCAGAGGGCAGTAGCCATTCATTATGGACATGGTTAGAAAAAAAAATGAAACAGGCAGCAGCCATCTTCTGTTCTGTAACAGCTGCAGCAGTTCACTCACAAAATGGAGGCTCACACTAACATGGCTGCAAGCCTACCTACTATGGCATTATTTTAATATTGTTTGTTTGTTCTTTCTTGCAATGTGTATGCCCATCTTCATATTCTACATGTAGTATAATTGAAAATGATAGATACTAATGAATAAGAATTCTATGTGTAACCTGTGAAATACCCTACTTTGAACAGCTTTCATTATATTTATCACTTTAGAATGTAAGCAGTTTGATACTGACTGTAAATAGAGTAGTTGAGATATGTGCAAGTAATGTGGCACATATCTAATATGCAGAGGTTTTCCCCAGTTTGGTGGATTAATAAATTAGCAGGTTGGAAAAATGGATAGCCTAGAGTACATTACAAACCATTAAAGGACCACTATATGCACCCAGGCCACTTCAGCTTAATGAAGTGGTCTGGGTGCCAGGTCCATCTAGGGTTACCTATGGGTTAATCCAGCCTCTAGCGGCTCTCTCATTGACAGCCGCTAGAGGCGCTTCCACGCTTCTCACTGTGATTTTCACAGTAAGAAGACGCTGCCGTCCATAGTAAATCATCGAGACTGGCTGAATGCGCGTGCGATGACGGCAGAAGAAGGAGGTGATTCCCCAGCGCCGAGGAAGCCCGGCACTGGAAAAAGGTAGGAATTTAACCCCTTCCTCACCCTAGAGCCCGGCGGGAGGGGGGCCCAGAGGGTGAGGGGGACCCCAGGACCCTATAGAGCCAGGAAAATGAGTAAGTTTTCCTGGCACTATAGTGGTCCTTTAAATCACTTTTGTTTCAGTTTATGCAGCCCTAACCACACCTCCCCTGGCTGTGACTCACACACGCTGCATGAAAACAAAATGGTTTAATTTTAAATCAGGTGTAACTTACTTTAAAATTTGTATCTCCTGCTCTGTATATTTAACTTTAACTACATACATGCAGGCTTTTGCAAGGTCTAGCAAGCTATTAAGAGAGCAGGAGATAAAAAAAATCAAATTAAAAACAGAATTTGCAATAAATGAAGTGTAAACATTAGATGACTTGATAGGAAGGCTGTGCAAGTCACATGCAGACAGGCGTGACTAGGGCTGTGTAAACAAAGTGATTTAACTCCTAAATGGCAGACACTTTAAAAGTGAGACTGTGTGGGCATGCTCAATACACTAAAACTGCTTCATTAAGATAAAGTTGTTTTGGTGACAATAGTGTCCCTTTAAAAAGTTAACCAATTTGCAGTACAAATTCTATTTTTTTTCCGCCTGGAACCCATCAAAACACTTACAGTGTTGTTTACTATAATCCAAATTTAAGTGAAATAAATTCAAAATTATGAAACATTAAAGGACCACTCTAGGCACCCAGACCACTTCAGCTTAATGAAGTGATCTGGGTGCCAGGTCCAGCTAGGGTTAACCCATTTATTTATTTTTATAAACATAGTTTCATTGAAAGGTAAGATTTAACCCCTTTCCTCTCCCCAGAGCAGCTATTTTTATCCGGATTTTTACTAAAGGTTTGAAATGTATTGAATAACTGGCTTTGCATCTTTTCTTAAGTTGTGTTTTAAAGCTGTTGTATACAGCAAACACAGACTCCAAGGAATCCATGTTTAAAATGGAATGAGGCAAAAATTTGATTCTTGTTAAACTAATTTGCATATGCCAGCCCAGAATCCTTTGCGGTAGTAACATCACTACAAATTTGTGATTTCTGTGGGAAAAGCAAGTCTTATGGCTTGACTGGTGTGCAGATTTTTGTTTAACATTGTATTAGCTATCCACGGACTTCAGGTGGAAGGGGTTTTCGATCCCAATTTTTTCCCCACCATAACCTTTTTTGTTTTTGAATAACTTAATAAGACAGCATATTTTTTATATATATTTACAATTATTTTTTTTTACCCAAACACGAAAGCACTTAAGCCTAAAAATTTTATGAAATGTGATGGTAAGAGGATACTAAGCAGCAAAACAACCATAGCACAATGGAGTGGTTTTGATGTATAGGAACATGCCCCTGTAGTCTTAATTTTAGAATATTTGTTTAGCATTACACTGCTATATATTTGATGGTGTTACAATTTAGATTAAGCTTTATGTGAACTAGGATATCAAACATTTTAGTAGTGTCAACATACAGGTTATGGCAGTTGTTTAATATTCTTCAAAATGCAGGTCTCTCCAATCACTGTGAGACATGGATATTACCAGACTCGCATCAGTACCCTTCCCCCAAAGGCTGCCTAAGGCAAACATTGCTCTGACCATATGTCCTTTCCTCAAAAGTCATCCAGAAATAGGTTCCCAGAGCCTGCGCAAAGCATGGGATCATTGACAGGCTATTACAGCATTCAGTTGATGTCAGTCTAGTAGCACACAGTCTCTGTGCCGGATACATGCCACGATCACAAATGAGGAAGTCCAGCAATATGGATTTATTATCTCACAAGCTGTGCGATAGCTCAAGATATTTTCTTATGCAAACTGTATGCCAATATGGGTAAAAGTACAGCTGGTGGCTTTTATGGAGTTCAAAAATGAAATGAGACTAGGAAAATAGGAAATATTTGAAGTTTGAAAACTAAAATTGGTATGTCTGTAATTAGACACATTTAAAGGAGCACTATAGTGCCAGGAAAACAAACTCTTTTTCCTGACACTATAGGGTCATTAGGTCCCTCCCACTGGGCTGAAGGGGATAAAACCCCTTCAGCCACTTACCGTTCTCCAGTGCAGGGTTCTCTCTGTGCTGGGACATCAGATCAGAATGCGCATGCACGGCAAGAGCCGCACGCACAAATAGCCTATACGAAAGCATTTCTCAATGCTTTCTTATGGATGTCCAGCGTCTTTGACGCTGGATTTTTGAGACAGCCAGTTGAGGCTGGATTATCCCTCAGCTGCAGGATTAAAACTAGAGTGACCTGGCACCCAGACCACTTCATTGGTCTGAGTGCCTATAGTGGTCCTTTAACAATGGGGACTAGTAATCTATTTTTAGTTATCTTTCTTGAGATAAACTAGATGTGGATCAATCACAAGCTAAACAGTGAAAAAACTAAATGGTTTATATTTGTTTTCATAAATATTTTCTTCAAACTTAACCCCTTCAGGACGGGTGACGGACGAGGTCCGTCACACAGGGGAGACCCTTAACGACGGGTGACGGACCTCGTCCGTCACGCGGTAAAATTAACCCCGGATCGCCGCTATCGCGGCGATCGCGGGGTTAATGGTGCTCCCGGTATGCCTCTGCATTGGAGGCATACCGGGAGCACCCGGTCAAGCTGCCCAGCACATGTGCTCGCTCTGACCACAAGTCTGAGCGAGCACATGTGCTCTGTATACTCACCTACCGGCTCCCTGCACTTCCGGGTTCTGTGTGAAGTGCAGGGAGCCGGATCAGTGCTGATCCTGCCCCCTGCTGGAAAAAAAAATAAAGTTTATTTAAAGTCCCCCCCCCTTACCCATTTTAATAAAAAATTAACCCCTTCCCTGCCAATTGATCACTGACTACAGTGATCAATTGGCAGGGATTACATTTTACTATGATCTGATTTTTTTTTTAACCCCTGATGGTTAATTCTTTTTTTTTTTAACCCTCAGGGGTTAAATTAATTAATTAAATTATTTTTTAGTTATATATTTAGATAGCTGGGGTGGGTGGAAGTTAGTGGGGAATTGGGGGATCTGGCGTTAGGCTAACTAGGGGTTAACGTTAAAAAAAGTTTTAAAAGAAACTTTAAAAAGTTAAAAATTAAGCTTAAAAAAATGTTTTAATAACATTTAAGTAAAAAAAACAAAAAAAACACACTTTACCTAGTCCAAATAAAAATTAACCCCTTCCCTGCCAGTCGATCACTGCCTACAGCGATCAAATAGAGATCACAGTATTATACTGTGATCTAATTTTTTTTAACCCCTGAGGATTAACTTTTATTTATTTTTTTAACCCTCAGGGGTTCAATTTATTTAATTAATTAATTTAAATATGTTATAACTATATATTTTGCTAGCTGGGGTGGGTGGGAGTTATGGGAAAATGGGGAATTTACTGTTAGTGCTGCGTACTGCTAGTTAGGGGTTAACGGTAAAAAAAAAGCTTAGAAAAATGTTAAATCTGTAAAAAAGTTTTAAGAAAGTTTAGGAAAGTTTAAAAAAAATTTATAAGCAAAACAAAAGTTTAAAAACTAGTTTTTAAAAGTAAAAAAGTTATAAAAAGTAAAAAAATACATTTTAAAAACGCTCATTACCACTACACCTGGAGCAAACTAGAGAAAAAATTATCCCACGCCAAGGTTCAAAATATGCCTTTTGAATTACCCCAGGGTGTATTCTTTAATAAATAGTATGTGTTTGTGGGGAAGTTTCAATAACCAACCGTCTAAACTACTCCAAATTGGAACATGGACACAGCGTAAAACTTCAAAGTTAGAAAAAAACTGAATGGCTGCGTCTCAAATGCGCCCCTTCAACATCCACATATACCTGGCAAAGGTACATACGGGGGTATTGCTGTACTCAGCCGACATAGCTGAGCAACATATGAAGTATTATACAGTCATAGCACACATAAGGTTTGCAAAATATGCTGCGCAAACTCACTTTGTATGTCAAAAAGGCAGAAAAAATGCTTATTACCACTACACTTGGTACAAGCTAGCGGAAAAATGATCCCACGCTAAGGTTCAAAATATGCCTTTTGAAATACCCTGGGATGTCTTCTTTAAGAAATGGTATGGCTTTATGGGGAATTTGGATTATATAGCCTGGTAAAATACTCTAAAATGGGACATAGGCACAGCATAAAACTTCAAAGTTTGAAAAAAACTGGAATGGCTGTGTCCCAAATGTGCCCCTCCGATGTCCACACATACCTGGCAAAGGTACATACGGGGGTATTGCTGTACTCAGCCGACATAGCTGAGCAACATATGAACTATTATACAGTCGTAGCACACATAAGGTTTGCAAAATATACTGTGCAAACTCACTTTGTATGTCAAAAAGGCAGAAAAAACGCTTATTACCACTACATCTGGTACAAGCTAGCGGAAAAATGATCCCACGCTAAGGTTCAAACTATACCTTTTGAAACACCCTGGGGTGTCTACTTTAAGAAATGGTAGGCCTTTGTGGGGTAGTTTGAATTTAAAACCTGCGAAGATGCTTGGAAATTGCACATAGGCCCAGCGTCAAAATTCAAAGTTTGGTAAAAACGGATATGGCTTGGTCTCCTATATGGCACTGTAGCTTCATGAAATAGTGCCAAAGACATTCATATGGGGTGTCATTTTACTCAGAAGACTTAGCTGAGCATAATTTGGGGGGTTTGAACTTAGTGGCACATATGAAATATACAAAACGCCCAGCAAAAATGCAATCCGTATGTAAAAAATGCACAAAATTATTTTTTACCACATACTTTGGCATATATTGGTGAAAAAATGGGGGCATGTTAAGGCACAATATGCACCTTATAAGATACCCTGGAGTGTCTACTTTTACAAATGGTAGGCCTTTGTGGGGGTTTTTTGAACAGTCAAACTGTTATAATACCCCAAATGGAAGCTAAGGCTCATTAAATCCATCTCTCAAAATTCTACTGTGAATACTGTAAAGGACAGGTCTCCTATATGGCACTGTAGCTTCACGAAATAGTGCCAAAGACATTCATATGGGGTGTCATTTTACTCAGAAGACTTAGCTGAGCATAATTTGGGGGGTTTGAACTTAGTGGCACATATGAAATATACAAAACGCCCAGCAAAAATGCAATCCGTATGTAAAAAATGCACAAAATTATTTTTTACCACATACTTTGGCATATATTGGTGAAAAAATGGGGGCATGTTAAGGCACAATATGCACCTTATAAGATACCCTGGAGTGTCTACTTTTACAAATGGTAGGCCTTTGTGGGTTTTTTTTGAACAGTCAAACTGTTATAATACCCCAAAATGGAAGCTAAGGCTCATTAAATCCATCTCTCAAAATTCTACTGTGAATACTGAAAAGGACAGGTATCCTGTATGGCACTGTAACTTCACGAAATAGTGCAAAAGACATACAATGGGGGTGTCATTTTACTCAGCAGATGTAACTGAACACAAAATAAAACTTTGTACAGGAATAGCACACACCAATTTTACAAAATATACACGAGAATTTCTCTGTTATAAGTTTGTGTGCCAAAAACCAAAAAGAACACAATTTTACTCCAATATTTAGCAGAGGTTGGCGGTGAAATGGCTACGTAGAAAGTGTCAAAACAACCTTAGGTAAATAGCCCGTGATGTCTACTTTATATAAATATATACTTTTGTGTGGCAATTTTGTTTTCTTTTATGGCTATTAAGCTTACAAGACAAACATACCAAATTCTAAAATCGCTCCACATTAAAAGTTTATTTTACTCCTTGTGCTTTGTGACCTGTAACTACCAAAAAAAACTTAAAATCCCAGACACATTATATATTCTGTAAATCAGAACAAATAAATAAATTTATTTTTAATTACTTTCCTTAACCTGCACTAATTATGCACACATTATTATTGCAAAAACTGTAAAAAAAAACAATATTTTTCATTTTTTTTGCATTTTTCTGTATTTTTTTTATAATAAGTAAGCATTTATATATATATATGTTATATCAAATTAAAGCCCTTTCTGTCCTTTAAAAACAGTATATAATATGTGTCGGTGCAATAAATGAGAGAGATGCAAATTGCAGTTGAACGCAAACAGCAAGAAAATGCAAAAATTGCTTGTGTCATTAAGCGTAAGTCAAGCTTCTGAAGCTGTGTCCTTAAGGGGTTAAAGGGAGATTACAGGCACCAAAACAACTTAAGCTTAATGACAGTGTTGGTAATTGATCACGTCACTCCAGTCTCACTGCTCAATCCTTTGCCATTTAGGAGTTAAATCACTTTGTTTATGCAGCACTTGGTACACCTCCCTGCATGTGACTTACACAGCCTTCCTAAACACTTTCTGTAAAAAGAGATCTAATGTTTAAAGGGACACTACAGTCACTAAGACCACTCCATCTCATTGAAGTGGTATGGGTGCAGTGTCTCTGTCACATTTAGTCCTACAATGTAAAAACACTGCAGTTTTAATAAAACTGCAATGTTTACATTGCAGTACTAAGACCGCCTCTAGTGGTGCTTCCTGGTGGCTTGGCAACCTTTGGTCACCTGATGCTAGACTTGCGCTCTGCATGAGGACATCCAGTGTCAGTAAAATCCCCATAGGAAAGCATTGAGTAAACCCTTTCCTATGGGGAGAGTCTAATACACTTGAGGTGCATGCAGAGTGACGACCCAGCACCAAGGGACATCGGCAGTGGAATTGTTTAAGTTTTACAAGCACAAGGGAACTTTAGGGCTAGAAATTCAACTTTGCATTATTAGCACTATAGGATCCCTTTTAACTTTCTTTGTTGCACATACTGTTTTATTTAGAATTTATTAGCTCCTGCTCAGTTAATACTACTAGACCCTGTAGGAGCCTCCTTTGTGTGATTTAAGTTCAATTTGCATAGCAGGATATGAAAACTTCTAAAGCAAGTTAACAGCCATCTGATAAAAAAATTATTTTTTTTCCATGTAGGCTGTGTCAGTCACAGCAACAAGTGATTTAACTCCAAATTTTATCAGTGACACTGCAGGGTCATGGCCTATACACCAAAACTGCTTAATTATGCTAAAGTTGTATTAATGTCTATAGTATCTCTTTAATCATACCCTATGGATATCAGGTATGTATGGGTGCTCTTAACTGTAACCTTTCAGAGGCAAGCCTCAGTTGAGAAAAAGGATAAATGAGTCATTTATTACACGTGAGTTTACAGAGGAAGAGGTTCTATTTCAACTGTCAAAAGTAAAGACAAATAAGTCAATGGGACCTGATGGAATACACCCAAAGCTATTAAAAGAGCTTAGTGGTGTACTAGCAAAACCATTAACAGATTTATTTAACCAATCATTGTTAACAGGAGTAGTCCCAGAAGATTGGAAGTTAGCGAATGTTGTGCCCATTTACAAGAAAGGTAATAGGGAGGAGTCGGGCAACTATAGGCCAGTAAGCCTTACTTCAGTAGTGGGGAAAGTGATGGAAACCATGTTAAAGGATAGGATTGATGAACATCTAAAAACACATGGATTTCAAGATCAGAGACAACATGGGTTTACTTCAGGGAGATCATGCCAAACTAATCTTATTGATTTTTTTGATTGGGTAACTAAAATTATAGATCAGGGTGGTGCAGTAGACATTGCTTACCTAGATTTCAGTAAGGCTTTTGACACTGTTGCACATAGAAGGCTTATCAATAAACTGCAATCTTTAAGTTTGGATTCCAATATTGTTGAATGGGTAAGGCAGTGGCTGAGTGACAGGCAACAGAGGGTTGTAGTTAATGGAATATATTCGAAGCTTGGACTTGTCACCAGTGGGGTACCTCAGGGATCTGTACTTGGACCCATTCTCTTTAATATTTTTATTAGTGATATTGCAGAAGGTCTTGATGGTAAGGTATGTCTTTTTGCTGATGATACTAAGATATGTAACAGGGTTGATGTTCCAGGAGGGATAAGCCAAATGACAAATGATTTAGGTAAACTAGAAAAATGGTCAGAATTGTGGCAACTGACATTTAATGTGGATAAGTGCAAGATAATGCATCTTGGACGTAAAAACCCAAGGGCAGAGTACAGAATATTTGATAGAGTTCTAACCTCAACATATGAGGAAAGGGATTTAGGGGTGATTATTTCTGATGACTTAAAGGTAGGCAGACAATGTAATAGAGCAGCAGGAAATGCTAGCAGAATGCTTGGTTGTATAGGGAGAGGTATTAGCAGTAGAAAGAGGGAAGTGCTCATGCCATTATACAGTACACTGGTGAGACCTCACTTGGAGTATTGTACACAGTACTGGAGACCGTATCTTCAGAAGGATATTGATACCTTAGAAAGGGTTCAGAGGAGGGCTACTAAACTGGTTCATGGATTGCGGGATAAAACTTACCAGGAAAGGTTAAAGGATCTTAACATGTATATAGCTTGGAGGAAAGACGAGACAGGGGGGATATGATAGAAACATTTAAATATATAAAGGGAATCAACACAGTAAAGGAGGAGACTATATTTAAAAGAAGAAAAACTACCACAACAAGAGGACATAGTCTTAAATTAGAGGGACAAAGGTTTAAAAATAATATCAGGAAGTATTACTTTACTGAGAGGGTAGTGGATGCATGGAATAGCCTTCCAGCTGAAGTGGTAGAGGTTAACACAGTAAAGGAGTTTAAGCATGCATGGGATAGGCATAAGGCTATCCTAACTATAAGATAAGGCTAGGGACTAATGAAAGTTTTTAGAAAACTGGGCAGACTAGATGGGCCGAATGGTTCTTATCTGCCGTCACATTCTATGTTTCTAAGCCAAAAATAGACTGTCATGAATGCAAGGAATAATAGAAAAAGGTCAAAGTGTCTTTTACATGTTTAGTGTTAGGTATTTAAATTAGTGTTTTTACGATATAGTAGATGGCTGGTCTAGAAATTGGGGTTGCTGTACTTCTGAAACATCCAAGCAGTGCTTCGCGTGCAAGGACTGTCACAATGACAGAACAAAATGTAAGGCCACACCAGATTGGTCACCTGGCACTGTTTCCTCTGATTGCAACCACATGAGAAAAACTACATATTCGGTTGATCAATACAGTGATAGTGAAGGGAGTATACCTGACAAAATAAACATAAAATTTATTTCCAGAACATGTTCGTTGCCTGAATTTCTTTTTTTCTCCAATCATGCATCTTCAAATCCGGGTAGGATTCCAAAACTTGTAGTATTTGTGTTTACCATTTAAATCCAGCTGAGCATCATAAAAGAATACAATTTAGACAAGAAGTGCAAAGAAATGGTAGACAAGAAGTGCAAAGAAAAATTAAAACTAAATTGCTAATTAAGAGTGATAACGCTACATAAACACACACACGTCAGTGAATGGACTGCTTGCCGCAAACCATTGTGAAAAAGACAGACTGTTACAAACAAGTCAACATATTAAGGGTGGCGAATGTTATTTGCGGATCACTGCAAAAATGTTATTAGTGTGGTTGAATCATATTTTAAACTTCTAAAAATAGACAATGCTTACACTTATCACTCCTTTGCTCTATTCTACTGACCCATCCATTCATTATCTGAACAGCTTACTATTATCACAATGTAAATTCCCTCTTCACAAGTTTACGAATTCTCCCACCAATCTCAACATTCAGTCTGATATTATATACAGCCAACTACCATTCTGATTGGTACACTGCATGTTACTCTGTAACGCACCATTATTTATACCCAGTGTTGTCACTGCAATGATAAGCTAGTGAGCAGATAGATCAAAAACGACCAGTATTGGTATGAGATGTTTTTCATGCAATTGAAGGGACATTACAAGCACCTAGATCACTTCATCCCAATCATTTAATCCTGGTGAAGTGCCCCTGCCGTTTTGGTCCCGCAATGTAAAATATTGCTGTTTTAGAGACACGCAGCTGCCTTCAAATTGCAGGACAAAATACACATACAGTGGCTGTCACCCACTAGATAGTGCCTCTACGTCCAGAACCAAGTGAAACTTTATTCTTGATGTTCCACCATCCTCACGCATTGCACAAGGACGTTCTCTCAGTACAATACAGAGAGCTCTGATGTGAAAAGCTTTTGTTTGGCGGATTAAAGCAATTGCCGTGTGCAAGCCTAATGACATCAGTTGAGGAGGATCGAGCTGCAGAGAAAAGGCGGTCTTGGCACTGGATTACAGATGTATAAAGATTAAATTGAGTTTTTACAAAAAAAAAATAAAGAAGGGGGGGCTATAATCTAAGAGGGAGAGGTTTTTTGGGGGACTACACAGTGTTCCTATAACATGATATATCTTGTTTTTGTCCAACATTTTACGGACTATAATAGAGACATTTTAGTCTGTGTACGTAAATGATGCAGACCAACTTATTTTGTGTGGATGGAAAATTTTTGACCAATTTTGAGTAGTTTTAATTTTAAATAAAGTGGCACTGTCACCCCTCCTTAAAAATATGTATTTTATAAAAACAGAATCTTTATGAAGCACTCTTATTGACTGTTGGCATTTTACTGAAATTTCAATACCAAGACAAAGTAGGAACTACTGTCTCTGTACATTATCTACGTCTGACACTTCTAAACACAGGGCAGAGCTACCGCCGTCTAGAATGTCAATGCCTCCTGCCGTCACCAGTGATGGCTGCAGACATGAAAATGGTGGGGCAAATGAGAGAAGGGTTCATCTTTGCATGGCCCCTGAACCCCCTTCTCACTCTCAGATCCAGCGCAGAGGCATTGCAATGAGAAGCTTTTGGTTGGTGTACTCCCTAACACAGAATGAAAGGTATGTTGGTGTAAGAGCAGAGGGCTTGCAAAAGCAGCAGACAGCAAGCCTGAGGATTTTGCAAGCTGTGCTTTCATATACATCAAAAGAAATAATGCAGAAAAAGGTGCATGCATTTTTGGGGGGACATATGCTATGCTAAATTGTTTAAAAAAATAAAAAATTTCAACGAAGTGTTCCATAGAATATATAATCCATCCAACAAATGTTCTATACAAATTTAAAAAAAAAAAAAACCCCATCCAAATCACTTCTGAATGGGAATCAGAAAAGCTTGATTAAACACAAAAAAATAACCACTACAGCCTGATGTCCTAAACACTTCCTGTAAAAAGTCACCTAATATTTAAACTTCCTTTATTGTAAATTCTAGAATCTGTTATTTCTTGCTCTGTTAATAACTTGCTAGACCCTGCAAGAGCCTCCTGTATGTAATTAAAGGTTAATTTACAGAGCCGTACATAAAAATGTTTAAAGTTACAACTGAATGGAAATTAGGCAATTTTGTTTTCATACAGGCTGTGTGAGTCACAGCCTGCAGAGGTGTGATGAGGGCTGCATCAACCGAAACAAAAGTGATTTAACTCCTAAATGGCAGTGAATTGAGCAGACACACTAAAGAGGTATGATTTACTCACCAAAACTGCTTCATCAAGCTAAAGTTGTTTGGTGACTATAGCGTACCTTTAATGTTCACAGTAATGTGTCTAAATTACAGCAACTGTACTTAGAAATCTGTGTGTGCAAACAAAATAAATTACATTGATCAAATAACTGACAGAAGTTCAGGAAGTCAATTGAACTTTTCCATTATTGTATCACAAACTTTTTTTTTTTGAATTTTTGAGAATATTTGTGTATAACTAGCTCATCTACCAGTATATTGTTGTACAACAGGACCACTGATATCACAAAAAACAAGTACTGTCCCATGGCTAAAAAGGAACCAGGAGTGTCAGACACCATGTTATCTTCAAGGGTTAAACCATTTTTTTTTAGCAGTTAACCCCAATAATGGTTGAAGCCTCCTGTGGATCTGTAAGCGCCTGCTGCATTAGCTGAACCCTCTCAGCTAATGAGCGAAGCCCTGTACCAAAGGAGGAGATGATTGGCGCACAGCAAATTAGGTATATGTGGTAGATCTAGGTTGCTGACTTTTACATATGTTGAATTTAAAGTGACTTACTGCTTTTTACTACATGTTTGGGTTATAATCTGTAAAATGTACCCGAAAAGTGGTCAGACATGTCATACACTACAAAAGTGCAGTACACTTACCTACATTTCCCAATCTGGTAAAATAGGGATTTTGATTCAGACTTTACAAATTTCATGTACTGCCATATATGTGTATCGAGAATAGCATGGTGAATTGTGCAACCTAAATTCCAAAATTGAGATTAAACTCAGAAACCCAGCATACCCTATTTTTTTAAATGTTTACTTTTCAAACAGTATTGCCCTGATAACATGGTTACAAACTTGCACAGTTTACAATTAGACTATTTAGTTACAGGTTAGTAAAATTTTTGCATAAACATTCCTTATTCAACACAATTACTTGGGTATAATCAAAAGCAGGGTTGTTTACAAAGAAAAACTAATTTAAAAGGAGTTAATCAGGCCTTATCAGCATTCACCAGGTAAATCAAATTGCTTAAAGCATTCAGGAGAGTGGGAGGAATGTGTGGATTAATTTCTATTATGTGATACGTGTGAGTGGAAGAAAAATAATGTTGGTATCCATTGTGTATATGCACAAAACCTATTCTGTAAACCACTCATTTGCATTAACATGTATCAAAAACTGCTAAAAACATTGACTGTGTGTGAATTCTAAACAGAAAAATTATTTTCTTTTGTGGCAATATTTCAGGCTTTATATAGCAGGTCATATCCTCTCAGAAAGTAGTTTTTAAAAAAAAAAATATATATATATATATATATATATATATATACACAGACTTGTATAAAAAGGCCATTGGCAATAATAAAATCCTTTCAGTGGCCTATGGGATTCCAGTAGTAGTAGCCTGCACACAGATAACATTAAAGGATGAGCGTTAGGAATACAAATGTGTAATACCAACAACTATAGTGCCTTAGTCACAGTTTAGGTGACCGAGCTTCTGCTGCCAAGGTTATAAAGATAGTTTCACTTACTTTTTCTTCCTTGCAACTCCACCTATTTGACCGAAATCAGGATTGATTCTCAGCCAATCTAATGCTTTCCAATAGGATCTCTGAGACCATCTGATTGAAAAGTGGAGTTTTATTCCACTATGTCACATAAGCACCTCTACTAAAGATTCTAAAACCTGTAATTAACATATGTTTTCAGCTGAAGGTTTAAAACAGGAGGGTCACAATCTTGTAACAAAATTGACTAAAATGCATGCACATATATGAAATTATGATTGTTCATTCAAACCTAGTCAAGATTTGCCCATAGGCAAACAAATATACTCCCAAAGTCACTATTTCACACAAATTGCAGTTGCTTTACAAATGCAAAATCTAATTAACATGAAATTACCAACACACCCTGCACTGGCTCTTGGTAGATGATATGCACATAGACGGACACAATTTAAATACAAGAGGCAAACCGTAAAGAATCTTTATTTGAATGCAATTGTATTATAAAAAGGAAAGGCAAATTGCACAATTAAGATGTCAGCACTGAGACTGAACACCAGATAACCAGTTCTGATTTGTTGTTTTAAAATGACAAAAGAATACATGTTTCCGTGGGGAGTGGAGGTCAAGATCTGTAAACACCACCACTAAAATATGTCAGAGAACTTTAAAATTCTTAATTTAATTGATTTTGTTTCTAGTTGAAAATATTAGAAATGTAGGATTTTCTGTTAAATATTACTTTATAATCATTTTCTGTGGGTTTTGAAACACAAAGGCTGATTTGTATATAAAATGTTATACACACAGCCACCCTAAAAGTAAAAGCTTCAGTATCACTCCCCTCCTCCCTCACAGTTGCAGCTACAGAGAGAAAGAGGAAATAAAAAGGAACAGAAGGGCTGTTTCCAGCTGGCTTAGCAAGCTGTGGCTTATTGCCAAGAAGGAGAGGCTTGTAATCTATTCTCCAGCTGACATCACATGAGGGCTGGATCTCCCAGCAAGGCTGACTCCCCCTGTTACCAAGGGAGATGACGGCCAATCAGATCTACAGCAAACACAAAATGGCCTTTGAACTTTTGGAACGCAACTTCCTCCTCCTGCCTGTGTTCAGAACACACTGTATCACAGAATGTCAGCTAGCTTTTGCAGCACAAAGAGAAAGCCATTTTGTGACCGAGACAGAGCCCATAAACACATTGAATGTCAAGCTTTTTCTTATGGTTTTACAAAGTATAATAACCAAGAGTACAATTAATTCAATGTAATATAAGCAGAGTTCTATGTTGACTTCATAATTCTTGCATTTCCCCCTTAACTATATAAAAAAATATATTTAACAGCAGCAGCTGCTATTTACTTGAAGCATTTTTCATAAAATGGCTGCCACAGAAGCTCTATGTGAGGGAATAGAGGTTGCACAGCTAAAGGCAATAATAGGGTTAAAATTATCTCAATGTTCACTCTAATAATACAATTATATACTATTTTAAAGGAAGCAACCTCATTCATTAAACTACACACACATAAAAAGCAAACAAAATTACACTTGTGTGAACAGTGCATACTGATATATTTATAAAGAATATAAGAGGCTTTACATACTTTAAGCTTGCATGTACTGAGGTTTAATACGATATAAGCAAAGACATGTAATTATCCCTAAATCACCCCCAACAAATAAGACAGGTCAATGCCTGCAAAGTTCAAAACACTTTAATCCAAGGCTGGGTAAAGTGCTACAGTTTATCGAGTAACCCAATTTAAAATGGTATTTATTTTATCTACATCTAATCACTGTATTGAGAGATATTTAACACATACAATGTGGTATCACGTTTCACAGCAACTTACTGATTTATCTAAAAATGTAAAAGTCCCATACAACAATATTTAGATGGTAAGCTCCTAGGAGCAGTCTACTCCAAATACGTATGCAATTTTCTAACTGTACCCCTCCCCCCATGTAAACATTATTCATACATCTGTTAGTACTAAGTGAAACACAAATACTAAAATACACGTTTACCCCATTTTAATTCAGTGTCTTTGCAGAACGTCATAGATGGTTTGCCTGCCACAAGGCAACAGGAAATGAACCTTTAGAATAGTGTGAGATACTTTCAAAGAAAGGAAGAGAAGCAAATCGTAAAAATATACAGCTCCAAAAACCTACCACATGAACCACACCATGTGTCACTTTAAACTAGCTTTGTTTTACTTATTTTCAAATACTGACTACATTTAAAAACAACAAAATATAGTTAAGAGCATGCACCCACAGAAAGACTATATCAAGATATTATTTAATAAGCAAGTATGACAAAAGGAATACAGAGTTCAATTCAGGCCTAATCAAGAGAATGCAAAAAAACAAAAAAAAGTGTAAAATTCCATAATGTTGCAAACAACTAACACTCACATAAAACCTCAAAGATACAAACATCTCACCCAGGAACTTTTTTTTTTTTTTTTTTACAAGAACGTTCACATGCAAGTAAAACTATTAAACTATTTAAAATAAAGATTTTTTAGCATAAGTAATGTGTAATAAAAATGCATGCACAAGAATATTACTGTATGCATATTCCACTGCATTTGTGTTTACACACACATTTTATTGCATGGTCATATTTAAAATGTTTAACATGTCCTTTAAAAGTGAACCTTAATATGAAAACTGAAAATGTATGTTACAATATCACAAAATAAAAATTATTGAATAAAAATGCCTCTAAAATAAAAACACGAAATATCAAGTTTAGCAAAATAATTACAAAATAAATATAACTACAGCTAAGTTTCAATAAACAACTTAAACACAAGCTATATTTAGTAATAGAGAGATTAGTTGTCAGAACCTTGATAGTGTTTACACTCCACACCCATTAAACTTATTAGGTTAGCGAATAGCTCTAAATTTACATCGAGGCTTTTTTCTGGCCCAGGTTTGTGAAATAAAAAAAAGCTTAAGGAATCCCAAGAAATTATGCCTATAACGAAAATGGTGCAATGCAGTAGCTACTAAAACCACAAGGTCATTCTTCATACAATTTAAAAAAAAACAACTGAAATGTATGTAGTTTAAGCTAAAAGCAGGTAATGCTGAGAGCCAGTAACTGCCAAGGGTGACAGGCACATTTTGCCTGCTATATGGGCCCTTCGGTTTTTTCATCCAACTTTCGGAAATTACAGTAAAAAAAATAGGGTGTGGCAATCGAGGAATCTCAAGGTCAGAACTGGAAATAAATGCTATGAAGTTATTAAAAATTAAAAGTATTCCCATAGTAGAATGGTAGCACCAATGTTATTGAAACAGTGTATCAAGACTGGAAAATAACCAAGAAAAAGTTACAAATCATACCTCGATGCATTGCTGTGGGGAGATCCGTCTTCGTCTTCCACGTTTTTATCTTTATTTCTCATCATGTTGATTCCCTTTAATATTGGAGACAGGTGGCAGACTGGCCTTTGAAGTGGTATGCCCAGGTATTTGCTGTCAAAAGTTGAAAGAAAGGTAATATCTCCGAAGCTAAAGTCATGGTTCGTATATAGGAGTCTCCCGGCAGTACGATCACTGCGATTACATTGAGAACAAAGCAAGACAAAGCAGAACCCCAATAAAACGTAAAAAACAAGCACTTTTAACCCCCCAAATCACAGGATACATGGATCGGATGGGCCATCCAACAGTGGAAAGTTTGTTAGTGTCACCTCGTCGAAATCTTAAATCACATTATTTACTGTGGCGTCATCACATGGCAAAGACGACGAGAAAAAAACAAAACAAAACTGCAAATAATTAAAACAAAAATGTTTAAAATACATATATATTTTTTTAAGTATTTGTAATCTCACCTGATCAGTCCATGGATCGAACCCGGAATGGAATCCCTGTATTCCAAGAGAACGTTAAAACGGTGAAAACGAAATATAATTATTTCGAGGTAAAAGGTAAAGATCGGAGGCAATATCAATTGATATTAAAGGGGTTATTGCTTAAGGGATGATAGGAGGGCTGATTGGGAAGAGGGGAGGAAGGGCTGATCAGAGCGATCAAAAATGGAGGTGCGCCATGAGCTGGGAAAACAACGAGCAGACTCCTCGGCTCCTTCTCTCCTCCGGAGATCGGAGAAACGGCACAAAATATCCTCAAAATCCAGGGGTACCCTACTATCACCCGAGAATCATAGGCAATGTATCCGTAATGGGCTCCCCCCAGGGGATCTAGCAAAGTTGCATAAAGTTGAAGTGCAGGAAGCAAACAGCGAGCTGAGTGCGCTCTCTAAGGCACAGCCGCCATCTCTAGCTCCTTCCCAGCTCTGAGCTGTGCTTGTGATTGACACTCTCTACATTTACCCCACAACTCAGGTGATGTACTAAAGACCCACCCCTTTATTTCCACCATAATGAAAGAGGACTTGGGAAGGGTCAGGGTGTGATAACCCCCCATTAAGATGGATACCAAGGACACCAAAAGTGCAATTGAAGATGCCCCCCTCCTCCCATGAACAGGGGGATGCCACCCTTTGAAAGCCAGAATAAAATGATCTTTTGTCCTGAATGCTTTGGTAAATGCTGCAGTCATTGGAATATATCACTTCCTTTTTGAACAGGAAGTTGTTCAACAGAATGCCATTTTGTGATGTATAGGATTGTAAGCAACATGGAGTGAACATTAAATCTTAGAAGTCATGGGTGGTGAAAAGAAGGGGCAGATGAGGCTTTTAGACCACATGAATACAGTTTGTAGATTGTGGATGGAATATATTTTAAATTCTTTACCTTTAGTAATTCAAACATAAGGATCCTATCCACTTGGGAATTAATATGTACACTGGATCTAAATGCATAGAGGGACGTTTATAAATTGACTCTTCAGCGCCTCCCTTGTGTTTGGATAAAAATATCTATAAGTGTCATCCAAGAGGTTACACCAAGTGTACAAAATGTAGTTACATTTTTTCACTGTATTGTTGACCGAGTTTAGATACCCAAAAAGATATTTCTTCTAATAAAAGCTGTAGGTTCACTGTTACACTGTGGGTACACATTTGTATGTTGAAAACCAAATCCATTACTCAACGACTACCACATTTCAAGATGTGACCAAGACAGCACAATGTATGGTGCATAGGAATGGAACCATGCATGGGTTGTAAAGTTCAAAATGGAGGTCAATAAGCGGGCCTGTTTTCCATAAATTCCACGTGATTGGTATTGAGTCGTGTGTAGGTCGCAGCAATCATAGACTGCATTAAAAAAAATAAATCGTAGATATAGTGGTTTGTGGTGATAATCACATACCAAATAGGACCTACCATTTTTAACACAACAGCCTGCAGTGGGAAGGAGATCACAAATTATAGGTTGCTATGGAACCGCTATTAAGCTGGAAGAACACCATGAACACAAACTGCACCTAACATTATGGTTATGTGGAATTCCTGTAATAAAATGCCATAAATGAACACCTAACAAGGGCTGTTAAGGAATAAATAAAAAAATAAAATAAGTCAAGGTATGCATAACCCACAAATCATTGTTAACCATTTTTGAGGGCTCCAATGACCACCCTTATAGGGTAGTTTAAAAAAAATAAAAAAATAAAATAGATAATTATGGGATAGTGGTCTTCTTGCTTCAAAATACTCAATATCAATTCATGGTTTAAAGATCCCCCGCCCCCAAAAGGACACCCTGAAAACATTTAGGGCATTTACACTGCCATAAAGACCCTTATATGGTTTTCCCATAAATCCACAGAAGATTAGAGATATCAAAATTCTCTTTTCCATTTATATACTCTGCCACACTGCTCTTAAGGACAAAACATCACAAATGAATTCTTAAAGTCCACATGGTGTTACAGAACAGTAATATTGTTGGTATACCACAGATTACATATTAAAAAAAACTTGGAATAAATCAATAAGCCATTTAGGAGAAATAAAATGCTTTTATTAAAAAAGTAAAATTTATTTTGACAATTTAGATGGTGAAAAGCATATACATATTTGCATAACCACTCTCCCAACAAAGTGTATACATACTTTGACATTTTGTTTTTAATTCACTTAGGCAAACCTAATATTTATAACTAAGCAAGTTAAAGTTAGTTTAAGTACATTGGAATTACCACTTGGAGATCCATCAATGGGATGCCCATTTTTTTTTTTTGAATCACAATGTAAAAAACAGATGGTATTTTTTATTTTAAATTGCATCAAACAATGTAAACACTCAGAGACAAAACAAAATAAATACAAACATGCAACACAGAAAACATGGTGCTAGCTGCCAGATTCTGTATTTTATAGTCACCTAGCTTTCCACTGTGCAGGAAACGGCTTTGAACCATTTGATGATAATGTGCCCAGCATCTTTTTTTAATTGGGGGAAAGAGGGCACCCTGTTAAACATTACTTTAAAATTATCAAGATAATATCAAGTTATCTTGCAATGGGAGAATTCTTATGAGGACACCGCCATTTTACAGAAACCGATTCATTGGGTTTTTGGCATCATTAAATCCATTCAAAATCGACTCTTCTTGAACAAGTAACTGAATTTACTCCAATCCATAGGCTCCAAATGATACTGAACAGCCATCGTTTTCATCTGTTGAATCCATTTCAGTAGTCCAAGGACTGAGGTCTTTAAGAAAACAAATTAGAAAAAACACCCATTGGAATGTGGATAGGATCCTTGCACATAACTACTCATCATGACTTATTAAAAAACAGGCACATGAATCACATTATAACGGGTTGTCTAAGGTGTACATTACTACACACGTATCAATGTTCAGATTCCAAATCTATGGTACACTAGGAACGTGGGACTCCTTTGCAAAACACATTTTATTTCTTCCACAGAAGATTAATTTTGCAAATTACGGCACCATTTGCTCTACATATACGTGCCATTGTGAGGTTTGGAATAGTAGCCCAAAATGCCAGAAATTAAGAAAATTAAAATAAAAGTGGCAGAAATGCAAAAAACATTTTCAAAAGACACTTGAAATTCACAAGAGTATATCCCAATTAGCAACATCGTACAAACTTCAAGATTACATTAAGTAAGGTGTGAGGTAGTGTGTACATCACTAACAATGCCAAGTACAAATGCACTAAAATAGGCAATGATTAAGAGGACTTTGAGACTACATCCATAACACAAAGCCATTCTATGAGAAAGGGGGTGTGGGGGAGAAATAAAACCCACAAATTTAACAGCATTGTTAGAAAACCCTTAAAAACAAAAAAAAAAATTTATGACAGCCACTCAAGACTACATAAACACTAGCAACAGAATCTTCAAAAAGTTTAAGAATAACCCCAACCTCACCTACTCAGTACATATTATAGTAAAGTGTGAATACACACAATGGACTTTGGAAAACCAAGTCAAAGAACTCAAAATTACAAATACCTCAAAATATAATTTTGGTCGCCAGAAACATGCACAATTGTTTTACTTTTTTGGTGGGGGGATGGGGAGGGGAAACGACAAAAAAAAAAAAAAAAAACCAACCAAAAAACAAACACAAACACGTTACAGTCAACATAAAGGAGACAGTCCACACAGAACTAATGAATTGTTAGGCCAATAATAAACCCTCCCCCCGCCCCCAAAAATAAACCGAGCCTCTCAAAATTAGGACCAAAGCAAAATAAAGCAGTGTCTAGTTGTGAAATAAATACTCAAAATAGGTCTTTCTACAAAATAACTTCAAGCCAGAAGCATACCACAGAGATTCATATATCCAAAATACATTCTTGTACAAAAAAAAAAATTAAACTCAGAATATCACCAGTCTTATGAACATCAAATATATGCAAACTAGAATAGGTTTATTGCATCACTATAGGGGGTAAACTAAAGATCACCCATAATAGCACACTATTTACATTGAATTATTGGAATGGGCCATAAGTTATTTTCCCACAGAGAATCCATTAAGCACAATACAAAGAAACATTTTATGGAGTTCTATGCACTTTAATAAAAGTAAGACCAATAACTATAAATTGCTTAGCTTAAAAAGGGAAGTTTGCAAGGCCTAAAGTTTGGTCTGCACAATGGCCAGGACAGCAGTAGGAAACCTTCAGCACTCCAGATGTAGTCCACAAACATCTCCCATAACACTGGCAAAGCACCAGGAGAGATTTAGTCCAAACAAATATGTATTGCTGAAGGTTGCCTACCCCTGGCCTAGAACAGGTTACCTATAAGTCAACATCAACAAGAAAAAAAAAAAAATAACCCACCACAAGAAACTGTATGCACACAGGTATAAAACTGTACATGCTCTATACAAATGGCCACTGTCTATTATCTTTAGGGTTCTCCAATCAAAAGCAAATTCAAATACATATGAAGAAACTGATACTTGCGTTTCAAGACCAGGTTACAAAGACAAGAATTTTAGTAGCATCTAACTGATGTCTAAAAGGGGCAACCACTGAGCCTTCAAGTTGCATGCTGTGTGGGTTTAGGACAATACATCCAGCCCAAATGCTTCTAATGTACCCATATACCAACTCAGTCTTATTAGGTATAATAAAATACAGTTCTAGCAAAAAAGTTCAATAAACGTGGCAAAAAAAAAACAGACTCATACAACGTAAAGGCAATACGGAAGGCTAGAGTGCCAACCCAAACACATATTAGCTGATGCATTCTAGGAGAAGCGCTTGATATACTATTGGCCTCTTCACGGTGCTCCTTAATAAATTCTTAATTTAAAATTACAGCTAGAACATTGCGCACACACCCTAAATGTAGGGACAGAGCGCATGCGTGAAAAAAAATGCCACATTTAAAGATCTAAACTACCATAATCAGAAATTTTACGGTCTTCACCGTTTTTTTTTTTTTTTTTTTAAAGTCATCTAATAACAGTTAACCACAGCATTAAGAAAACACATGCACACATATTTTTGCTTTAATATTTAAATACACTGGGAATGTGTTGAGCACTTCACTTGGTAAGCCATGTCTTGAAATGGATATTTAAAAAAAAATAAAATAATTTTCTTTTTTTTTTTATTATTATTAAACTGTCCAGTCAGGATTTTTATTGGTACCTACACTTTAACAATTAAGTTGTTGTGAATCCTGAAAAATTAAACATGTAGATCTATACCTCTTAAGCCTAGAAACGAGCAGGTCCATTTTAGCTCCCTGTCAATCAGTTATCAACCCAGCCTTTTGCTTTTGTTAAATCAGCATTGAAAAAGGAGAAACAGAGACAAAGGTTTGTTTCTTATATGTATTACTTGCACTTATTGTGATTTTTCAATCTTTATTCAGCGGAGTCATTTCTAGACAAAATGATGGTTCCCCTTGAACAAGGTTGTTATTAAAAAGAGTTTTAAATTTCAAGTATTAATAAATGTTTCTTTTGGCTTTGTATACTTTAAATAAAAAAAATATATAAATAAATAAAAAAGTCACCAAAAGCTCTGCTTTAGCATCAGCCTTGAATTACAGAAAATTGGTCAGGATCAATTACGAATATTTTAGGTTACTTTAAAGGGAAACTAGTGGCAGGAGTTCTGGGTGACAGACCAGGAGGACGTGCAGAATCACCCAACAACCCAGAAGTGCCTCTTGTGGCAGAGTTAACCCCAAAAAAGTGAATTTTTGCAGTTTATTAAAAACTGCTATAATTACCTTTGCAGGTTTAGGAGACCTGGGACAGTGCATCCAGAGCACTTCAATAAGCTGAAGCGGTCTTGGTGCCTATTGTGTCCCATATACATGTAATGTAGACCCTTGCAATCACACCCATCAACAAAATTAACAGTTGCAGTGAAGACTACAGACTTCTAACCTGTTTGGAGATACATTTTAGAAAAATTTCACCTTTAAATAAAAACAGCAGCATAGCAGTTATCTACAAGGAATATGCAACTACTAACCAGGGCATTTTGGAAATGGAAATTAAAATAAAAAAAAATAAAAAGTAGAGTTTACATTACAAACTATGGATACCTCCACTGGCCACTCACTCTGGTAGCTGCTAGAGATGCTTCTTGAGGCAGTGCTACACAGTGTGCCACACTGACAGAGTCTCCACCCTCCACACACTGAACTTTCTTCATAGAGATGCATTGATTCATTGCATCTCTAAGATGTCAATTGGCAACAGATGTGTTGGGGGTTACCTTGTACCCACCAATGGCTGTGGAAATTTAGAGCCCTGAGGAAAAGTACGAGCAACTTTTCATTTGAAGAGTCCAACAAAATAGTTAAATAAAGTAGTTAATGTTTACAGGTATAACATGTTTGCATAGCTCAGCTCTCAAAAGGTATTATTTACCATTGGTAAGCATTCCTATGTCAGCCATATTTAATAGATTATTTAGGAGCTAATACCGCACATGCACAATATCCTGGGTGAGGTCACATCTCATACAATATTCTAAAAGTTAAGTGCAAGAGTTCCAGTTCAGAATTTAATTGAACAAACTGGTAAAGAAGGTTGTCTGAACCTTTGGATAGGTGGACGGAAAACAGCGCGACCAACAAAAGGAATTAACACAAAACACCCCTTTAATAGTAAATGTTCTATAGTTTAAGCAAAGGCTTATTTGGCATAGTTCAGTGACCAAGTGGTGTCATAATGCACTGTAGTGAGACATCCATGCCACTTTAGATTACTATTAGTCAGTTTCTCACTTTCCCTAACGAATACATAAATAGAAGTTCTAAAGAGATTTTATTTTCTCACAGCACCCTTACAGAATAACAATGTCATGTATATTCTCCATTTCATTCTAGATTAACTGCAGATAAACTAGTAGTTATTGATGTGGATAAGAGGAGGGGGGAGGGGTAGGGTGAGATTTAATTTACACACAATTAGCTTTGATGCAAAAACACCCTTAAGGACAAAACTTCGGAAATAAAAGGGAATCATGACATGTCACATGTCAAGTGTCCTTAAGGGGTTAAAAAAATATATATATTACACAAATTGGTTGAACAATGGGAAACATTACTGTTTGAGAAAAGGTGAGGTTTACATTTAGAGATTTCAATAAATCACCCCTCTACTGGCTATCAATACAAACAGCCACTAGAGTAACTTTCCACCTTACATCCCGTTTTAGAAGGAATACTTGTTTTATGTAAGCATGCACTAGATGACACTGAATACAGCCAACGCTCCTCAGAGAAGCAATGTGTTGGTGGATAGTGGTTGTGTTCTCAAACACGTCACAATCATGTATTGCAGGGTTAATACAGATAAATCTGTATTACCTTAGCACTGGAATAAAGCAATTTTACAAGGTGGGATGTGTGTTTTTGTACACAGTCTACTAAAAGTTATGGATTGTGTTTTTTTAGTTTATTTTACATTTCTGTATGGTCAGAGCATATAATGCAAACTGAAATAAACACCAATGGTGCCATTAGGATACAAGCATATGTATGCACTTTCTAGCGCAGGGGCATCATATATTGTGCAGCTTTGAATGACAGTTGCCTCACTATGCAGTTTGTGTTTTAAAACATATGTAGCCATCGGCTTCTCAAAGAGGTGGGAGAGGGCGCATTGATTTAACCAGTATCCTATTCTTAGGAATTCTGGAATAATGCACTGGGCATGCTTGATAGGATGTTTGCAAGGTGAAGAGTGTTTACAAATGCACATGCATAAAATTTGATAGAAGAGGAGAGGGAATCTGATCATTGTGAGTTAGGTTTCTTTTACCAGTGGACAGGTCTGTAATGGAGATGTGCAAGCATGAGGGGTTGAAGAATCTCCCATGGAGAAGAGGCTAATGCAATCTGAAAAAGTTTACAGACATTACATACTTAGTTTTTCTTGCTTTATTTGGGTGGGTAAATTTGTTTAAGAGACCTTGCTTGTGTGAGAAAAAAAAAAAAGTGATTTGTGTCCCTTTAATCTCTTTAAGACTGTTGGCCTAGGAGTTACAGTGTGAAGTAATTTTTTAAATTAATTTAGCCATTTTATGGTCTTGGTCCAGGGCTTAAAGTTTGGTGCAGCTAAACAGTTCCATTTACAGTCAACCCAGTAGACACGGTTAAAAGGAAGCTGGGTACAGAAAACAACCTCCCATGGAAACCGGTGCATAAATTGTGCTCAGCCATCTGCTCATTATGTAGTGCATGAGCAAGCATCATAGGATAACCGTAACTTATGGTTGCATGCCAGTGCCCGGAAAGCCACTTAAATAAATTAAAATCTGGGCTATGTAAATCCCAGTCAAAATGGTGCCCAGAAATGGAACATTGTGGAATCACCATAACATTTAGGGAATGCACAGCGGTCTGCTGCAGTAGCAAAGAACATCTGCGCTCCTGTATTACATTTTGCCAATGCTGGAAGAAAGGGTTAGGACGACATCACATCCTCCCTAACGTTTTATGCAGGGTATTGTGCAATGGGAACGCTAATGCAGTCTCTGCTGGGATGAATACACACCCTTATCCCTAATTAGACACAAGAGGCCGTACTTTTCTCACCTCCTGTTGCAAGTGACTGCATGTATGCGTAAATTAATATGCAACATAGGTGATTGGCCAATTGTGTTAGTGTGTGAGTTATTGATAAGATAAGACATTTGGTATAAACCGTACGAATAACTAGCTTTATTAAAGGGACACTTCAGGCGCTAATACAACCTTCATGCTTTTGATACATGGCATTGAGATCATTAAGTAATTATATGTCATGGCTCACATACAGGAACACTATGGTCACCAAAATAAACTGTAGCTTAAGGAAGCAGTTTTTGTGTATATACCATGAATCTCACTGCTCAATTCTGTGCCATTTAGGAGTTAAAGGACCACTAGTCACCCAGACCACTTCAGCTCAATGAAGTGGTCTGGGTGCCAGGTCCCTCTAGTTTTAACCCTGCAGCTGAAGACAGCTTCAGAGAAACTGCCATGTCTACACTGCAGGGTTACTCCAGCCTCTAGTGGCTGTCTCCCTGATAGCCACTAGAAACGCTTTCACAATTTTCAGTGTGAAAAAAAAAAAAAAAAACCCACACAACTTTACATCTATCACATTCCCCTCCCCCCCTTGCAGGAACATAGCATGGTTTAGGTTCCACAAAAAAGGAGTAATAAATGGGGGATTGAAGTTAAGTTGCATGAGGTCTATTTAGATTAGAGGTTTTCATAAACACCATCCTTTATTCTGCCTTTCCAAAATCATCAGCAGGCATGGAAGACAAGCAAATGAGAAAGGCTACAGCAACATGCTGCACATGAGCAGGAATAGCTGTGAAATAATTCCTAGAGGACAGCTCGGGTAAAATAAAAAATAAATAAAACCTGGCAATTTCTTTACATTCTACCAGACTGTGTTTAACAGACACTGGTGTGAGTGCAGTGCTCAACACATGACAAGGTTTGCAAATAAAACATTAAATAAAATAAATGAAAAACAAAAAAGAAGAACTTACCAGATTTGGTGCTCATGGAAATTCATACCTGGCAGAGTAAAGACAAAAAAAAAAAGATAAAAATTATAAAGAATCCAGTTCAAACACATACATGAAGTGAGAATTCAAAGTGAATTCCAAACATGGCAATACAGCAAAACTGGAAAAATCCTACAAAGTAAACTGTCACAATTGCTCATTTATGGACTTAAAATTTAAAAGTTTAATAAGAAATCCCTAAAAGCATTCAAAATTAAAACTTTAAGGACAACATAACCAAATTAAAATCAACAATACTTTTAAATAAAATGATATAATTTTTTTTTATTAAACCTAATACTACATGGACTGCATGAGTAAAACAATCATATGACCGTGTAAATCAGTCACATTTTAAAATGTTATGGATTTCCAAACCACTTCATCTTATTGAAGTGGTCTGGGTGTAGTGTCCCTGTACCCCTTAGGCCTGAAATGAGAAAAATAAAAATATATAAATAAATTCACATTGCAGTGCTAAGGCTGCCTCTGGTGGCTGTCCACCAGAAATACTTCCTGGCTGTTCACACTTGACTCCGTAAAAGAATGCTGGTCATCCCACGTTTTGCGTGAGGACGTGCATTGGCTTTAAAATCTCATAAGAAGAAAAAAAAAAACCACTTTCCTATGCATACATGGCACTCACGAACTAGACCCTCTTTAGCTGTCGGAGGTGTGTGAGCCAGTGTCAAGGGACAGACAATGGAGTAAGGTGAGTGAACTTTTTATTTTAATTTTTTTATTTATTTTTTTTAATTTTTTTTTTTAAACCCCTTTTGCGGTCCAGGGACACTAAAAAGTGTTGGGAATACAGAATATAGATTGAGGAAATTTTGCTTGAGTCAGACAGTTATCTGACCAACGGCTACAAGCCATCTTGGTTCACACAGAGCAATCACAGCACTAGGCAAATGGGTTGAGCAGTAGGTTTGTCATATAACATTAGTTTGAAGGTTTCCTTCCTGCTTCGTAAAAAAAAATAAAAAATTATATATATACATACACACCCACCCACCAAAACTGAAATACAAGACAGTTTGAGTGAACTAAATTTCTTTGAATGTCTGAAATTACCAACATATGTAAAGGCGTGTTAGGATTGTAAATAACCTCCAAGGATCCTTGACAATTAACCATACAGTGCAAGGTCAGCATAAAAATAAATAAAATAAAAAAATAAATAAAAAACCCACACACGTAGCTAGAGTCTTCCATCAGTTTAGAATGCAACACGTAACATAGCTCTGGTATTTAGCTACAGAAGTCCTAATGCTGCGCAAGGTATTTTAGCCAACAGCTCCTCAAAGCACATGGATCATTTACGAAAGACTTCAGTCTCAGAGTGGAGAGATTAAATGGGTCAGAGTGGAGAGATTACATTTTAATGCATGAGAGCATGGGGTTTGAATAAAAAGGGACAGTTAGCAACACCAAGTTATGCTCATTGCATGTTATAACGTCAGGTTTCCTTGTATAGTGTAACAGTGTTGCAGAGATTAAAGAAAAAAATAAAATAAATAAATGCAGCCTGTGTGAGAGACCACTAGCTGTAGCAGCCCAGCTGTCAGAGTGAATATGTCAGTACATTGCCAGTTAAAAAACTGAACAGGGCTGTACAAATGATAGAAGCCACACTATGGCAGCTCTAGAACTGCTGCGGGAGAGAGTCATTTGTTACATAAATTCCAGCTGGACAGAGGTTTAGATGCTATTAACCTGAATGAAAGGCTCTGTATTCAGTAACTTATTTGACAAAGTGTGCTTGCCTATGCATCTGCAAAAGAAACCATCTAGAATTAAAGGAGTCACTTCCAACGTGAAGGAAAATAATGTGATGAAAGGTTGACTATTTAAAACTTCCTCATTAAAAACAAATTACTTGCGGCTCTCAAATAATCTTCAGAAAGCTAGCATAAAGTGTTTTTGTTTTACACACAGTTAAGAATTTTAACACACACACACATATACACACACACACACACATATACACACACTTTGATGTGGCCTGCTCAGGAAAACAGGACACCCATCCCAATTTTCACTGAACTCTTTTCTACTTCCTGAAGATATTCATATTTTGCTCATTCCATCACTTTTAACCAAAATGATGCACACTTGTAAAGTATCTGCCCCAAGGGCATGTAATCCACAGACAGTGAATTGACAGCTGCTTTGCAAAATTAAAACTAAAAGATTGCTAAAAATAGAGAATGGAGATTAGCACAAGATATATTTTCCTATTTGATTTCAATTTAGTAAAATTTAGGTTGTCAATTCAACATCAGTCAGGAGGCACAGGGCCTGCACACCTGTAATTTTTACAAGTGTGACATACAAGTCCTATATTTCGGGTGTACATCTTGGAGATAGGCATTGTTTCACCTTAGACAAAATGATAAAGTATTGCAGAGAAGTAATTTTCTTGATCTTTTATGTTAGGGAAAATGTACAATTTAAGAAGTCTTACCAATTACATGTTTTAAACCTATATATTAAGCAAATACATGCAAATGGTTATGTAATGTACCCACCTGTTTGCATGCTTTGGTGCTTTAGCAACTACAAAAATGTAATTTGTTCCAGTTTTTAAGCAGACCAATCTATTAAAACTTTATGTGCAACAGCTTAAGTCTGACTTGGATTGTGTTTTACACCTCTTGAAAGAAATGTTTTTCAAAGCTTTGGAAATAAGGCCAGTGAAATGTCAATGTTACTATAAGGGCTACGTGAACAAATCAGCAGAAGCTTTGCAAGGTAGGTTAGGAGACTGCCTGTTTTGGAAAAAAAAAAGTACATTTCACAGAAAGGAAATTGCTACAACTGCCCGAATATTTTCCAGTTAAAAAAAAAAAAAAAAAACACATTGCCTATGATAATGTGTAACATTGCAAGTAAAGAACTCGTGGGGGCATATAAGAAAAACTTAACACTGAAGTTAGAGATGTCAGTATGGTTGTAGAGTTTATTCCACTCCATGTAAAACATGTTAATATTCCTAACCCGGTATTTAGGACACTTTATTATTTTACAAGTGAAGGCACAGGTAAAAAAGGTGAGTAATCCATGTACAAGAACAGAAAAAAACTAAACATTTTAATGATTGTGTTTTGGTACGGATGTTGTAAATGCACAAGAGTTTGACAAACTTTTGTAGAATGCAGATTTATTAGAACAAATTTAAAAACCTTGCTTTTTTACTACACCAGCCAAAGAAGAAAATGTCAAAGTTGCTACTGACAAGCTGAGAGCAGTTCTATAATGCTCAAGTATAAATGACAAATATTTAAGACTCCACCCTGCTGTAGTATTTTACAAATTAGAAGTTCCATTTTATTTAGTCAGTCCTTCCACGGGATGTCAAATGACCTGACAAGAATTTCTAAAGATTACATTCATCGTGTTTAAGTCAAATATCAGAACACAATTATTTAGAAATTTACCTTATACACATTTATGCTTAAAACTTACCAATGCAGGTATGATAGTCCATGGAGAAATTATTTCATAATTCATGCATTAGTGTCACGCAGATTAAAAACCCTTTCCTTTGCTAGTATGTAACCAGTTTTATTTAATACTGTTAAATTAAAATTCAAAAGTAAAAACGTGAAATACCAGACTTAAAATAACCTTTAGAGGTCATGCTACATAAAATAAAACAATGAAGACGCTAAGAACACTATTCAACATTCCGCAGAGCAGTTTGTGGAGCTTTACACAGGCTTGGTACCAAATGCTAAAATACATGTATTTAGTGTTAAACAGATATTGTAAAAAAAATAAAAAAAAATTTAATATGCGTGGTTTTAAGCATGACTAAAAAGCTTGCTTTTGTTTTAGTTATGGTGAATAAACAGTCTGCTAGAGCAAGATAAATTCTCATAAAAAAATTAAAAGATTACATTGCCTGGAAGCTTGAACTGGTGAGAAGCAGCTTGTACAAAAATGTACTTCACCAGGTTTCTTTCTCTGCGTCCCTCCCCCACCCCCTTCAAATAATACATAGTTTATATCCAATACTTACTTGATAAAAGGATGTTCGGTAATGGAGTTAAAGCTCTTTAAAGCCCTGCAAAAATAAAAGCACACTTTTATCATGAAGAAACCAAACTAAAATACAATGTAACTGTTATGATTTATAAAAACACAAAAAATACACAAAAATTAAAATATAAAATACCTTATACTGTGCATCAAACAGCTCACGTTATGAAAGAATCCATGCTGCCTATTTTTCATTAATCTCTGTGGGAGAATAAATAGGCTTGTTAGCATGCAGTTTTAACATCAATTTTATGAAACTATACTACTCATTAAATATCAGACTCCGTATTGATTAAAATTTGTTTAAATAAGATGCAGTTCATCAGATATAGACAAATGGATCTAAAACGGCAAAATAAAAAAATAAATAAAAAAAATTGTTTTATAAATTACAAGACAATTAACGCTGCTGGAATATATTTAAAACCTCAAATTGTGAAGAGCACAAGAGTTTCATAGGAATTTATAATATATTGGCTGCTTTTGCTTCCAATAAAAGATTTATTTATTCTTTCAAGATGGCCATAAAATCATGACAAGAAAATTCTCTTTTTCTAGAAGGAGAAAATGTAAGCCAGGAAGAGGCAAAAGAGCAAATATTTCAACTCAAAAAAATTTAACACGACATGAAGATTTGAATTTTGACAGCAAATGTGGCAACATTTAAAAAAATATATATAAATTAAAAGTAACACATGAATGTATTAAGAAAATTTTAGCTTAACAAAAAGATCTAATATACAAATTACTAAGTATATAAAGTGGTGTGTCGATACATGCAGTCAAATTTTATAATGCAATACTAGAATTCTCTAAAAACAAGTTATTGTACATATTTTATCACACTCCAGTCGCCTAGTGAAAGATTAAAACCAAATAAGAACTTAAAAATTGTATATTATATCTGTGTGTAGAATATATACATACAGATTTTTTTTTAACATGGCCTGAAGAGAATTAAAAGCCAACACCCATAAGAAACAAAGAAAATACATACGTTTACATCCCCCCTCCATACTTCACTGCAGAAAGGGAAAAAAAAAAAAAATAGATGATGGGAGGGGGGAGGGATAATTATTTGACTATCAAACAAGGGCTTGAAAACTTATTCTTGAGTGTTGTGCATGAAAAGTATATATATATATATATATATATTTGTTGTAATGTCCAATTTTAAAAAAAGGTCTCCTTTCATCCCAATACCCATGTGATTGTTGCAGATTAGACTGTAGGAGACGGACTGTGACATTGAGAACCACCAATGCCCTGTATAGCCAGAGTATGAAATTATTAAAATGAATATATGGTAAGAGTCTCCATGGGGGACATGGTTTAGACAGGGGACCCGGGTTACTGTCCAGCTGATGGGGTGCTAGGAGGCTGATGGGTGACTGTCTCCCTCCAGGTCTCTCTCTCTCTCTCTCTCCCAAGGACACTTGCTTGTTTTTGTCTCCCCACCCAAGGACAAAGACAGGCAGCAGCCATACTCACCGAGGAGGCAGTGGCCGCCATTCCAGGGAGGATGCGGCAGCGGCTGGGTGCTGCTCTCTGTCTCCCGAGCCGTGCAGGGTCCCCCGCAGCCAGCCAGCTCGGGGATGGGCGGCGGACAGGGCACGGCTGGCTCTCCTTCACCAGCGCCATTTTGTTTTGCATTCGACAAACTCAGCCAGGCGGCCATCTCGTCTCCCTGACTCGGAGCTCACCGCCTCAGCCCGAGCAAAGGGCGCCCGACCCGCTGACTGGGGCGAGGGACGGCAGAGAGTGGGGGGAACGGAGACTCGGGGCGTGATTATACCTTCACCCCCATCCCAAACCCTGACAGTTAGACCGGGTCTCGTGACTCCGACGGCTCGGCTCCGCCATTTTGTTGCAGCTACTCCGCTCGCCTCCGTCCTTCTGCTCCCCCTCAGCCGCGCGCTACCTCCTTATCACTGCAGGCTGTGCTAGGCGCCCGGCCTGTTAACTCCTCCGCAGCCGTACCCGGCGTCACCGCGCATGCGCCGAGGCCCACTTCCAGGTAAGAATCAGTTAAACCGCTGTCCCTAGCGGTTGCAAACGCGGCTCTCTCATTGGTTCCTCCAATAAACTCCTGCGATTGGCCCCCGAGCTGACGTTCTCTTCCCACCTCTTGTTGTTTACACACGCCCCTCTTTTTTTTTCCTCTCTTTTACCTCCCGCTTCAGCGCGCTGTCACGCCCACTTCGTTTTGTTGCCGTTTGTTTGCTTGTACTTTGATTGGGTTAGATGGAACTTGGGGGCGGGGTTTCATTGTGGTCGTTCTGTGCAGCCAAGCGAGAGGCGCCTTCTTATTGGCTGATCTGTTAAAGCTTAATAACAATACCAAGTGTGATGGAGTGTTCAAAGGAAGTTCTTTCCTTTCAGGTTTGTATTAGCTTAAATGATAAAGGGAAATAAACTAATCATATCACAATATGTGAACCATCTTTTAATCTAAAGAGAAAATTAAAATGATGTATTTTTTCTACTTGTTGTGGAAAATGCCCTGTGTCTGGTGGTTTTCAAATCATTAACTTTCTCATTGAACAGTTATGATGATTTTAGTTTCACTGCAATAGCCATTAAAGTGCACGCTCACCTGCCAGGTTATCATACTCTATTGGCCATTGCAGTGGCCATTAAAAAATCTCTGTCAAAATGTTCTCTGTCACTATACCGTAAATTTTGAATATTTCATAAACATATACTGTAATCTTTATGAAATAAACACATTGACTATTCTGGAATTTTGTAGAAATTCCAACGCAGTAACAGGATATCATAAGTCAAAGTAGGGAATGACAGTGATGAAACTTGACAAACGGTGGATGTTCGCAATCAAATTTTGTCATTTCATACAGCTTTTTCTTTTTCAACAATTATGATGTGGTCTACCAGATCCATCAAGTTTTCAGGGACACATATCACACACATATTGAAGGGCAGCATATGAAAAGGGTTTCCCTGTAGGAATTTAGAAAAAGGCGTATTAGATTAAGTAATTAGATAATGGAGAATCCTGCAGGATATTATTATTTATATAGCGCCATCAGATTCCGTAGCGCTGTACAATGGGTGGACTAACAGACAACTGGACGTACAGGAACAGAGAGGTTGGAGGGCCCTGCTCAATGAGCCAGTATAGAGGGTATGCATTATACATATTGTAAGGTGACTCTTTTTTTATGCATTTTCATAAATAGGACAAAATGATGTGTCCCTGAAAAAATGATGGACCTGGTTACCCTATCTATGGAGGATCTAGACAGGATATAGAAGAGTAAAGAACTGACCTGGCAGATGAAACTCTAGGAGCCGAAGAAAGAAGATCCAAGGAAAAGCATCGGGAAAGCATTGCATGTTGAGAAAGTGCCAAGACAGGCACAGAACACATCCAGGACCTCTTTCAAGGTTTGCTGGGACCCTCTCCAGTCTCTCTTTCCCCCCCTTCCTAGTAGATTTTGCAATCTCCAGCTGCCTTTAACTTTCTCTGCTTCCCCCTTTTTTCCTTTTGGATGCAATGTGTTTCATTTTCACCTATTTGAGTGTGCATATCAGTTGCACACTGGCTTTTGGTGCATACATTGGAGGTAACATCTTATTAGATGGGCTACTATTTGCTGCCATTTTTTATATATATATTTTTTCTATTTTTTTAATAAATTGTGCAGTTTTTCATTACCTACCTGTGGCCTTATTTTGGAGCTACTGTGTGTTGACTTCAATGGAAATGTGGATGTACTACTAATGCATAGGTAGCCTTTTTTTGGTTTGTTTTGTTTATATAATTGAGCTGATCAATACAAGTACAACTATTTATTCCACCCAAGAATAGTGGTAGTTTGAGCACAGGGATTATTATTACTGTGTATCAGTATCAGATCTGTCCCGATACGGCACACATAACTAGGATGTCTCTCTCTCTCTTTTCTTCTAGGAGCCAGAGGTGCATGAGTTCAAGATCAGCAACTTGAGAGATTGCTGTATAAGCCCAATTTACAAAGGTGTGAATGGGCCTTTGTATAACAGATATCAGCCACAGAATCAGTGAACAGTTCCACTCTTCCATAAACTACATATCCCATAAATAAGATCAGACACTACAGACCAGAATAAGAAGTTCATGCTTGGTGGAGCCTCTATCTGGTCAGCTGATAAGTTATTGGTGTTTTTTTTTATTGGCTTTATTTTTACTTCTGCATGCATTATTTTATGCATTGTCTACATCATGCACTGGATGGTAGGAGTCTTTTTCTGTCTCTATTGTATACATTTAATATTAATGGGCATCAGATCTAGAACAAGTTGAGGGAGTTTGGGTTTTTATGGGGGTAAGTGTCAGGTTTTTCTGAATAGTTGTTTTGGGTTTATTTATTTTGTAAGGAGTTGTAGAACTCCTTTAAAACTAATGCAATGTTGGTGAAAGCTCTGTAGGTTTGGCCTGGGACTTATATTTTAGTCCCTCTCGGTTGGTGTTCCTAAGGCTCGCTGACTGGGTGTTATCTTTGACTCCTACCTCTCCTTCACCCCTCATGTCCAATCAATCGCCAAATCCTGCCGCTTCCATCTCAAAAATATTGCGCGCATCTGACCCTATTTAACGTCTGGTACGGAAAAGGTGCTTGTCCATGCCGCTGTCCTCTCTCGTCTTTACTACTGTAATCCGCTTCTCAGTGGTCTTACGTGTTCCCAACTTGCCCAGTTACAGTCTATAATGAATGCGGCGGCGAGGCTCATCTTCCTGTCTACCCACACCTCCCATGCCTCCCCCCTTTGTCGGGCCCTACATTGGCTTCCCCGTAAGATATAGAATTCAATTTAATATCCTGATACTTGCTTACATATCTCTACACAATGCTGCTCCTACTTATCATTACTATTACACAAATATGTCCCATATAGGTCCCTACGCCCTGCCAGAGACCTACGCCTAACCTCTGTTCGTATTCCTGCCTCTGAAGCTCCCCTTAAAGACTTCTCTAGGGCCACACCGTTCCCATGGAACGCCCTTCCCCTCTCTGTTAGACTTTCATCCAATCTCTACTCCTTCAAAAAAATCTTTGAAAACTTACTTCTATAGGAAAGCATGTCAATTAAACTGTGAACAGCTTTCCCTCCCTGCACCCTGATTCCTCTCCTGAAACTGTCATCAAAACGCTAAGCCCTCAATGAATACTATCTTAGCAACCTACTTTTCTACCCTACCCTTACCTTTTGTGTTACATTACCCCACTCTCTCTAGCATGACAACTCATTGAGCAGGGCCCTCACTCCCTCTGTTCCTGTGTGTCCAACTCATCTGGTTACAAATTCTTGTCTGTTAGTCCAAACATTGTACAGTGCTACGGAACTTGTTGGCGCTTTATAAATAATAATAATACAAGTGGTGGACAGTCAACAGAGGAAAGCAGACCAGCAGGTGAAGAACATCAGGTGGGATGAAGGCAGTAGAGCAACAGGCAATAATCCAATCCATACATTATTACCAAGGACACCAGCAATTTGATTGAATCTGGTGTTGGTACAAATCTATGTGGCCTATTTCATTGAAAAAACAAATCATTATTTGTTACTTAATATTATAGCCTGCTTAACACCCTCCAGTGAGAAATTAGACTAAATCATGGAGCTTGTGTTGGGTCTTCTTAACAGCATTATAGGCCCCCTGGGAAAAACAGTGCACTGTGGCTGTGCCTACACAACTACTCACAGGAATGAAAATGTAAATGTAATTATAGATAAAATTAAGTTTATATTTATAGGTATCTCCAACAAAATAAGTGTTTAAACAAAATTACAAATACTGTATGCTGTAGAGCAGAGTTTAATCCACACAACATTTAATATTTAGCTGGGAGAGTAAACTAACATGGACTGTTAAAAATATTAGAAAAACTTTATAATAGCTTTATGACTTCAAAAAATTATGTGTGTTGACTTTGTCTTGTTTATGTACAACTAGCATGTTGTTTTTGTCAAGGTCAATATATGTTTTCACAACAGCATGACCACATGTAGAGATAACAGCTGATACCGAGGTGATTAGTCCACCTAAACATTTTATAAAAAGGGTCTGTAGGTTCGGAATAAATCTCCTGGAATAATATATTGAAACGTTAGTAAACCTATGGGGCCCAGTGTGCCCATGCATTAAGACTGCCATAAGCTTGTTGTAGTTTGGGGAAAAATTCAACACAGCTTGTTTGTCTTTATCTAAACTTGAACTTGCAAAAAAATAGCAATACCGTGTTTCCCTAAAAATAAGACCGGGTCTTATATGAATTTTTCCCTGAAAAACGCACTAGGGCTTTTTTCGGGGGATGTCTTATCTAGGGGGGAAACAGTAGTAGTTTACCTACAGTCCTCACGTGTGTACAGTTTGTACACCTTCGGGCTTTGGGTGATTGCTTAGATATCAAATCCATATCGGAGAAGGCAGAACAGGGATATAAGGTTTAAAAACATGAAATATGCCACCATTGCTAACTTTTTTTTGTAAAATATTACAGCTTAAAGTTTTCTATCTTAATATATATACATATTTATAAATTAAATGTATTACTTTTAGATGGTTTCCATTTAGAGTACTTCCCTCCATGATGTTTTTACATCATTTATTTTTATAGATTTAAAAAAAAACTATGAACTTACATTCATTCCAGTGCTAGGACAGTCTCCACTCAGCCACCAATACAACTCCTGTGAAATCATCATTCCTGGTGACTCTTGTCTAAGCAGACACATGTGCAGCAATTGCTGTAATTTGCCAGTACGATGCTTCTTTATGAGAAGCGTTATATGAACTCATCATGTTTGTCCTGTATGTCAGGGCTCGACAAATCCCAGGCGCCAGGTCACCATTGCGACTAGAAATTTTGCCCTAGCGCTTGGGATTTAAAGCCCTTAAGCTAAAGACAGGATGAGGGAACAATGGAGCCGGCCGGTCGCCTTGAGAAGTGTGGACGGCCAGCTCAGGGAGCGTGCAGGCGGCTGCCTGGAGGAGCGTGCAGGCGTCCGCCATGGGGATCGTGGAGGCGGCCGCCCTGGGGAGCATCGCTGTGGTTGGCCGGGGCAGCGTGCGAGGGAGCAGTGATCTTCGAGCTGCTCCCTCACACTGTTTAATGACTTCATTCTCTGAAAAGGCAGTGTTTACATTGAAAAGGCTACAGGGACAGGCTACAGGCACCAGAACAACTACATTAAGCTATAGTGTCCCTTTAAGAATTGTATATTTCTCATAAATTAAACTTCGCTAGTTTTAAAAAAAACTGGCTTCTGACTTTTTTAGCTGGCTCCTAGATTCCAAACAAATTTGTCAAGCCCTGCTGTATGTGATGATGGTGAATGTGAAATCAAAGGATGTAAGGAGCAAATATAGTTGCTGTCTATCTGAAAGCCACAATAGGTGTGTTTTTGGCAAAATGTAGACATTTGTCAGGAATTGCAATGTTTTACGTTGTTCAACAAGTAGTACTGCATCTCTGCCCCAAAACTACTACATTAAAGTAACACCATAGGATTTGGAATACAAACTTGTATTCCTAATGCTATAGTGTCCTACTCCCTAAGTAGATTCAGCCCACCCCTTCCCTCGGTATCAATAAAAAAAGAAGTGAAAAAAAACAGGATTAATGTACCTATTTTATAGCATCTGTTTAACTCTGGAATGGAAACATTGCATTTTCTACAAAATTGCAATGTTATAAATTGCAGGGCTAAAATGATAGGGCTACTGAGATGAAGTGGTCTGGGTGCATTTAGTGGTTTTTTAAAATGTAGTGGTTTTGGTGCTTAGACTATCCCTTTAAGACACTTTTCCACACTGTTCCTCTACAGACACATGGTTTCACATTTGATTTATACTAGTCTATCTATGTCATTCGTTCTTTCATGATTCCAGAGCCATTATTGGCGCTATCACATGCAGACATAGTACAAGTTTGGCAAAGGAGAAGACAGCACAACACAAAAAAGATGTGAGGTAAGACAAAGTAGTAGATAATGTAATTAAGAACAAATGCAACCACAATGCACTTACTCACAGCAGCGAAGTTCCTGTTCCCTGGACTCTGGAAGCAACCGTGTGCAACAACCTTTCAGCAATGGGTGGCCAAAGGTGAGGAAATACATGCCATGGAAAGTGTCATAAGTGTCATACCTCCTTTCGGCCTGCGCTGATCCGATTCTGGAGTCTCGGCCGACACCGGTTTATCTTCTGCTATGTCCTGGCATTCGCCCGACAACACAGGAATGCGCATGCACCTGCCTGTTTTAATCCTTAAAGGGACAGTAGCCCATTGTATAGGCTGAGCACGCACTATATATTCTGTGCACCAATTACCCTATTGGTTCCCTAGCCTATCACCACATACCTAGCCTTATTTATATATTTTCCTGAACCCCAGGAAAAAGATCCCACACCATACCCTAGGAAAAGGATCTCACCCTGGAACCCAGGGAAAGTTTCCCACACTGGTCCCCTAGGAAAGTATCCCACACCGTACCCCAGGAAAAGGATCTCTACCTGGAGGTTGGGAAACACTGGTCTAGAACATGCTGATCACAATAATCTTAATGCTGGTACTATAATGCTTGAATTTTACTGGCATGTTAGATTCTGCACCCCAAAAAAGCATCTGCTCATTATGTTTATTATTATTACTGGCATCTAGAAATCAACAACATATTCCACCGCACTGCACAGTTGGAGAAGAAAAGAAAAAATCTGCAACAAGCAAGCCATTATGCAAGGAAAACCAAAACAGTGGCTCATCTTTATTATTGTGTTATATATCAGAATAGACAGGGTTTTATATTTATGCAATTCCAGGATTACTTATTGTTGTGGACAAAAATATTAACCCAATCCATGTTAGTAAAATGCCTATTTACTCAGCATAACTACAATCAGCATTATTCAACCTTATATGTGATTTACCTAAAATGGCCGCTAGGGAGTTTCCTTTTTGACATCGACTAACACCCTCATTAATAAGATGGCGCTGGAATCTGGGGGAGACCTCCAGGATACCAGTGACATCACACCCGGTAGGAAGAGCACTAAATGAACCACTTAACACCTAACCAATTATTGATGTATTATTCCATGTTATCTCTGACAATGCATATGATGTAATTTTGCTTTATAAGGGACATGCCGTCCCCTCAGAATAAAAATTCCTCAAGTTTTTCATTAACCCGAAACTTGTGTCTGGTGTGAATTACATTAGGAGCGTGCACGCATTACTTCTTTAATTTGGCCGGGGAAGATACGCAAGATAATCAATTTATTGATTGATTTCCACATCACTTATCGCTCATCATAGTGAACATGATTTAACATTATTATTTGATACTACAAATTAACCAAGGTTAATGATTATTGTGAATGTCTGTGTGCATACGTATGTTGGATGGCATGTTTATGTGTGCATATGCATCTTTGTAGTATATGCATCTTGTTAATGTATCTGTGTGTGTATTAAAGTGTATTTATGTGTGGTGTATGGTAATACAAGTTAATGCATATGTGGGCATTAGAGCAGGGCTAATATTTTGCCTTCAGTACCCTGTACTAAAGAGAGCCAGCCCCAACCAACCCATTTCACTTACGTCCAAATCACTTCTGAGCCGAAGGTGATATCACCACCTATCACTTTCTCCAGGAGCACTCATGGGTACATATAGATATATTATAAACACTATACATCCACATTAAGGCCTACGAGTTCAGCTCTAAATTTTGAAGAAAAAAAAAAGGTTGGAGTTTGTCCCGATGCGCAAGTTATTCAGAGTATTTCTTAATAACTGTAAATAAACAGAATGCTATCTCATTTTTATTTGTCCCCTCTCCAAATATCTTCAGGCCATGCATGGGGATTATTAATTTGGCCTATGAAATCGTCACTTTATACTGATTTAATCAGAGTTAAACATACCAGTGATGTAGTCAACAAACCAAAAACTTTTAGTTTTCGTGTAAGTAGTACGATTTTGTCAGTCCTCCTTTATTGGCCTGTGGGGCTACTCAACAGAAAAACACTTCTCCTTTGCAGAAGGATATGTACGTGTAATCCATTTTTACAAGACACCAGCCCCACATCATTTCCCCCCACGTGAAGCACTACCATATTTGGCACCTGCCCCAAACTAATCTTACCAAACATTTCCAAACAAATTGCACTCCAACCTCAACTCCGATAACCAAACCACCAGAGTCAAACCATGATGGCGAACTGCAGCTCTCCGATGCGCCCAGTAAATGTAGGAATATCCGACCAACCAGGCAGTCCAACCTAGAAAGAGACAGAGAAAAAGCCCCATAGGAACAGGTAACACCACTACCACCACCCTAACCCAATCTAAACCAGTTTATCGGGCTTAACATAGGATCTGAACCTCACAGATTCCCACCTACCAATTCTCTTAACCAACTCATCCCCAAGACCCAATCGAGCAGCCTCTGTCGCAGTGCCAATCCTAAAGGAATGAGTCCCCTGGGAAACTCATTTAACTGGATCCAAGCCTAAACGTACCAAGGCCAACTGGAAGACCCTGAGGAACTGATACTTCGATAGCGCGGAACCATCAGCATGCAAGAAAAAGGAACTCCCTGTCTCCACATGAACCCTTAGAAAAGCCGTGACGCAATCCCCCACTGGCGTCTTGACCCCTAGGGCCGTGAGTGTGCAAAGAAGCCGCTGCACTGCCTCTCTCTGGAGAACTCCCGCTAATAGACAAGACCCACTACGCCTCCGGTACTCAATCCTAACAGGGGAATCCGAAATCCTCCCCCGTGCATATCCTGAAGGGGGTCCCTGCCGTCGCTGTCCATCCCCATACGATGACTACTCCTAGACCGATACCTATCAGCGTCTCTATGGAACCTGCCATCATCCTCCTGAGTGCAACGTGGGACGCCCACCCGTGAGGAAAGCACCCCGAGCTTTCCCTTGGCGTCATCCCTATATGCCTACTCCCTGTTGCTTGCATCTCGACTCACCGCATGTCGCCCTAACATCCTGGGAAGTGACACACTACGCTCCCATAACTTGTCAGGGGAAATTATGGAGTGTCGCCATCATTGGAAAGAGGGGACCCAACTGCAGTTTGTTAGGCTGTATGCCTACCATCTGCCACCCTCCTGCTGCCAACCAAACCTGTACCGGTGTCGGGATCCCGCGGGCGGCTGCGAGGGGAGGCTTCACTCCGCTCGCGGTACTCACCCTCCAGCCGTCCGCGGTCCCCTCCTCCTCGTGGGCTCGGCGAGCGGCATCCTTCCAGCCTCGGATGCCGCCCGCGTTTTCCTTCACGTCCCCCAGCGGCAGCATGCATGACGCTGCATGCTGGGAGACCGCCCAAATTATTACATGCCGGGGTCAGTCACCTGACCCGGCGTTAAAGGCACAGTGCCTCAATCACAGTGTGATTGTTAATTCTGATTGAAAATTATCCAATCAGAATTAACCTTATGGTTTAAATACTTACCTTTCCTGTTCCTCCCTGCCCTGTTGTGGTCTTTGCTTGCTAGTATTGCTAATGAACTTGTGGTTCTGGTTACGTACTCTCTGGCTTGTTTATCCGACTTTGTGACTTTCTCCTACCCTTTGACCTCGGCTTGTTTCACGTTATTCTGTCTTCTGGTTCCCCTTTACTCGGCTTGTTTCCTGACTATTCTTTGTGTGCTTAGCCCGGCCACTCTAAGGTCCGGTACTGCACTTTGTGTGTGTGTGTTGGCGTGTTTGGTTTCCCGAATCGTGACATTACAACAGGGCCATAATGGAACCTACTGACATACCACAGCTCCTAGTTAATCAAGAGGCTAGAATGGATGGCTTGGACCACCGTATGGATCAGTTTGCTCAAGCTTTGCAAACCATACTGGCTCGTACTGCACACTTGCAACCTGCCGTTCAGGAGGCTGCTGCTGCTGTGCCCGAACCCATTCCCACTCCAGTACCCATTCCCGCTCATGTAGTTCACATGACGCCGCCACAGCGCTACAGTTGTGACCCAGCATTGTGTCGTGGTTTCCTCAACCAAATCAACATCCATTTGGTGATCAATCCACGTTCCTATCCCACTGACAGATCTAAAATTGCCTTTTTGATAAACCACTTGTCCGGGAGAGCTTTAGCATGGGCCAACCCCATTTGGGAAAATACGTCTCCTATGTCCTTTGCAGATTTTCTGACAGCTTTCAAACGCACATTTGATCAACCCGGTAGGGTTGCTTCTGCTGGCAAGGCTCTGCTTAGGGTCCGACAGGGTAACAGATCTGTAGCGGATTACACTATCAAATTCCGCACTCTAGCAGCTGAAGTGGTTTGGAATAATGACGCCCTCGTAACAGCCTTTCAGGAGGGTTTGGCCGCTTACATACTGGATGAAATAGCATCCAGGGAATTGCCTGTTCTTCTAGATGATGTTATAGACTATATGATTCTTATCGATAACCGTATTAGAGAGAGGCGTAGTCAAAGACGGCTGGATACACGGGTGTTACCTGCTCTACCCAGTACTGCACTGCTAGCGTTACCCGCTCCTAGGCAACCATCCCCTGAACCCATGCAGTTGGGTGCTACGGGGTTAACTGAGGCCGAAAGAGCGTACCGTAGAAGGGAGGGGTTATGCCTTTATTGTGGGAAGAGGGGGCACCACTGTAATGCCTGCACTAAAGTACAGGGAAACTGCAGCACCTAAGGCCTAGAGAGGGGTCGGCCTCGGGTGTTATGACTTTGTCCCCTCTTGTGTCCATCTCCAGACCGTTTATTACGGTTTCTCTTTTGGTCAATAAAACCACTATAACAACCAAAGCCTTGATCGATTCAGGTGCGGCAGACAACCTTATGGATGAGACCTTTGCCAAAACCGCAGCCCTGAATTTGATACACCCTTGGCCGTTGAGGCCATAGATGGTAGACCACTGGAGAAACCTCTGGTGACCCATGAAACCCAGGAAATAGTTATGTCAGTGGGTGTTTTGCACAAGGAAAAGTCAACCTTCCAAATAATTGACTCCCCTACAGCCTCCATCGTTCTGGGTTTTCCCTGGTTAGTTAAACACAACCCTGTACTTGATTGGGGTTGTTTAGATATACTCTCCTGGGGGGAATCTTGTCAACGAGACTGTATGGCTCATGTACGTCCTGTTTGTTTACTCAACATGCCCACGGCTAAACCACTCTCGGTTTCTGTCCCTTCTGTATATGCAGACCTTGCCTTGGTTTTTGAAAAAAGGGAGGCAGATAAGCTACCTCCACATCGTGAGTATGATTGTGCCATAAACTTGTTACCGGGTACTATGTCTCCTAGGGGAAAGGTCTACCCTCTTTCTGAGAAAGAAAACCAGATCATGGAGGAGTACATACGGGAATCCCTAAGTAAAGGTTTTATTAGAAGGTCCTCGTCTCCTGCTGGTGCTGGTTTCTTCTTTGTGGCAAAGAAGGAGGGCGATTTGAGGCCATGTATAGACTACAGGGGTCTGAACAATATAACGGTTAAAACACCTACCCTATCCCCCTCATCACTGAGTTGTTTGATCGTGTTAAAGGTTCTAAATTCTTCACCAATTTAGACCTCAGGGGGGCTTATAACCTTGTCCGTATAAAGGAGAATGATGAGTGGAAGACAGCGTTCAACACACGCAGTGGGCATTACGAATATCTGGTCATGCCTTTTGGACTGTGTAATGCTCCTGCCGTGTTTCAGGACCTCATAAATGATGTCCTTAGGGATCTATTGCATGTCTGTGCCGTGGTGTACCTTGACTACATACTTGTGTATTCTCCTGATTTGAAGTCACACCATAACCATGTTAGGATGGTGCTGAAAAGGCTATTACAGAATGGACTCTACTGTAAGTTAGAAAAATGTTTATTCGATCAGACCTCTGTGCAATTCCTAGGATATATAATTACTGAACAGAGTTTCAGTATGGATCCTGCTAAATTGGAAGCCATACTGTCCTGGCCAATTCCCCAAGGACTGAAGGCTATCCAGCGTTTTATAGGATTTGCCAACTATTATAGGAAATTTATAAAAAACTTTTCACCACTTATCTCTCCTATAACGAAGCTGACAAAAAAAGGTCTACACCCTAGGGTTTGGACTCCTGAAGCCCTTAAAGCCTTCGAAACTCTCAAGAAGGCATTTGCCTCTGCTCCAGTGCTGCACCACCCTGATCCTTCTCTTCCCTTTGTTATGGAAGTAGACGCTTCAGAGTCGGGTGTGGGACCAGTACTGTCACAGAGGTTGTAGTATGACAAACCCCTCCATCCCTGTTGTTATTTTTCTAAAAGGTTGTCTGATCCAGAGAAGAATTACGATGTTGGGAACAGGGAACTATTAGCTATTGTGTTAGCTTTTAAGGAATGGAGGTACTTATTAGAGGGTTCTAGACACAAAATTATGGTTATAACAGATCATAAGAACCTCTCCTATATAGCTGATGCTAGAAGGTTATCTGCCCGGCAGGCTAGATGGTCTCTATTTCTCTCACGCTTCCAATATGTTATTACCTATAGACCTGGTTGCCGTAATGCCAAAGCTGACGCTATCTCTCGACAGCATGAACCAGTAGAATTTGTTAACCCGACTCCTGAACCTATTGTACCTGCGTCTCAGATAATAGCTGCTACCCGTTTGGTTGTTTCGTCACCTTTCCTTGATAGTATTAAGACATACCAAACCCAAGCACCCCCTGAGACGCCGGTTGGTAAACTATACGTTGAAGCAAATGACAGAAAAAAGTTGTTAACTTTATTTCACACCGCCAAAACTGCTGGTCATCCGGGGGTTACCAAAACCTACAAGGGCCTCCTTCAACAGTTCTGGTGGCTTTCACTCAAGCGAGACGTAGTGGATTTTGTTCAGGCTTGTCATGTCTGCACGCAGTGTAAGTCCCCTAATGTGAGACCCCAGGGTCTACTGATGCCTCTATCTATACCCAAGAAACCATGGACCCACTTATCCATGGATTTCATTGTAGACCTTCCTCTTTCTGATGGTCAGACGGTAATACTGACTGTGACGGATAGGTTCTCTAAAATGGCGCACTTTATTCTGCTTAAGAAACTGCCTTCTGCGGTTCAGTTAGCTCAGGTGTTTGCCAAAGAAGTGTTCCGCTTGCATGGGGTACCTCAGGATATTGTATCTGACAGGGGTCCTCAATTTGTCTCTCGGTTTTGGAGGGGCTTTTGTGCTGAGATGGGGGTCTCCTTGTCGTTCACTTCCTCCTATCACCCGCAATCTAATGGTGCGGCCGAACGTGCTAATCAGTCTGTGGAATTGTATTTGCGCTGTTTCACTAATGCGCACCAGGATGTCTGGTCTCGCCTCTTTCCTTGGGCTGAATTTGCCAGGAATACGGTGTCTCATTCGTCTACTGGCTTAAGTCCTTTTGAGGTTGCTTATGGGTTTCGGCCTTCTGTCCTTCCCGGTGCGTTCTCTGACAAGGGAATGCCCGCCTTGGACCAGCACCTCGCCTCTTTGCGGAAGACGTGGGATCTGGTCCATGTTGCGCTGTCTCGTTCAGCGGCTGCTCAGAAAAAGTTTGCTGATCGCCGTAGGGTTGCGGCCCCTTCTTATGTTCCGGGTGATAGGGTATGGTTGTCCTCCAGGAACCTCCGTCTCAAGGTTCCCTCAATGAAATTTGCCCCCAGATTTCTTGGTCCCTACAAGGTGTTACGTAGGGTTAACCCCGTTTCCTACTCCCTTGACCTGCCTCCTTTCATGCGTATCCCGAACACGTTTCACGTCTCGCTTTTGAAGCCCTTGCTGTGTAACCGGTTCTCTCGTCCCCTCGGACGGCCCGTTTCCCCTCGCACTGTCTCTAGCGACGTGTACGAGGTGGCTGCCCTTCTCGACTCTCGTGTTTCTAGGGGTCGGCTGCAATATTTGGTGGATTGGAAGGGGTACGGCCCTGAGGAGCGGTCTTGGGTTTCAAGCTCTGATATGCACGCTCCCTCTTTGGTCCGCTCCTTTCATGCCCGGTTTCCTTTGAAGCCTTCTGCTTCCCGCCCTCTGGGCGGTCTTCGAGGGGGGGGGTAATGTCGGGATCCTGCGGGCGGCTGCGAGGGGAGGCTGCACTCCGCTCGCGGTACTCACCCTCCAGCCGTCCGCGGTCCCCTCCTCCTCATGGGCTCGGCGAGCGGCATCCTTCCAGCCTCGGATGCCGCCCGCGTTTTCCTCCACGTCCCCCAGCGGCAGCATGCATGACGATGCACGCTGGGAGACCGCCCAAATTATTGCACGCCGGGGTCAGTCACCTGACCCGGCGTTAAAGGCACAGTGCCTCAATCACAGTGGGAGGTTTAGATATCTCCCACGTGTGATTGTTAATTCTGATTGGAAATTATCCAATCAGAATTAACCTTATGGTTTAAATACTTACCTTTCCTGTTCCTCCCTGCCCTGTTGTGGTCTTTGCTTGCTAGTATTGCTACTGAACTTGTGGTTCTGGTTACGTACTCTCTGGCTTGTTTATCCGACTTTGTGACTTTCTCCTACCCTTTGACCTCGGCTTGTTTCACGTTATTCTGTCTTCTGGTTCCCCTTTACTCGGCTTGTCTCCTGACTATTCTTTGTGTGCTTAGCCCGGCCACTCTAAGGTCCGGTACTGCACTTTGTGTGTGTGTGTTGCCGTGTTTGGTTCCCCGAATCGTGACAGCCGGGGCCCACCTCCGGGAAACCCTTGGGCTAGCAAAAGTGGGGGCAACTGTGTTGCGAGCTGACTCACCTGGCTGATGAACAGCTGATGTCTTCGCTCTTTCACTCCAAGCAGCACTTCCAGCATTACCAGATCCTGCTGCAAAGTCTGCCGTGCGTCCTCCTTCATTCCTGCTGTTCACTGTGCGAATAGGTCTCTGGCCCAAACGGTGCAGCCCTTCTGCCGCTCAATATCTGAGGGGGTCTGGTTCTCCAAGCAGGTCTCCGCAATGGGGATGTGGCAGATCCTGATGGCAAAGCATCACTCTTTCCTGCACAGCTGCCCTGACTCCTGCTAGCTAATCTTCCATCCTGAGCTGAGAAAAACCTGCAAAGGAGACAAGAGGAAAACACTACACAAAAACTTGTCACAACAACAAGTAAGTGCAGCTTAAGTAAAATGTCCCCTTAACCTAAAATGGCCCCTTTATATATGGCCTGGTAACTCCACCCACAATGCTATTTTTTAACCAATCCCACACACCCACGTCTCTATATGCCTGTCTCCTAGCAATGTCAAGGCTCACTCCCCTTAGCTACGTACAGGGGGACAGGGCTGGAGGATAATCTAGGGTAGCCGTGGCGATCTGCTGGACGTGAGATTGGACATCTTTCCGCCGGGCTGCGCCAACAGGCATCACCGAGAAATCCCTCTACGGCAATGTTAGGACTGGATTGGTTGGTTCAGGACACTCCCACCGGCTTCTGGAACAGGTGAGTCTTGAAAGCTGTCTATGTGACAGGTAAGTAAGCAGTTAAACCAGTTCACAATAAGTGTCGGGCTCGGAGCTCGTGCAAAGCGCGACCGTCCGCGATGAGGCTCAAGCCCTACCCCCAGGAAATATTTCAGTGTTCTCTACACTTTTCCCATTGTCATATTTTTTCTTTCATGTAACATGTTTAGAGATTAAAAGGAGATTAAGAAAAAACATAATATTTTCTTTTTCTTTACATTTTCTTTTTAGACAGTTAATAAAGTATTAACTGGACAGTTCAAGCATCAAACCACTTATTCTTACTGAGGTGGTTTTGGTGAATAAACCCTGCCCTGCAGTCTGACAATGTAAAATGTTGCTGTTCAAGAGAAACTGCAATATTTTCAGTTGGCCATGAACATGCCTCTTGTGGCAAAGACCTTTGACAATCAAATATATTCAGGTTTCAACATCATCATGAACAGCATGATCACAAAAAATTCTATGAGTTGTTGTATTAAATACTTTTCTGTGAGAAGCATCTGATTGGTGAAGTGTAATGGTTGTTGTACATCTGCTCACTGACGTACACAGGTTATCTGGCACTCTGGGAGTAGATTTATATAAGCACACCCGCTCCCCAAACTGTAGAACTTTTTGTTGTCCCTACTTAATGCCCCTATCACTCCTTTGTTACAAAAATGAGTTACAAACACTCACATTTCTACACACATGCATACTGTAGGGTAGCGCCCCTACCCCGATTGGGTATCTCCGCTGAATTCTCCTTGTAGCTGGAAGAAGCGCTGGTCAGTGATTATAACCCTTCCCCCCAGTAACTAGACAACACAAAGTTCTGGAGTATATCTGTTTTTTTTATCGGGAAAGCAGAGTCCTTTATACACGGACCCCCAGCAATATGGGTCCCTATTCATCCCAGAGTAAGCCCGCCCTGGTTCCTCTGAGTCTGGGAGATAATCCAGTTAGCCCACGCTAATTATATAGGGGACACAACATGAAAATACCCCAAAAACATGTGAAAACAAGCAGGAACCCAAACATATCATACATCCCTGGATAGCTCTGGTCCGAGCACCCAAGTTGGCAAAATGGTGACTGGATCAGTGGAGAATAAAAACATTGTCATCATTGACCAGCCGCTAGCAAAATCCATGCCAAGAATAGTTCCAAAGTAAATGCCCCTTTGGCCGGTAAATTGTCGGGAGCTGCCGCCGACAAACAAAGGGGGGCTCCTCCTGGCTCTCAGGGAGCAATTAGTCCATTCAATCCACAGTACCTCCCCTCCAAATAGCGCTTTCCTGGCAGGTCGGGAAGAGGGGTAGAACAAAGGGATAAATGGACCGGGAACAGGGAAGTAATGCGGCCAAGCTAGAGTTTCACATTTTGGTACTAGGTCCCACTGGGACCTCGCGGCTTTCGGGAACCGAATACCTGCCAGGAAAGAGGTGCTTTCAGGTGTTTAACCTGGAGGGTGAAAGTTACAGAGCCAGGGATAGTGAGATAGCTCTTTCATGAACCAATGAGGAGAGGATAACTTTCGCTTTGACACACATACATTCATACACAAACTCACTCGAACATTAACACACATAACTCACACTATATATATATATATATTAACTTTAGAGAGTTCATTTAACAGTATCTAATATTATGAAATGCAGTTGCATCTATATTGCTCTTTCTCTCTCTGTGTGTATATATATGACAAACAGAAATGATAAAAAAAAAAATCGCTAAACATTCAGCTGTGATTAGTCGACATCTGAGTAATTAGAATTCAGATGTATTAGAGTTTTTTCAACTGTTCTGTTTTCGTCTACGTTTTCCCAGTTGGTGGTCAGCTCACTATAACTCACTATTATTCAAGTACTAAGTGAATGTTGCTATTGAGCAGACTCTATTTATACACTGCTCAGAGCCATAGATGAATAGCAATCCATTTTAGGGTATTTGCAAAGACAATATACATAGAGGCAAAGGCTCATGCCAAGGCAGAGTCCAAAATGTAATATGAGTGTGAAAAAAAAAAAAGACATCACAGAGGCATGTAGAGGCAGTGCACTATGGGTTGAGAGACCTGGTTTAAAAAGGGTGCTTAAAACAAATATATAGCAATGTTTAGGTATGTTTTATTATGGTATTTGTAATAGGTCAGGTTTTTCTTAAGGGTGGGTGTAAATAAACTAAAAAGAAATTTAAAATCTTAGATCAAAATAACAAAATGGAAGAATAGGTGGGGTTTTATATCTTGGATAAATTCATCTTATTAAAACCCATATATCTAAGTAACCTACTGTTCATTGTGTGATTATTGCCAAAGCGAGCTGTCACGTAACTCTTGTTATCACTATAGATACCTAAGAGGATTGATATTTTGACCTTGCCTTGTTGCTACAATTTCAGATCTCCTGTAACTTCTCTGGAAGTTCCTCATTACTTCACCCCAGTAAATACTATTTCAGAATTTACTGAGGTGAATAATGCCGCAGAGGTAACTAAAAAATTTAGCTCTCGTGCATTTCTGCGTTGCAGTGACTCCACTGTTCTATGATGACACGTGCGCACTCTGAATTTTCTTCAGCAGTCCCGATTGCCTGTATGCACTGTGCGTATGGCCCTTTGAAAATAAACCATGGGCCATTGTTCACTGGGATAAAGGAACAAGGAACTGTCACTCCTCTGGAAGTGACAGTTTAATGGATTATTAATGCTC